TGGACATTGTCTGGAAATTTGGATTTAGTAGGTAAACGACGATCTATACTTTATAATAAGACGAAAAAGATTAATCGTGCTTCGGTTTCAGTCTTTGGATCGTTTTTACTAATTTGTAGAAAGTATCGTGTGTGCGGTGTTCTTATACTACCCTTACAATTATTCCTGTATTCGACAAAAGCAGGGTTTCAGTTTAATTAGATACTAATTTAAGTTTAAAACTCATGTATCTATTGTCAGTTGTTACTTCTCACAAGTTTATCATTTTAATCACAAGAAAATGTACAGTCGCTACAGATAAAAAAAAATTTGTGTCTTAAGTCGTAGTTAGTTTAAATCTGAAACGAGTTTTAATTTAATTAAAACACAAAAGGCGAAATATTTCACCGTTTGTTAAGTTAAAATGTAAACCGTTAATAGTGTTTAATTTAAATATTTGCCATTAAACTATAAATAATATTTATAATTTTTCTGTTATCTTAAACCCGTGCAAAGAAAAAATGAAAACTTATATTACAGGTATGTTTCTACAATATACGTGTCAAGTCTTACGACTTGCGGTTACTCGCAGGCAAGAAGTTGGTTTTCGCGACAGTCGCAGTTTGTCGTGTTTTATTTTCCGGGCGTCGAACCAAATACCTCTTCCAGATTTTAAAGTATGTGACTTTGGCGTTTACGTTTTTAACACATTGTCGTATTGGAACATAAAATAAAATATACTTTATTCTCTTTAAAGTTTTAAAAAATTTTTAGATGCGTCAGAAAAAAAAATATTTTGCCTGACTGTCGACGTGATTCTACAGTGTTCAAAAGAGCAACATAACTGAGAAGAACACCCAAGATACTCAATCCGGCTTTTTTAAACTTGTCTTATAAACTAAAACATTTTTGTGAATTTATTAACCTAAGGAGCAATTAGTATTACCTACTGCCAGGCGGCCTTGTCATGAAAGAAATCGTTCAGACAATTTTACGTCAAAATCTTATAACTTTCTTAAATACATTTATCGAAAATTTGAAATCTCGACTGGCACTGTATTATATATACGAATACAATTCCACTCAAATGAATTAGATATTTTATGGAGCCTATATTTGGGGATAGCTAGGTTATCCTTATTTCTTAAGTTCAAATGATGCCTATCACTATTCTCGCTAAACTTGCATTTATTCTTATGGGCATACAAAACATTTTCATAAATATACTGCGAGTACACAGTAAGTATGCCGATATTTTAAAAGGTATCTCTTAATGACTCCCGAGATCCCATACCATAGATAGCCAGGACCGCCTTTTTTGCATCACAAAGATACATTCAATGTCGGCAGCGTTACCCCACAGTAGTATGCCATATGTCATAACAGTGTGGAAGTAGCCGAAGTAGACTAGACGCGCTGTTTTAATGTCTGTTAATTGTTTTATTTTTTTTACGGCATAGGCTGCAGAACTGAGTTTGCTCGAGGCTTTCCTGAAATGAGATCCCCATTGTATTTTGGAGTTTGTAACGTTATGCTGTCTTCAGTTTCATTGACCAATTCTATCTCGCCGTCCCTAACTTCAATAATGGTTTTAGCTAACCTAACATTAGGTAGAGTGAATCTGATACATTTGGTTTTCTTGCCATTAAACAGTAGGTAGGAGAGTAGACCACTGGTTTAGGTCTACTCTCGAGAGGGCATTGTTTACATCGTCAAGCTCGCGTTGTCCACGTTTGATTTTAACGTGAAATACAGTCCACAATGTGTTTCAAATATGTTCCATAATACCTAATTAAAGATGCAATGAAACAAGATTTTATGTTTATAATAATAAAATATATTTCAGATATAGGAGTATAAACATGCAAAACAGTCGCAAAATACATGTATATTTTGTAGTACTTATAACTAACTTACTTTGTAAAATAGATTTTAAAAAGTAATTCATAAAAAAATACTAAGACAGTATAGTCTTATGGCCTACTCTAGAAGCAAGAATACTTTTAGAGCAAAAGATAAAGATGCCAGATTCAGAAGAAGATAAAAGATTATTGTAAAGTATTTTTAAGAAGAAAAATCCGAGCTATTTTGATATAGTGGTACCTAATATGACCCACACATATAAATAAACCCAAAATTTTCTAGATATTTTTATGAATAGCATATACAATATGTACAGTGCCTGCAGATCGCGAGGTCTCGGTTCGAATCCTGACTCTAGTAATGTTATTTCGCTATTTGGATTTTGTGTAAGAAAACTTCTATCTAGCCCAGAAGTATGGAATTTCGAGGTGTCACCTGCGCCTTGGACAGCACGTTACGCCAACCTCAGATGTCACCACTAATTTTGTGGCGGTAGTTTAAGACCGCCCTACCCGCACTAGAGCAGCCTGGTAAGTGTTAGATCGAAAGAGCCTCTCCTATGTGAAAAGAGGCCTATGCCACCAGTGCGACTGCACATATGACCATATTTATGCTAATATTCTAAAGCTGGTTTGAACGCGCTAATCTCGGGAACTATTTGTTCAAATTAAAATATTATTTTTGTGTTGGTTAAATCATTTTTCGAGGAAGAATTGAGACTGTAAAACATAAAGATGAGTCCAATAGGAGCGACAAAAACAGTGGGAAATGATGTGGAAGAATGGGGAAAGATTATTCATCATTATGGGTTTCCGAGAGGTATGCTGCAAAAACGAGATACCCAAAAAATATCTATGAAAGACATTACCCTTTAAAAAATGTTCGCGATGTTATAGCGTACTTGTAGTTCCTGAGATTAGCGCGTTCAAACAAACAAAAACAAATTTTAATACACTAAATAACTTTTCTATGCGATCGAATTCGCGGCCTCAGCTAGTAGATTTATATAGAGTAGGCCACAAACATTTATATATTACATAGAGTCACATAACTTATGTTCAAATATATAAACCACTATTGAATGATCAGACACAATTTAGAAAAAAAAAGCAAAATAATCACAAAATCAATAATACTGTTGTAAAATTCTAAACTATATTTGTGACATAATTGCAATAATTATTGCATATAAAAAAATTATCACTGAGAACGGATAGCATGGATTCGTTTGATGGAAGGTAAAATCCACCGACTGAAACCTACAGATCCTTCATGTTACATGTTTCAGAAAAATTATACATTGATTATTATTAACATATTTATCTGGAGGGAATGGAATCCACGATCCGTTGATTATCAGCTACGCATCGCTGAACAGTCCGTCATACTGTTTGACGTAGTTTTTTTTTGTAGACTATGAATGAAATAAACATTATAGAAATAGTAATGGCACAGTTGGTATTTAATATGTAAATATTTTTAAATACTATTTAAGGCACTGATTACAAAATAATTGTAATTTTACAACTGCAGTAACAATTATCCGAACCATAAAGAACTTTGATATTATATGCAGGTATTCAAATCTTTTGCCGTACCGGAAGGGTAAAAACGTAACGTGTAAGACTTAACTATGCAAATATTTGAGTTTTCGACCTGTTCGGCTATCGTAACTGAAAATCGCGTAATCGAAGTACACATCTGGTGGCCATCCACTCGTGATGACGACATGTCGAACCATTCGTCCACCGTCTCAATTACGACGACCGAAATGAAAAAAACCCAAGAAGCTTTGCCGAATAGCCGCTACATATACATACATATGTATACTTCGCTGTTTGTCTGTCTGTCACCGGGTACCTATGTATCTCAAAAACCGCGATAGCTAGTGTTAATATATGTAAATTATATATCTATATAGATGTCCATTGTCGATGTTTTTCAACTTATCTATTTAAAAAAAAAATCTAAATAGATATTTAATTCTTATAATGCCACCATGCACAATAACATGTCAAAATTAGTACTTTTCAAAAATTGTATAAAACTGGTGATTATAAACCCATTAAAAAATTTGACATGTATAACTACTATTGTTTACCTAGTCAAAGGTATAAAAACCTTTGTTTATTTCTTAAAACTGAAATATGTGTTTTTTAGTACATTCAATCTAGTTCGGATAAAAGGACATTCGGTTAATCAACGTTTTACTGTTCTTCTATCTCTTTCCCACAAACCTCAAGAAAGAATAAGGACACAGAATATTAAAGTTTACTTATATACTTAGATATTTAATAATAGTATATAACTAATGGAAGCATTTCAGTCTGGTGTGAGTATTTTGAGATAATATTACAAAAAAAATATATTGTATAAATGAATAACGACACGTCTTAGTGCCGCTACAGAAATGTTTATCCAACGAAGCTGAATACAGCTCTACCTATTACAGATAATATAAAAATAAATATTGTATACAGATTATATTCTAATTACAGTTAATATAACTTAAACAGAATAAAAATGTGATGTAAAACGGCAAAAGCCGGAAAAAGAGGAACTAAGATTAAGTTTTATTTAAATATTTGTGAAAATTTAAATAAAACACTTTAACGGTTTAAAACGCGATATATTAGTTAAACTTATTTGAAAATGATTTTTAACTTTCGACGTTTCGGATGCTTTGCAGCAGCCGTGGTCACGTCTCCCCGTCAAATAAGTTTAACTAATATATCGCGTTTTAAACCGTTAAAGTGTTTTATTTAAATGTGTACTACTCGCGTAAACTATAGACAGTATTTATTTGTGAAAAATTTTTTTTTTTTTAAATTGTAGAAATATCAAAATAGCAGAGTCAAACATGTCACTTGGAGATAATGTATGTGTAACATTACATAGAGTCACATTCAAAATAACGAATATAATTCACGTTTTGAACCGTTAAAAATTTATTCAATGCCACTATTGAATAGCATCTGTGTGAAATGACTGTGGTTCAACCTTTATAACATACAAATCTTCCAAAGCCCATACCTTGAGTTGTAGGACCAGAAATTTAGAGCCGCAAATGAGAAATGAACCTTATACAAATAGAGACTAGGTTTAAAATGTCAATTGTGTGTGAATGTTAATGATTCTTAAAGTCATTCAGTCTTAGTTCAAGCGAGACAGATCAATTGCTTCCCTTCGTCCATTTGAAACTGTACTTTGTCGGAATTGGCCGCTTTGTCGGCGACCTTCGACAGGCCACTGGCCAAGAAGACTAGACCGACACCCATTATAGTAGCATACAACGCCCAGCCTGTAACAAGAATATACTATCGTTTATAAACAGAAACAGAAGGATAAAAGAAAGAGAAGTTAGAAGAAGAGTTAGTGTAAAGCGATGTACGGCTAATAATCAACTGGTCGTGGTGGGGGGTCGTGGCTTCGATCCCCACCTCGACCGTTACATAGACTTGTTAAGATTTGCAAATAACCGAGCAAATAAAATGTTATGTTAAGTTTTAAAATAAAAACTCATCATTATACACCAGTAAATACACAATACCTGATCAAACGTTTATAAACGACAGAAGTATAAATGATAGCACTATAAATGAATATTGTAGACATATAGTGATAATTAAAACCAAGCAAAAATATATAATAATGCACTTATAAACATTTTTGTTTTCACTTCTAACAGAACTAACTCATATTTTTCTTATTCATATCACTCACCAATAGAACAGTCCCCTGGTATATAAGGCTCGGAGTACTCCCCACACAGTCTTTTCACTCTAGCTGCACCCCAGCCCCATGGATACAATAGAATGCCCAGTACACCAAATAGGCCTGGAAAAATGGAAAGTAGTTAAAATTTGTGATTCTCAACCAAGAATATATTTGGTAGGGAGATATGACAACTCCAGAATGCAAATGCTAGTAGATTCTCCCCACAACTTCTTTATATATATATATCATTTCAAGTACACTTTTATCATAATACAACATAAATCTATACTAATATATATATTTGTTTGTTTGAATGTGCTAATCTCAGGAAGTAAAAAATATTATTTGTTGGTTAGAACATTTATCAAGGAAGGCTATAAAACATTGACTAATAAGAGCGAAGAAACAGGGATACGGGGAAAATTATTCATCTTTCTTGATTTCTGATGCGTATGCTACAACTACGGTTCAAGATACAAAGAAAATATGTATAAGGGAATGATTCTTCTTTAAATTAACATAAAGAATGTCCGCGACAGTATAACTCTATCTCTTAAGATATACTCGCAAGAACTACGGGTCGCGAGCGACGGGACGCGGCCGATGACTTAGGTTAGGGCAGTTTTCAAAAACAATTTTATGCCCAAAATAACTATTCTACGCGGACGATATTGCTGACTCAGCTAGTAATGAATAAATGTAAAATGGCATTGAAAAATAGGTTACATGTATCTTTAAAATAATGTTGGTGTTTAGTTAAACATGTTTAAAGAAATATGAACACAAATGGCATTTACCTCCCAAAGCTTGCGTAGCACCCGCCAATGATATAACACTCTTTTTAAACACTGATTGGACACAGCATGCTAATACACCAGCTAGCACCGTTGAAAACTGTATAGCAGCACCTGGAATTTGAAACATTTTATAAATAAGTTACTAAGGCGGGCATTACCAGAAAAATATTTATTTATTATTAATAAACATATTGTACTATCACAGAACATGCCTTTAACGATAGAATTATTACATTTTTGCTTTAGTTTTTTTTTTTTTTTTTTTGATTGGACTCTTACGTATTGTGTTCCTAAGGAGCCACGAATACTAACCGGGCGTTTTGGGCGAGCGCGATAGCGCTCGCCGTGTTTGCGGCTAGACCAAGGGTGCCCCGAGGGGGGCATCGGCCTCGGCTTGGACCGCCGCAATGCGGGTGGGAGCTAGAAGAGCTGGACGGAAGCTCACCCGGGTGAGCGGTACGCGAAGCGAATGACCTCGCCTACGCCGGCGTAGGCGGTTTTGCGGGCGATCGGCACCGGTGTCGGCCGATCGCATAGCAATAAGTAAGTCGACGGCTTTGGTTAAGTCGTCATCGGGGTCGGTGAGAACGTTACGCGGCCTTCTCCAGCGTGTATTAATGGGAACGGTGTAGTTGGCGGCCCGGGCCACCAGTGGGTTCGGATGCGTCGCGGCTTTTTTAAAGAAACGTTCGGACGTTTCCTTGAAGTACCGACTGAGGGTCGGTAATTCGAGATCGGCGTGAAGATTTGCATTCCGTACGCACCAGATGGCTCCAGTGGCGGTTCGAGTGAACCGATTCTGAAGCACCTGGAGCCTGTACAATGTACTGGGGGCGGCGTGAGCGAACGCGACGCTGGAGTAGGTAAGGATCGGACGAATACAAGTTTTGTAAAGCATAACTTTATGTCTGAGGGACAGTTTGCTACGCGCGCAGATCATGGGATAAAGCCTACTCATGACGTAGCAGGCTTTACGACAGACTCGATTAACATGTTCGCGAAAAGTTAACTGTTTATCAAGCGTGACGCCTAAGTACTTGCTTTAGTATTTACAACAATTCTCATAGAGTAATCTTTTGAGTAGGTGCTGAGTACAGTAGCGCAAGCAACAGTGGTTGTAATCTCCTCCACACTTATCTGTCCAGGAAAGACTTTAAATTACTACTTACACAAGGACAGGAAGAACATAGCTGCTTTCCATGGAGTCGGGTATACATTTGAATCAGTTGCCAGCCCATAAAAAGAGAATGGAGCGCAGTTGTTGGGGTCATTAGCCATTCTGATACATCTGAAATTCATTATAACAATTATATTAACAAGCTATGATATATTATAACATTGATTGATAGGATATATAAATAATATTTAAACAAATAGTATTTTTAATTTTACTCCACTGGTATTAGGACTAGAACTGTGATAAAATATTCATGGGTGTATCAAGGGGGCAGGGCAAAAAAGGGTTGCCTTACACTATTTCTACTTAAAAGAAAAAAATATAATTCCTCAAGAACCAAGAGCTAACACATTATTATTAATAGAGTACTAGAAACTAGAATAAAGTGGCAGTTGTTATGATTATCATCATGGTGAATTGTTGTCTGTGAGGTCATTGATACTGAAGCTCGTCCATAATATAAGCCCTCCCTATTGTTGATATGAATAGGGTCTCGCAATTAGTATAATGGAGTATGATATTCATGAATTAAGTTACAAGGGAAATAGCATCTTAGTAGTCTGACATATAATAACTAGTACAACCTGTTATAAATCCCAACACTACGCACGTAGAAGCTTGTTACATTATTTTCAGTTACTACAATCGGTTGGGCCAATAGCCATTTGGGCGTCATAACACCGGTTAAAATTAGCATAAATGCAGCCAAACTTAACATGAGCCATGCTAAGCTGCGCCCGGTTATAATGACATAACACATAATTAGTCCTACTTCACTTTTTATGTGAGAAAATAGCAAAATATACAACTTTAAAACACTTGTTGCTACTGGCTTTAAATATGAAAAACAAAACAATGGAAACAAATAGCTGAGCGACAGCCAATTCTACTCACAACGCACAGATAATGCAAGAATGTCAGAAGTCATAACTTAAATTGTTATTGTCAATATTCGACCGTGGCGATTGCACATTTTTAATAATTAAAATAAATAAATGTGGACTTTGACGCATAACGTCGCAATTTTCTCGTAAAATAAGCAGATATTTACGAATTTCACAATTACAAACACATTCCAATGTTACTTAAATAACACATCGTTTGAACGCGACCATTCAAACATTTTATATCTGCCATGCCTGCCACCTAGTGTCAATAATGAAAATCAATATTTCTCGCTCTTACATAGTTTGGCATGTTCACTGTTGCCTCTGTTCTATTTTATTTTTCATTAATATATTGAACGTGATTTGACTTAGAAAAACAGTTTTATTTTATCAAATCATAGCTTATTTATGATCATCTAATAGTAATGCAAATTTATTCTTCAGAAGAAGATATTGCAACGTGATATAATAGTGAAATATACTTGTGAATACATCGCATTTTCATTGTTTTACTGGAAGTGAAATGTGGTCGATGACAGTGTAAAACGGAAAACGGGTGTTTGCTGCGTAAGTAAAATGCTAACTAATTAAAACTACGCGTCTAACGTTTGAAGCATGCGTTATTTTAGTCTTCTATAAAATCGTCGTGTTAAAGTTGCAACATCAAACTCATTTGACAATACGATAAAATGACAGTTGTATGTTAGATTCAGGTGATGCCCAAGTTATTGAATTCAATAGAAAATGAATGATCGTGTACATACATTGCTTCTTAAATTGAGAAATTTCCTATTTAATATCTAAAGTGTTCAATTCGTGTTCAAATTCAGTGCCATATGATAAAACAAATAAAAGAGGTACGTTTTGAGGAAACGAGAAAAAAAACATGTTTCGAGTGCCCTTGTTGATTGCAAAATCTCTTCCTTTGTCGGATAGACTTTTACTTTTTCAATCTTTTGTTCGTGAGTATGACGTTTTCCAGTTTATTAAATTTCGCGGGTAGAAAGTTGTGCACATAAATTTTTCGTGTGTCGCACGATTTTCTTGCATTATAACAATATGGTAATATATGGCACACTTAATGCTTGACTAGACACAACTGTAAGTTAATGCAGTAATACCTGCTTGTTTGTACCATCTGACAATATATTTCGTAGAACGTAGATAGTTAATTATGTAAGCACCAACATTAGATATATTAGCCTTTGTTATCGTTTTTTAAACGTGCATAATGTGTAGGAAGTCAGTAAAATCCTATTTCACTGTTATGAGACTGAGACAGAATATTTTTGCCTAAATTATGTAGACCTTTGTTTAAATCTAGTTGTATATATTTTAATTTTAAGCTTCAATATAGTTGTATATATTTATAACAATAAACAGTGCTTATCTATGTCTTTGTGTGATAAGATTTTTATTGATATGACTCTCAATGTATAGCTAAATATATTGCAGAAGTTAATACTGGTACCCACAATTCCCTTTGCAAAAATCTTTACTCGCATTGAAATAGTCTATGTAACAAAGTCTTTATTTTGTCTATTCCTCTTTAGTTTATATACTGTATAATTTTATTGCAACACATTTGAATTTTAATGGATTTAAATCACTTTACTTGCCTACCCTCATTTTTTGTAAACTATGTTTTGCTGTACATCAAAAATCATAGTGAAAAGTAGTCTTTAGTCTTATAAAACATTTTTCAAGCTTAACGCTACAAAACCTTTATATCAAAACAATGTTTATCATTTAAAAATATTTCATAATTATCAAACAAAGACAAACTGACCTTGACATTTTGTTTAAATGTAACTAATTAATTTTAAATTGCTTAATCTAATTTGAATAGAAATATAATGCTTTGTTTAGTAATAGATTTCTATGGAGACAGATTCAAATGGTTTTAATGTTGTCTTTTAAATAGTAAGTTATAGAGAATCCAATATTTAGAGGTACTAGGCTTGTATTATTGCAAGTAGAAAAGATAAAACTATTTTGTATTTGTATAATACAGAAGACTTCAAATAATGCGTTATATGACAAAGGCAATATAATAATTTGGCCACCCCTTTTTCCCCACAATTTTAATTAGAACTTTATTTATGACATAACATGAAACAAATGTAAGAAAAATTCTGTTTCCCCCGTTTAAGGCATATCGCAGGCTATTTCTTTGTATGTTTTATTGTTATTATTATTTTCTGGTGGAGATGAGTGGTCATCAGTCCACATTATCTCTTAATCATTTTACCCATGTCACCATTCCCCCTTAACAGATATTTTATAATCAATGAAATGTAGTCAAAAAGATTTATGTGTTGACACAAACACTTAAGATTCCTAGAAATTTGCTTTCAGAACCTCTTACAATTAACAAAATGCTAGGCAATGCATTTACCCTTCAAGCAATGTACTTACTTATATATATGTATTTTTGGCTCAAGTTACAAATACTTGTTATAGAATAGGCCAGCTATAGGACTTCACATTATTATGCCTCGCATTGGGCGATCAAATGAGATATTTACATAGAAACCATGCAAATGCAAGATTATGAGATAACACTTGTGCTTTGATTTTGAACGCTTGTTTGTATTATGTAAAGGACTAGTTAGTTGTTTACAAAATAGAAGTCTTGTAACTAAAAGAAGTAATATTGTTTTCTCTGTCTCACAATTACTTTAAAACAATAACACATATTGGTCAGTGGGCATAGACTATTTGGCCTATTAACATTTCAGTGATTAGACAGTGCAATAGTCATTGAAAGAGTAAATAGGTTAATAAGACTCTAAGGTCGCGTCTTAAATCCATTTACATTATATACCTTGGTCAAGCAAGGTCTCTAATTTTAAGGTTAAATGTTATTTAGTATAAAAGTGAGTTGAACCTATTAATATTCCCCTGCTGGGCATAGGTGTACTCTACTGTGTGGATTTAAAAAGCTCAGACCCCATTGGAGAAAGGTGTATAAACAGTTCTGGTTTCCAAAAGTAATCTAACCTAACCACAAGACATATGAGAAATTTATCTTTTATTTTTTTTATCTTTTCAGAACTTTAAGCCGGACAAGAGAAGCGTGTTCACACAAACTATGCTGTAAATAGTTGTAACTGTGATCTTGTGAATAGTGTATAGCGAATTTGTGTTTTTGTGTGTTTATGTTGTGAGTGGACACAATACGACTCAACATGCCGCCTCCGCCACCTTTGAGACAGATTGATTTAGACCAGGTGAGTTTGAATGAACCTTAGCAAAACTTTGTAGTTCCTCATAACTAATATATGTGTTGTTATTATCTATCGGTGTCTGCCCCATTTGAGAAGGTATTATATGAAAAGAAACAGACTATAAATTTTTTATTCAGCTCACACAGATGACATAAACAAAAAAAATTAAGTGTTGTTGCTGATATGTAGTATGGTGGGTCGGTTTGTATGGAATCAATTTCATCTATAGCCAAGTGTGGAAAGGCACAGATTTATGACATGCAGACTAAATAATAATAATAATAAATAATAATGCCTTGGCGTCAAAAATATATTACATACATAATATACAATTATGTGATAATATGTTGGTTTATCAAGAGCAAAGATGTCTAGGTCTAGTGTGTTAAAAAACTTCAATATTAGGTAATAGCGAACCGTTAGCATGAAAAGAAAAGGTTACAGTTAACTAACTGTGCCACTTGGCGGTTCAATTTTTGTTCTGCGTAACAGTTGCTACGTTTTTGACACTTTTCAACACAACCTATTATACAATAAAACAGTTTTAAGCGCGAAATTTATTATTTAATTTTTTAATGCTACCATTACAGTGGCAGGTATTCGGATATTCTCAACATCGTCGCAGTCCACAATAAATTTATATTATTCGCGTTTTAAACCAGTTAAAATGTCTATTTAAAGTGAACCACAGGCAATGCAGAGTTTTCCTCTAAGGCAAACTTTTACTCTATTGGGCCTCTTAGACATCGCCTTTCTCGTGTTATGGACATGGGACACATTTTTGTGTCTGTTTTACCTTATCAACAGGCAAATACCTCTATCATATTTCGGTGTGTCGGAATTTGAACCTAGTTTCTTGCCTATGGCTAACACATTGACTTCTTTGTTTTTTTAAATACTCTATGTGTGACAGAGACAACATATAAGTAGAATCCGGCGCATCTAAGTCATAATTACGGTACACGGCTGACCCGTTTCTCATTTAATAAAGACGTACTGAGAATGTCATTTAAGATGTTTGAGAATAAGGCAAGGCCTACAGGTTTGGAATACTAATACGAAATACTTCGAACTAACGAGTTACAGTAATCCGATGTATGTTTAAAACAGCATTTTTGGGGAAAATATGAGAAAAATTCAGGACACAGGCGGAACTTGAATCTACTACCGAGACTTCGCTGTCTGTCTGTCCGTCTATCTCTATATTACCAATCGTGATAGCTCAAGATTTAAAATGATCAAATTGTCAATTTAACTTTAGGTTGCCTGGAAGAGATCGCTTATTAGCGATAAGTAAAAAGTAAAGTTTACACTTTGATACACCAAACAGAACATACAGATACTATGCAATTTATAACTATAGAGTGTACCGGGCGGCCTTATCGCTATAAGCGATCTCTTCCAGGCAACCCGAGTAGAAAGAGACTTAACGATTAATTAAAAACTAAACAGTGTGCAAGAAGTGCGAAACTTACTAATTACTTAATATTACTTAAACTAAACAAAATAAACTTAAATTAAATTAAAAATAATAAAAACCCAGCAAAATAAATATAAAAAAAAATAGATCCATGCTAGTATATAAGATTTTATTCTGTATCATGTGCAATAAAGAATAAAAAAATAACATCTTACACACCAAAAAAGGTTTTGACCCTTTTTGGCTGGATTTAAAAAAATATTATTAATTTTAGTTACCTAAAAAGGTTGCAATATCAAGACTACGGAAATATTCGGGCTCCCATCTCATTTAGACTTTTTCTTGTCTCATATAAATGTATAGTCTACTTATATCTCTTGTGGATATAATTTTACCATTAGTACTAAAACTCCGCCATTTTTCTTATTTTATAAAACATCTGTTCACTGTGCATGACACACAGTGCGATTCTCATCGGTGCATATGCCGGAAGATTTCATCATAATCCGTTGATCCGTTAAGCCGTGAAAGCGAAACAAGCTTCACTTTCACTATAAGATTAACACGAGTTTGAAATTGTTGACATCAACGGGTCGTATCAATCTATAATTTTTCTGAAACATATTCGACTTTGTTGTAAATATGGATATTAAATGCTACTATAAGGAGCTAACAAACGGCCCGTCAAAATCTTAATGATCTATAAATATGCACTTCGTATTTTCATCTTAGTGATAGGACAATGAACCATATAACATTTGTGTCAATATTAAAATTACGATGCGCCAGTGGTGCAAATTGAAATTAAGAATTTCATCTTCCCTGACAAAGTTGATGGACTGTCGGTGGTTCGAATCCTGCCCTTGCTAGATTTAGTAGTCCGTAAGCTTTGTTAATTACGTGGACCACGGGGCAGACAATTCTTCATCGATCTAATTAAAGGTATCGCTAACCTAGTATTCGAACCCAGGACCCATCAAGTTAACTCAAGGTGCTGAATCACAGAAAGTAAAAAAATTACGCCTCGGGTCGGACTCGAACCGGCATCCACAGAGTTCCGTGCTGTTGCTCTAACCAATTGAGCTACCGAGTCAAAGTTTTTAAAAGTAAATCGTAGTTTTATAGCATCATTGCCACTGGCCATGAGTTACATCTACGCCCATACGACAATATTTACGTCACAAGTCACAATCCGGTCATTAGCACTGGAACATACTTGATACCACCTTAAATGGTCACCTCTGCCACACTGGCTGGTTTTATTTGCTTGTTTATTTTTCTTTAACACAGATGTAGCACAATAACAGACTATAAATATTAGAGTCATTGCGTTTAATGTATTTTAAGACTGCGCTTTAATGAAAAGGCGATGCTAGGAAAGTTTAATATTTTGCACATACGATGGCAGTACATAAATTAAAAATCTAGGTATTTTGTTGGAAAAAGAACTATGACGCGGTACTTGAACTTTTATCAACACACTTTAAAGTCTCTTAATACATTCTTTGTCCAAAGTTTTTTCAGCTTAACAATTGTAAGCATAACCTTAGTAACGTCCCTTCGAAGCTGAGAAATCGTTTTATTATTGTTACTAGTTAATGTAAGCAAGCTTTAACCATATTTGATAGAGGTGTACAGACGAGCATGTGGTTCACTTAAGGAAATGTAAAATAACCCCAGCCTCTAACCAAAATGCCCTATCGTCCTACTTTGGCTTTGGATGTTCGGAAATCTACAGACTTTATTCGAAACGCTTCAAACTTCATCTGTGGACGGTGGTTCGTGACCTGGATAAAATACAATAAGTGTGACCCGGCGGGATCGACCCGACGACCCGTAGAGCGTAAAAGAGTAACAAATGTGTATCCTCATAAAGTTTCGCATTTTAATGTTAATCAGACAGAATATTTTTTACGTTCCCAGAGGAACACATTTAAAGTTATACGAATGACTAAGTACACGAATATAGCATATCTTGAATGCAACGCTGGCGCAGAGCCAAGCGATTCTTAACTATTTATCAATAAAAACTCCACCAATCGCCCCACTTTCGCGTAATATATTTTTAGATTTAAACCTCCGATACTTGCATGTTATTCATACGAGTCGTTCGCCTGTCGGGCTAATTACGACGTAAAAGTAGTAACATGTGTTTGCACGATATTCGTGTATGTATAATAATACGAGGTTACATTCAAATAAAGCACTTTTAACGGTTTAAAACGCGAAACATTTTTAACCTATCTTTCACTACGACTCGACGTTTCAAGCACTCTCCAGTGTCGGAACGAGTATAACTATTTCGCGTTTTAAACCGTTAAAATCGATTTATCTTAATATATACTTGATTGAACGATAGACGAGATATTTACATATATCAAACTAGTTAAATTGCATCCTGCTGTCTCAAATGACGACAGAAGCAACTCTGCAAGCAAGCAAAATTGGAGAACTGCCTTCTCTCTCACTAAGATGCCTCAACACCACAACGTAGGTAAAAAATACAACAAAATCAATGACGCAGTTCAATGATAGTTACAGACAAGCGTATTATGATGAGATTCTAGTTATCTCCATTTAGCGACAATTGTGTGTGACGTCATAATGTTGTCAGTCCGCGTTAGTGTTGTTGGAGTTTTTATTTGTTTATTTATCAGGCTGTTGTAGAATAAATATTCAATATGATAGAGTATTGCCCGAATATACAGGGAGAAAGATCGATGGCGCCCCATGATCCTTTTTCAAAGCATCCGAAACGTCGGCCCGTAGTTACATAAATTAAGCTATATATTTCGCGTATGAAACCGTTAATTCTTTCATTAGAGGTACGAGACAAAATGAAACTTGGCGATATAATAATGAAATTTTCGTTTTCATTATTATGTCATTATAGTGTCTCCCCGTGACCACGGCTGCTGCAAAGTATCCGAAACGTCAGGCCGAAGTTAAAAATAAATTTCAAATAAGTTGAACTAATATATATCGCGTTTTAAACCGTTAGTGTTTTATTTACATTTTTCCTGCTTTTTTTTCGTTTTACACTTTAGAGTTGGTTAATTAAATTCAAAGCCAATATCAAATTAAAATTTATTTACGTATATAAGTTTACCCACATTATTAAATAATTTGATGTTAATAATTGCCTATCAAAATAAACCCGTTTCAAACCGCATAAATCTCATTTGAAGAAACACTAACGTGAAACATTATCTAAATATACCTAGTTGGTACATTCGTCGCATTACAAAACCTGCCTAGATTGCGTTCGCGGTTACGAAACACAATATTACTTAAGCCTAAGTGTAAAGAATTGAAGGAAAATAATAGGCGCAATTAGACCGACCATAAAACATTCTCGAACGCCAATTTCAGGCCACAGGCGGACAATTGGATTTTGAGAAAGCTTCTAATTAAAAAAAAACCAATTATTGAATACTGTTTATAGTTTACGCGAGTTTACTCATAAATAAAACACGTTTAACTAATATTCGCTTTTATTTAAACAATTATTTGAAGTATTTATACATCAGTGGTGTACAGGCCCGCTTATGGACCCTCCAGCATAACATAAACAATTTTTAAAAGCTTTTATAAATGATTTTATCATATGTAGCGATCGTTTTGGTCCACTATAATCGAAGGTTCTTTATACCTGTCTCTGTGGCAACAAGTTACTCAAGAAATACACTATACAACTCTACATACTTATTAGTAACTAAATAGATTTGCGGCCCATGCCCCAATCACCGTGTGTGTCTTGTGATTAGCTGTGCCCGCGACTTTATCAGGGTGGTATTATGGGCATCATATTATTTATTTTTGCAAATAACATGCCCAGCTTCCTTCCTTGATAAATGGTCTATCCAACATATAGATTTCAATTCCACCAAGTAGTAGTTCCTGATATTAGCCCGTTCAAACAAACAAACTCTTCAGCTTTATAATATTAGTATAGTCAATAAAGAACTAATTATTTCGATACGACTTAGCAGAATAACGTCAATTGTGCTTCCGCAATTAATTAGTTTATAAATACTTACGTCGTTAGGATATCGTTGTAGTATCTCGTAATCACTTGTACGTCTTCGTTGCGTAAATGAAGAGCTCAAGATAATGTATTTTGAGGTAATAATAGGCCAGGTTAGTCTGGTTTCGTCTCAAATGCCCTGAAAAACTGAAATTCGACGTCAGGTCTCATCGATAGACTTGATATTTAAATGCTACTGATTCATTTTGTGTAACCATAAAGCTGTTCACTTCGCATGGTGTGCTAGACCAAAAATTTATAATATGAATACAATTATTATCAATTACAAAATACAATTATTATATATATTCTAACTGCGGACCGGGGCTTCGGCTCCCCTGCAGCCGCGGTCACGTGTTTCGTTTATATGTGCACTAGTCTAAAACATTTTTTTAAATGTTATGTAAAAATAGTTACAAGACGAACTGTCATATCTAGCATCCATTGTACGATTTACAGCCATACCCATTCTTAAAATGTCTAAGTATATTGTCATAAGATGTCTCTTGTTACCTGCTTGAATGAGGCTTCTTTTTTTTTCAGATATGGGGCGACCTCCGCGAAGGCATAGAACAAGTTTACAAACGGCAACAGATGTCGAAACTGAGATACATGGACTTATATACGTATCCTTTTTGGGTTTTAAGCTAATTCGCAGCAACTTAAATGAAATTACGACACGAATAAGATATATATTGCCATTTTTGTTATTCTATTCAAAATCTCGAGGTAAATTAAATATTCAATTTAGTGCAGCCGCTCAAACACCTTTTGTATCATTCAATACTTAAAAAAGTCCCAAATCTGCTGATTCAGAAATAGTGATGAGAGAACAGCATTTTTTTTTATGATAAAAGATAGACAATACTGAAAGCGAAACGCAATAAATTTCTTGTTTTTTTTATGTAGACGGTAGATCGTGACCCATACGGAATTTCGATATTCCTTCCACCCTACCAATCCATTATTTATTAGATCCAGATTTTTTGAAAATCCAATTGTGTTGGTTGATGGTAATCGAACCCTGACCCATTAATTAGCCATACGTACATACTTTATACCAACGATCCCGTCAAGCGATAGTAGACGAGTAGAAGGTATATTTTTTACTTGATATGGTTGGTCAAAATATTCCCTTAGCGCACATTAGGCACGTATATAATTATTGCACATCAGTTCATCAACAGAGCGGGTCTAGCAGTAAAACAGGCTACCCTAGACCTAGTGGTACGGGTCTGAAAAAACAGGTGGGTAGTTTTATATCTTATCTACCCACGTCACAGACATTTTTACCGAGTATCAATTACATACGTGAAATTCTGTTTGCATTTCTAATTGTTCATTGTAATAAAAATGTAAATCTAACTGTTTTAAAATTTTTATAGACCTATCATTATCATGTTGTATGTTGTAACAGGCAACCCTATTATCATGTCAAATTCTATATTCATAGTTAATACTATGCCTGCGTTCTTGTAAAAGTAGTATCGCATAGGAATTTTGAACTTTTTATTATATTTAGAACCAAGTTCCTGGCGGAGCACAGCTGGTCGGCCTAGAACTGTACAAGAGGCTAAGGGAATTCCTAAGATTGTATCTTATCAATTTATTAAAGGTAAGGCATACTGCATTTGAACCAATCCTACAACTTAAAAAACAAAAGATCGTTCTAGTAAGGTAGTGTTGAACTGTTTTAGTTAGTATTGGTTTTCAGAAATGAATTACCTTGTTGGGTAACAAATACTTCTTCCAGTTGTGCAGTCGGATGTCGTCCTCAACCAGCCGTTGTCCGATATTTGTACCAAGTCATGAAATCAAAAAACATTTATTTTGTTAATAGGAACCATAGATTTTTTAAACTTTGTCGTAAAATTTATTTATTTTTCTACAGAGAGTGGAGAAGCATAGTTATTGATTTACTCTTATCAATTTCAGAATGGCGCCGACCTGATGGGCGAGGATGTGCTGGCGTTCTACACGAAGCAATGGGAGGAGTACCAGTTCTCATCGCGAGTACTCAACGGCGTGTGCTCCTACCTCAACAGGCATTGGGTGAAGCGGGAGTGCGAGGAGGGTAGGAAGGTAAATGAATTTGATAAGACGAGGATAAATACTGTCTGTAGTTTCCGCGAGTAGTACACATTTAAATAAAACACTTTAACGGTTTAAAACGCGCTATATATATTTTTTTAGTTGTTGTTTGAGAATTATTTTTAACTACGGCACGACGTTTCGGATGCTTTGCAGTAGCCGTGGTCACGGGGAGACTCAAACAAGTTTAACTAAAAATATATAAATATCGCGTTTTAAACAGTTAAAGTGATTTATTTAAATAAAGATGAGGATATCTAGGAAAGGTACTTAACCATTATACAAAAGACATGAGCTCCAATTGATGTAAGGTGACCTACTTTGAAACAATGACAAATCCACCAAAACCACAACTGACACAAACACAATGATATTGTAACAGTTTTTCCATCTGTATAAATACCCCCCCCCCCATTTTGTTCTAGATTTTCCAGACTAAGTCAAATGTTTTAAAAATATAAATTGGTTTTCGGACCCAGTGGGAAACCAACACAATGATGCCTAGTTATTTTTGTACCATTATTTATGTAAAAATTATGTTAACAATTTTCAGTCACTGCGCTCTTGTAGAATAAATCTTTTACACTATGACAATATAAATAACTCAAGTCATAAAATAGCAGTTAGGCCACTCCGCCTCTAGTGACCTCATATACATTTATTATTAACATTTCTTGATTAGCAATAATGTTTTCCATTTTCCAGGGTATATACGAAATATATCAGCTCGCGCTAGTGACGTGGCGCGACAACTTATTCAAGTGCCTCAACAAACAAGTGACGAATGCTGTACTCAAATTGATAGAACGCGAGCGGAATGGGGAGACGATCAACACTAGGCTAGTGTCCGGGGTAAGTGACTTTTCTGTGACATTGCTCTAAAAAGAGGGGGGGGGGGGGACATTTTTGTCTCCGTTTGATCAGACCTTAACCCTCATCCAATGGAAAACTCAAACAATATCATTGGTGTTCCTTGTAGCTTTTATTAGCTGTACCGGCGACATCAAAATTTGTTTGCAAACATCCCCTCATAAATCCCTAAATTGCTGTTACATACGACGTCGTTCGCTACCTGTAGTTTCTGCAGGTTAATTTTAAAATATATACATATATCTAAAGATCATTTTAAAGGGGAATCATTTTCTCCTAAGGATGAAGGGTGATATTATATAGCCTAAAGCCTCCTCGGCAAATGTTCTGACACAAAATTTCAATTCGAACCAGTAGTTTCCGAGATTACCGCGTTCAAAAAAACGTACTCTTCGGCATTATTTAGTATAGATTGCGTGGTATGCGCTTGTAATAAGGTTTCTATATTTCCAGGTCATCAACTGCTACGTGGCCCTGGGACTAAACGAGGAGGAGCCGTCTGCCCGGGGGCAGAACCTGGTCGTGTACAAGGACACCTTCGAGGTGATATTCCTCGAGGACACGGAGAGGTTCTACACCAGAGAGAGTACGGACTTCCTCAGGAATAACCCCGTCACAGAGTACATGATTAAGGTAAGAAAGAAGTGGCAAGATGGTTTTCTAGAATATTATGAAACCTGTTTAGTAAAGGTAAAAATTTTCCTTTTCAGACATATTGTGCGCAGTTTACGCGAGTAGTTCACATTTAAGTAAAACATAAAAAACTTTAACGGTTTAAAACGCGAAATATAGTAGTTAAACTTATTTGGAGATTATTTTAACTACGGCCCGACGTTTCGGATACCTCAGTTTAAACTGTTAGTGTTTTATTTAAATCGAAACAGAGATTTTAAAGTGTTCCAATTAAAAAGTTTTTTTTTTTTGTAATTACGGAAGCTATTATGTAATTGAAGTTTTAATGTTATTTCAACTAGTAATATCTTTGTTAACATCCCCTTTGCAGGCAGAACAGAGGCTGCAGGAGGAGCAACGACGCGTCCAGGTGTACCTCCACGAGACGACCATGGAACGCCTGGCGAAGACCTGCGACCGAGTGCTCATCGAGAAACACCTCGAGATATTCCACTCCGAGTTCCAGGTATGCAGTCAAAGTCTGTTCATAATATGACAATGGGATATTTTGACTCGTTAGTCTAACGGTAGCTATGTATAGCTAATCATAAACGGGTACTGGGGGTTCGAGCCCCATCGGGTCCGGACTTTGAAATCTGGATATTAAATGGGTGGTATGAATATCGAAATTCCATCCTGATCAGGTACCACCGTCCACAGATGAAAAAGCCATCAAGTTTAATACCACCCATTACTTATATACTGTCTATAGTTTACGCGAGTACTTCAAATTGAAATAAAACACTTTAACGGTTTAAAACGCTATATGTTAGTTAAACTTATTTGAAAATTATTTTTAACTTCGGCCCGACGTTTCGATGCTTTGCAGCAGTCTGTGGTGATTCAAATGGAGGATTCTCAGACGTGGTCCGAGACATCATCCATCTATAAGTCTCCCCGTGACTACACTAATATCGCGTTTTAAACCGTTAAAGTATTTTATTTAAACACCCATTACTTTTATTGTCTAGTAAGAAAAATGTTTTTATTTCACATCTAGCAATGGAACTATTTTTAATTATTTTATTGTTAATATAAAAAACCGTTATTATACAGAAACTACTAGACGCCGACAAGAACGCCCACCTGGGAAGGATGTACAGCTTGGTGGCTCGTATCCCGGATGGATTGGTGGAGCTACGTCGTCTGCTAGAGCAGCACATACACGCCCAGGGACTGCAGGCGATTGACAAGTGCGGCGAGAGCGCGCACACGGTCAGTTCAGGGGTTCAAAATTCATGGGCATATTCAGGGGTTCTAAACATTTTTGTTGTAGACCTTGAGCTATGATAATTCGTCTTAAAGTTCGCCTATATGTTGACAACAGCAGCGAAAGATTGTTTTCCAACATCAATAAGAAAGTAAATACTGGAATTACTTAGACTATTTCAGGTAGACTATGACATTTGATATGAAACAAGTGCCAAGTCTTCTACAATGGGTAGGCGACACATTTCTTTAACCGTTTTACAATGCGCATATGTAGCTTAATCGGTTAGTAAAATCGTTGTCACAAAAATGTGTTCACTCTATACCCACATGGGAGAGCAAATGTTCGGATTTAAATATCTGTCTGTAGTTACGAGCGAGTAGTAGATGTTTAACAGTAGGAAAGCTTTCCGAAACAACAGCCTTGCTACTACTTACGAGTCAACATAAAATTGGTAAGTTAAAAATCACACATAAATGAACTAATGTTCACTATAAACCCTTAAAGTGTTGAATCAAAATTTAATCGGTTTTAACAATCAATCCAAATCTTCCAAACTGAAGCTCTTACTGGCCCCCGAACAATTTGAACTACGTCACATCTCAAAGTCACGTCACAGCTCTTAACAGCCGTCTCGCTCTTTTTAGTTAAGGAAACGAAAGAAACAATTAGATTTTTTCACCTGAGACTCGATATTTCCTCTACAGGATCCGAAGATCTACGTCTCCACAATACTGGAAGTGCACAAGAAGTACAACGCGCTGGTTCTAGTCGCTTTCAACAACGACTCGGGCTTCGTCGCCGCCCTCGACAAGGCTTGCGGACGGTTTATCAACAGTGAGTGTGGTTCACTGACCCTCGTCCCACGCACCGCTTTCTTCAAAGTGAAATACCGCCTCGTTACTTGCTTAGGCAAATAATTAACGGGAAGTGGGTTTGATTTCCATCAGGTCTAACAGGTTACCAAAATCAGTTGTACAAATTGTACAATGGCTAAAAAACTGGCGAAGCCTTTGATCAAGCGTCTTATACCATTAGTATAGCTAGATTATATGGTTTGACTGTATACTTGACAATATTCAATGATAACTCCTATTTCACCAGGCAATTCAGTGACAAAGGCAGCCAACTCATCGTCGAAGAGCCCCGAGCTGCTCGCCAAGTACTGCGACCTGCTGCTGAAAAAGTCCAGCAAGAACCCGGAGGAGGCGGAACTCGAAGATACCCTCAATCAAGTGGTGAGTTAGCAAACATTATATCATCCAATTCTCATGATAGAGAAGGACAGATAAACTGGGATCTGGGGAAGGTGAAACACGTCGCCATATTTTGGCCTTCAAAATCAATCGCAAATCCACAGGCTGAAACCGAAACGCGATCAAAGTGCACGGCTTTTCCGTTTGTGTACGGTATTTACGGATACGGACCTGGAACCTACAACGTAAAATTTTTTTCAGTCAGAGAAAGTCTCTGGTCTACAATTAGTATTAAAACGTTTGAAGACTTTTTGTTTGAATATTTTTCACATATGGCACATAATGGCATTATATAAATTAAAAATCGATTATGAAATGAAAAAAAATTCCGACACGGGCAGGATTCTCAGCATCCGTCGTCGTCGAATTTTTTCAACCTATTCGCACTCCCGCAATGTAATTTTAACCTTAACACTTGCTTATTATATTGTATTTAAACGATTTAAATCTTTTCTACAGATGGTGGTATTTAAATACATCGAAGACAAGGACGTGTTCCAGAAATTCTACAGCAAAATGCTTGCCAAGCGGTTAGTGCAGCACATGTCAGCGAGTGACGACGCTGAGGTAAGCGCAGAGGAAGTTTTCCCTTACCCCAGTATTCCTTCTTTCAAAAATACCCCTCTTTCTCCTGACCACCGTCCCAGATTACCCCATTCCCATTTTTTTTTTCTTGGCGTTTTTGGTAAACACACACACAATTCACATGATCTCGAGATTTTCTCACAAGGTTTACCTTGCAGTTATTTGCAGTAAAAATCCCTTTGAGACACTAAGAGATATATTAAATTAATAAATTACCTCAAACTCATTTAGTAAAAAGCGCAATTACCTACTAAAATTAATAAAAATTCTAAAAGTTAATATATGTAAATGGACAGAAAATCCAGTACTTAATGAAAAATCAAATCGACCCAGTAGAAGTCCCAATCGTGCACGATCGCTGAAAAATGTTACAAACGTCTAGGTTTAATAATATTGACATAAAAAAACTTGATTTTTAATATAGAGGTCGTCCTGGTCCATAATATAATCGATATTTCTTTGTCCCTGCCCTTGGTCTGCGTAACAACTTCACCTCCTAAATAATCACCACTAGTTCTCTATGGTTTTAAATCGGCCATATTTGTTCTGGTCCCTTGCCAAGTAAGGAAAAATACACAATATTTTATACCTGCATAGAAATTACTTGTTTATTCCTCCTACAACTAGAGATATTGTTTGATAGTTAAATATTGACGATTGAATAGTAATTTAATTTTTCGTATTTCAGGCCTCAATGATCTCAAAGTTGAAACAAGCTTGCGGCTTCGAATACACGAGCAAGCTGCAGAGGATGTTCCAGGTGAGTTTTTTTAACAACGCTTTATTTCGACTAAATCAATGGTAAATGCTGAAACCCGGAACAACAGGATGTAATGTTTGAAAAGATTAAATTAATTACCCTAATTCATAAAGAATGACTTAGATTACCGAAAATTAAGTTCTTACATATTATGTACTTAACTGGCTACTTCAATGGCAACATGTTTCTGAACATTTTATAATTTTTGTAAACAAGCTGGACTTCACCTTGAAATCTGGATTTGAAATAGAGAGCGAGAATATCGAAAATCCGTCGAGTTCGATGTTTCGGTTCTAGCGTGTGGATATTGCTGGAGTATTTTACCTGCCATCAAGTGTAATGCCTACCCTCCTTTATCATAAACAATCTACGATTTGACTTGAACCGCTTGCCAAGTGTATAATTAAAATGATTTTCACAGGACATTGGTGTATCGAAAGACCTGAACGAGAACTTCCGCAAGCACATAGCGAACAGCAGCGAGGTGCCCCTCCACATCGACTTCAGTATACAAGTGCTGTCTTCCGGCTCTTGGCCCTTCCAGCAGTCCACGTCCTTCCAGCTGCCCACGGAGGTGAGATATTATTAATCATTCATATAATAACGTGGACAGGACTTTTTCTTATCTACTAATATACAAAGCTGAAGATGTTGTTTGTTTGTCTGAACGCGCTGATCTCAAGAACTACTACTCGATATGATTTTTTTTTTGTTGGGTAGAGCATTTATTGAAGAAGTCTATAAAATATTTTTTGAGCTATCGTTTCTAAGTAACTGCGAGAAGTGTGGAAAAATCGGGGAAAACTATTCATCTTTGTGAGTTACCGATGCGGTCGCGGGGCGAGTGAATGTTGATTGGTTTCCCAATCGTTTTGCCTTTCTCGGAACAATACGACACTCCGCTTGCTTCTCCAGTACAGTCACGTTTTCCAATCAATGACGTGCGCGATTGTAAATATGTGCAACTATCCCTTCCACATTTCGTATTCCCTGCGAAAACGGGTCAAGGTACCCAAAATATATGTATCAAAGGTGATTCTTCTTTAATTGACCAAAAAAAATGTCCGCGACACTTTATATACCTATCTTTTAAGATTAATTAAATTAAAGACATCGTGAGTAACTTTAAAAATGAAGAGGATGTTCACAAAAACGAATTTAGATGCACAAAATATCTTTTCTATGCGGACGAAGTCACTGACACAGCTAGTTATTTATAATGTGCGTGTCATTACAAACATTTAACATTTTTTGTCGTGACTTGAATTCATGTACGCTTGCGCAATGTAATTCCAACTTTATCATTCACGTATTAGGGTAAATTTTTTCATTACTATCATGTGAAAAATGATAAAGTTTTCAAATGATAAAGTCTATAATTTGATCTTGAATGATTTCTTAAGCTGCAGAAAAGCTTCGAAATATTGTGCTTGAACCCTGAACCTCACAGAAAATAGTTAAATATTAAATTGCATTCTCGTACAGTTGGAGCGATCCGTGCACCGCTTCACGACATTCTACTCGTCTCAGCATTCCGGCAGGAAACTGAACTGGCTCTATAACATGAGTAAGGGAGAGCTCGTCACCAATTGCTTCAAGAACAGGTCAGTTTGTTATTCTCATTGTAATATAAATGTTGGAGTAAGAATGGAATCTTTTTGCTATTAAGAGAATCATAATGACTTCTATAATATGCTTGTGGTCTAATTTTAGATATGTTGTGCTCAACATCAACGGGAAGACGGTTCGACACTCGTCCGGTCCAATGCGAATTTAAATAAATTTATAATACATCTGAAATATGTATGACTTAGTCTGGAATTTCTGATATTAAGTGTGTGGTAGGAATATCAAAGTACTATCTGGGTTACGAGCCGACATTCACAGATGGAAAAACCGGTCGAGTTTCGGTTTCTGTGTGCGGATAATATCCAAAGTCAAAATAGGACGACAGCGCATCTTGTTTATAGTTAATTTTTTATAAATTGATTTTCATTCATTTTAGATATATATGTATTTGAGTTTGTTTCAGTATATAATCCAGGTTTTTAGGTTATTAGTGTAAATACACGTACCTTGTGAGAAAATTACCATTTCATGTAAACTGTGCGTTGGTTTACCATAAGTGCCAAGTTAGAAAAAATACTCTATAAATGTATATATGGCTGGAGTGACTTACCATCAAAATAACCTCTGCTCATCTCAACTCTATCTTTCTTTTTCCAGATACACCTTACAAGCGAGTACGTTCCAGATGGCCGTGCTATTGCAGTACAACGACAACACCGCGTGGACGGTGAAGCAGCTGGAACACCATACCGGTATCAAAGGGGACTTCCTAATACAGGTAAGTTCAATTTAATTGCTGCATTTAAACCAAAAAAACTAATTTATTTACAACACTTGAACGGTTTAAAACGCGATATATGTAACTTATTTGAAAATTAGTTTTAACTACGGCCCGACGTTTCGGATGCTTTGTTTTTATGTGTACTCGCGTAAACTACAGAAAGTATTGGATTCAGGTTGTTTTTTTTCTTCACCAGGTGCTACAGATCTTGCTGAAGGCGAAGCTGCTCGTCTGCCAAGATGACGAGGCAGAACTCAGCGAGTCGTCTGTTGTTGAACTTTATTTAGGTTATAAGAAGTAAGTTTTCTATATCAAAATCCATTATTTTTCTCACTTGTAGCTTAGGCTATCTATCATTGCTCTGAATGTTATTTCAGAACCAATTTTCATATTTTAAGACAATATCAAAAACCTCAGCAACCGACATACTAGTTAGATACGACTTAAGTCGAAGGTGGAACAGCTCCAGAACCCAAGAAACTTTCTCCTCGAAAGCCTCAATTCAATGTTTTAAACACCACTTATACGGGGCTATGGGTTGGACCCCCACCGGGTCTAATAATTTTCTAATCAATTAATATTTTTTCCTGAAACAGATTGGGCTCATCAGAAATCTGCTATCAAAATTCTGTCCGGGTCACGAACAGACGAAAAATCCGTCAATTTTAATCGCGTTTCGGTTTCAGTGTGTCGGTTTCCGAATATCCAAAGTCAAAATAGAACAGCTCTTGTTTCACCTGCCATCGAGTGAGACACGCTCGTCTGTCCTCCTCCGTTATAACAAAATATAATATTTTTTCAGCAAAAAACTACGCGTGAATATAAATATTCCGCTGAAGACAGAACTGAAGGTGGAACAGGAGGCGACGCACAAGCACATCGAAGAGGACCGCAAGATGCTAATACAGGTCAGTGGCCAAAGACACACTTTTGTGTTTCCCGTTTTCCTTTTTAGGTTATCAGGCTTAGGTGCCTTGCCAATACAATTTATCGTTTGGCAGAATTCTGAACCCAGGATTTCTGCATAATGAGCACTTCACTTAACCAACCATTGAGCCAATAGCAAATATATCATGCATACCGATTTGTTATTATGGCATATATTAAATTTTTTTTTGAATTATTTAATTCTCTACAGTGTTAAGTAAGCAAAGCAGTCAATTAGGTCCTATTTTAGGGTTTGTAAAAAGTTTAATTTTAAGATCAGTCATATAGTCAGTGTTTGGGCTATGGTCTTTACGTACATATAACATACAATTAGTTAAAAATCGATTTTTAGATTGTAAAAAATTGCCAAAACGGATAGTCTCGAACCGGCATCCACAGCGTTGCGTGCTGACTTGACCTAATTGAGCTACCGTTTCCTTGCCATATTTTGATCTATCATGAGAAAATGTCTAATTTTTCATACAATATGTTTTCAGGCAGCGATCGTGCGCATAATGAAGACGCGCAAAAAGCTAAAACACCAGCACTTGGTAGTCGAAGTCCTCAACCAGCTGTCGTCTAGGTTCAAGCCGCGCGTGCCTGTTATTAAGGTGAGCCAACGATCGATAGAAGTAATTTAATACCGTGGGCCGTGGAGACATATTTCTGTGTCTGTTTCTTTATAAGCAAGTAAATAGATGGTCAGACTTCTGTGCCCGTACGCTCAGGCCTAGGAATATGTACATTAAGGAAATATGTACAGCAAAACGATTTCTTCCTGAATCCACACAAAAAGCGTATTATGCGGGATAGAGAAAATAAAATGAATTTGCTAATTTATACGTTACACTAGCTGACCCGGCAAACGTTGTTTTGCCATATAAATAATTTTACTAAAATGGCTATTAAAAAATAAGGGTTGATCGTAGAAGGGTGAAAATTGTATGTATTGTTTGTATGTTGCGTCATGTTGTATCAAAAAATCTAAAAAAAGAAAAAAAGTTAGGGGTGGACTACCCCTAACATTTAGGGGGATGAAAAAAAATATGTTGGCCGATTCTCATAGATACCGGATAAGCACGAAAAATTTAATCAAAATCGGTCAAGCCGTTTCGCAGGAGTATGGCAACGAAAACTGTGACACGAGAATTTTATATATTAGATTAAAAAGGTGTGTTTCTGAAGTTATAAAGGTTGTTTTACGTACATTCAATTATTTAATGTAATTTAAATTATAATCAATTATTATTAGTTTGACTGGAGGTTGTGATGACTTATTTACGCGCTTTTTCGTTTATTATAGAGCTCCTTATGGTTTTATGTAGGACTCCTTTATAAAAGATAGAAATCGTATTAAGCTTTAAAAGAAAGATAAAATGTCTCAAATTGCTAGAAGTGGCGAATGCAGCCAGAAATCGTAATAAACAGGGTTCTACTGTTATAAGTCATTTAAAAAACATTAGGCTGTTTTCGACCTGTTCGCCCGTTGTTATTGAGAAGTTTGTCAATTTAAAAAATTACTAGTACTGAAGATAGACAGTATATATATATCAACGTATTGTTTCAGAAATGTATCGACATCCTGATAGAGAAGGAGTACCTTGAGCGCACCGAGGGAGAGAAAGACACGTACAGCTACCTGGCGTGATCTCGCAACTATACGATATAACTAAATAAATGTAACAATATTATTAATGGCGAGTTTTATTTTACCACTGTGGAGGGTAGTTGTCAAATTTGTGACGTAAGATTTTCGCAAGGTTGCAAGATCCCTTTCCGTACAATTCCGACAAAAAACAAGTTCAGTGTTAAGTTTGTAACTAGCAAATGAATTTACGTAATATTATTATTTTTTATTATAACATTAAGAACTACCCTCTAAATATAAAGAAAATAGTTAGTACATAAGATCAAAGTCAGAAAATAGTGTGTTACATCCTCATTGTTACATAATTCCTTCCAATTTGATTATTTCAAGTAATTAGTAAATATGTCAATGGTAAGAAATAAAAACAAACAAATTTAAATACATAATTTATTTCTATGGTACATGTTTGAATGATTTGCCGACAGAGTTTATAAACATTTTTACCGTTCAACATACAGAGGTAGCCAACCTATTATAGACCGGATTTTTAATATTACTATTAAATAATTTCTGCGCAGTCGACCCACGCTTGTAACATTTAAAAATCCGCTAAATTCTTCAAAAATTCCCTAATCCATTCAGCGACAGCCATGACACTGTATTAATTACTTTTAATATAAACATAAAAAAGTAACAAACATAAAGGCACACTTCCGTTTTCGCCTTTTACGATTTTTTTATTTATTAGCGGCATTTGATTCTCGTAGCTAGCAACACTCAACGTGAAATTATTGTCTGTGCATGGAATTGAGATACTGGCCGGACGATATAAGATGGCCACAAACTTCGGGGACATAAAACAGGAATGAATAAGAAACACCGAGTAATCATAGTAACTGATAAAAATTACATTAAAATTTATGTCAATGATAAAATATTTATTGCCTTACGAATAAACATGCTAGACTAATAATAAAACCAAAAATATGTCGACCGCTTAATAGTGTTCTTTGAAATTCATTTTGCATTTAACAATTATAAAATGCCTCGTTACAGATTCGAAATATCCAGTAAAATAAAGTACAATGGAAAATGTACTTCATACCTTATAACACGTTTATTAGTAGGGCAGTTAGTCAACAAAAACCATACCAAGTTGTCTTTCTTTTTGTCTAAATTGATCACAATTTCAAGTAAAATTTCTCATACAGAAATAAAATAAAAATCATTTATCAAAGCGCCATCTAGTTACGTCGGATTAAATAAAACTATGTAGGAAGTGCGCAATTTGAGATACTGGAATAATATTGTATATATGGGAACTATGCCTGGCTTGCTTAAAGTCCATAATGACACTTCACTTTAGTATTTATATTCGTCTGACTGCATCTTGACCTGCAATGGAGTACAAAGATTACTAAATTTACTCTTAGTTTAATGATTATTTAGCACCTATCAAAAAATAATGCATACAAAAAGGCCCAAGAGTTTGTTTAAACAAAAAATAATTTTTGTGGTAAATAACACCATTTAACGAGGATGCTTATAAAGCATCAAGCGCGTCCAATAGAAGCGAAAAAAAGGAAAGTGGAAATTAGAAAGTTTCCCTTGCGTGCGCTGCGGAACGCTTTAAGTTACGCAAAAACTATGTATAAAAAATTTTCTTTTAAGATTAACTCATAAGAAGCATTATTGCGGTAATCAAATTTTGTCGCAATTACTTCAAATGACAAGTATGTATGCCGGGTCAGCTAGTTGACTAATAAAATACCTGGCTAGCTGTCATCTTGCAGCGTATTGAAGCGGTTCCCGAGCGTGAGAGGCTGCGAGGTGGCCTGCGCCCTCGTGGCGCCTCCGCCCCCCGCCGTGCTCCATCCACCGCCGCGCTTCGCCCCCGCCCCCAAAACTGGAAAGTAATCCTCGTTGTGGATATCCAACGAAGCTTTCTGTAATTGATGGTGTTGTTATCAGAAATCTGGTTTTATGGTGGGTTATTGTTATTTTCTATTGGGGAAACCAATGCTAAACATTTTACCCATTTCCCTATTACGGAGAAAAATAGTAGGTAAAAGGTAACTCTCTTAAAATTTATTTAGTAAGAACAAACATTCATTCTACTACTATTCTTCTATTATGTGTTTGTTGAATTAAATGTTGACGTGTATTAGTTATTCAAACATTCGAAACATCAGGCTGTAGTTAAAATAAATAGTAAATAAGTTAGCATTTCGAATTTGAAACCGTTAGTTTTTCATAAATTTCAGTTTAAGCTTGCAAAAACTTAAGATATCATCAAAATTATATGATTGATGTACTACTGAATTATTTTTCCTAACCATAAAAAATAATATAATTGAAATAAAAAAAAAGTTCATTACATTTACATTCTGCGTCCGACGGACCGGTCCATCGCAAGGCCGATGTCTCGACTGGGGAGGTAAATATGCGGCTGGGGCTCGTGACTTTTCCTCTTCTGGAGGCGGTGCAGGCTTCGCCACTACTTGTTCTGCTTCTACCTGTAAAAGTAACATTTCATTTTTTTTTATGAAGAATTAAATAATAAGTTACAGTATTATGAGAAAGAAGATTAATTTAATAACACAAAATTCATAAATCTATGCAAATGGTTTGTGAATTTTCATACTTTTTAGGTATTCCAATTGTTATAACCTAACCTTTAATAAAAATTAGATTTAAATCATGCAAAATTATGTGTCTACATTAACATGATCAAATGTATGTTAATCTAATCACATACATGTCACACTAATATGTATGTATCAGTTTAAATTTGTTTCTTATTATACAAAATATATGTTCATAGTAGTAAACTTAGTTACATATCCATAATAAATATCCAATAAATAGAGCTTTAGTCTGGTCAGCATGACGGTATATTAATATTGTTACAATAATGAGATCAAGGGCATGCTAGACAATTATGTAACCGAATGACATAAAACAATTACAGCAAAGATTATTTACTAGTTGCATCATAGCAAACATACTAACAGGTTTGTTCCAGGGTCCTTTGTTCTTGGAGTTTTCTGATGTGACATCTTCCATCAATTGTTCCCGGCCAGACTCGGGGGCTCCAGCCCCACCTTGCAGCACCTGAATTTTGAGCCCCGTGTAATCCTTCACTGGTTCTGCATACTCTTTCCATTCTTCTTCTTCCTGAAATCAAAGGGCCATGGTTTGTTTTTAAAAAGCAGACTCAAATAATAAGCCTTGTTACTGGTGTAGTGACTTATGGCACTATTTACTAGTTCAGTGGTGATGACAATAATAGATCTACACCATTGAAGATGTACTAAACGGTAAAGTTTGAATTCATGACTTACATGTCAAACCCAAAACTTCCGGCCTTGGGAGAAACTTAGACTTGGATTTAGATTTAGAATGTGAATCGATATCATGTGGTATTTTTCTAGCTCTCTTGCAAAACGATTTATTAAAAAACATGCCAAAATTAGTTTTAAGCATCTTAATAAAGCAAATAATTAAGCCCCTATTCAAATATAAACTATAAGTACACTTGTAATACCCAATCTTATCAGACAAAGTGAAAATAATAATAAACAGTTAAGTACTGTAAATTTTAGATAGCGTTTATATCAAAATAAAATTATTCACGCCCTTTCTTTTCTTAACATAAAACCAAAGTTACACTGCCTTTGTGAATCAAACTCGTACGAAAGAATAACAATGTAGTGATAAAGTAGGTCGAAGATATTTGCTATGTCGAAACATTTGCGTGTTGATTTGTTAACCTTTAATTTGGGGCAGAGGAGTGCCACTGTCCCACTGCGTGAAACTACGAGCCTAACAATTGCTAGAAACCGTTAGTTTATATATCCTAAGTTTGCATGCACGCGAGACGTGGTTTCAGGACGAAGGGACCACCTGCTTCTGACGTATGACAAAGATTACATGTCGATAATCCACACGTATAACACAAAGTGACTAACCCCAGCACCACCCGCGTCTTCGCCTTCCTGAACCGGACGCTCTTTCTTCGGTTTCACGTCGGCCTTCTGTTTTGTGTCCTCCAATTTTTTCGCCAGTTCATCGGCGGTTGCAAACTTTTTGACCGACTTTGACTTTTTGCGATCCTTTTTCGCGAAGAAATCGTCCAGATCGGCCATCGTTAATTTTGAGTAAAACTTATTATGGTATAACGTAACAAAACAGTAATATTAGAATAAAATATATTATGGGGGAAATACGTGAATAATCCCCCGGAATGATTTTTGTGGCAAGCGTGGCCGACTGTTTTTTTTTTTAATGAAATGGCAGATTGATAATGTTGCCACTTGCGATTTTTGTTAAACATAGACAATGATGAATAGACAGAAATCTCATGCAACCATAAATTCTACCAAGCTTAGTAGAAAAGATTTTTAATTATTGTAACTTGTAGAAGTATATTAGAAAAAAACATATTTTATATTTAATTAATTATGAATAAAAGTACAATTGGTTTATTTTTTCCCAGCGGAATATGTTATATTTAAACTCTGGAGCTTTACAAATGTGTCATAAATAACTTTTGTACGTATGTACTTCTGTTACATACAAAAGTGCTTGGCAATATATAAAACTTAATATTTCAATCAAAAAATTAATCAGTACAGTTGAAGATGATGTCTTTTATATCTTATATATATACGATAGATATAGTTATATATATACGATAAGTATAATACGACAACAAAAAAATATTAACCAAGTAAAGTTTTTAGGAATCAGTAACATCGAAAATAACCCTCCAAGTACCAGCTATGACCTTACACGACCGCTGCCTTCCATTACTGAAATACGTGAACTGTGGCCACTGTACAAACGCAACATTTTCCTTATCACCACACCTCGTAACAGACGTATCGACACTCAATATTCAATATCCTTATCTAATCTACCTGGACAAGGGAATCATATCATTTGGTTTAAAAAATTGAAGCTAAAATGTTGGGTGCCGTAGTGAGATCACACCTTCTTGGTAGAAATGTGATGAAGAACTTCGTCAGGAACGGTTCTCACGGAGGAGTTCCCGGGGAGGTAATTATTCGAATTTTAAATATTTCAGTAGTTTTGTGTTACGTAATTATTTACGATGAAATTGGTCTTCCATATTAAACGGTACCCGATGAAAATGGAACACGTTTCATATTGTACAGGCTGCTGGATGAACTTGCCAACTAATAGGAGCTTGGACTTTATAAAAGAGCTTTCAATATGTCACCAATAATGATTTAAATATCATATGCAACACCAAAACTAAGCCGATAAGCTTGCAAAAGATTATCTAGTGTTCGGTTTAATACATGTAGCTCTGCTTACTAAAACGGGGTGAATATTTCAATTTAGTTATTCTTAAAGTAATGCTCTGTAAGTAATACATAAATCCGGAGCTAAAAATGTATCACGGTGTACTTAATATAAAGTATCAATGCAACTGTTCTTATTTTATCATTAGATATAGGTACATATTATGTTGTTTTTTTTTATATTAAATTATAATTCCTTTTTTTTTAGAATTTACCTTTCGACATCCACAACCGAACTAAGCTAACCGTGAACTTCTTCCTCTTTATGTTGACTGGAATTTCGTCGCCCTTCGTCATTACTGCCTTCCAGATGTCCAAGTAGAGGTATGTTTTTTATAAGTAAATATAAAGTTGTGTTTTAATTAACAGGTTCAAAGACAAGAAACAGTTACAACTTTTTGTCTGTAGTCTATGCGAATGATATAAAACACTGGAAAATGTTTAAAACGCGAATATACGATTCACCAATAATTTTTTGATGGGATGTTTAATCTAATAGAAACGATGTATGGCTAAAAATCCACAGGTTGTGGATTCGATCCGCACCGCGCCCAGCGTGTTTCTAATGAATTTATATTTTTTATGAAACAGCTCCGTTTGGGGTAGAATATAGAAATTTCATCCGAATCACGAACCACCATCCACAGATGGAAAAGTCGTAGATTTCCGAATATCCAAAGCCGAAATTGGTCCAGATGTTGAGATGTTATATGGCTGCGCTATTTATTTCACCTACCATCATATTATAAGCCCCACGCTTATCTGTCCTTCTCTATCTTATTTTTTTTTCTTTAAGTATAAATGCATACACCTCTCTTACACGTAGTCGTAAACGTATTACAGAAGATCTTAAATCAAAATAGTGTTCAGCACAAAATTGAACCTAAGACTTTAACCATAGAGTACGTCAAATACAGCTGTTTATAACATTAATATAGCTTTATGCCTTCAAACATATTTTTCTCTTTATAATTATTAGCGACATCCCAACATCAACAATAGCACACAAAGAACAGGATAAATATTTCTCATTTTCCTGTTTGTACACAAACTTGTCTTCGTGTGGTTCATGTAATTGCAAGAGCCATAATGCAGCTTTATGGCCATACCATTTTAATTACGTAATGACTAATAGTGAATCGTAGTGCCTACTGCTTAGTTATAGGGAATGCTTTGATTGAAATTTGGCAGAGGTCGTAAACTTTATAACCTCAACACTAGGTACTGTAAAATTCACTTCATCTATCTATGCTAATATATAAAGCTGAAGATTTTGTTTGTTTGAACGCGCTAATCTCAGGAGCTACTGGTTCGAATTGAATTCTTTTTGTGTTGGGTAGAGCATTTATTGAGGAAAGCTATAGGTATAACACATCGCGATGTGACTAATTACTAATAGGAGCGAAGAAACAACGGGTGAAGTGAAAACATCGGGAAAATCGGGAATGGGTTTTCGACGCGTATGCAGCAAGAACGGTTCAATATACCCAAAAAAATATGTATTAAAGAATTAATCCTCTTTAAATGATCTAAAAAAAGTCCTCGGCGCTATATGTTTATCTTTTAAGATTAACTTGCAAAAACGATGGGAAGGGACACGATCGACGTCGTGGGTAACATTTTAAGTTTATAAAGAAGGGGTTTGCAAGAACAAATTTGGATCACTAATAGTCTATTATGATCGATGTGAAAACCCAAAAAATACGCGGACGAAGTCGCTGACACAGCTAGTATATATACAGTAAATCGCACAGAATAGACGGGACTTGAAATCAGGATGGAAGAAATCCATTTATGGTATTTTTTATTTACATTTACTGCCAGCTAGAACCTGCTTATCGAATCCTACATAGAAATCTTTAAATTCAAGCACAAAGTAGCTAATGAAAATCGTCGAGGAGCTCCCTAAAACGTCACTCGTCTCCATCATCAGGTGTAAAGTTTTCAACATTACAAATAATTTGAGCCCAAAAACAAGACACTTTCTGTGACTGTCTCTCGTCTCTATAATCAGTTGTCCACCCAATTTTCATAACTTCCTCTCCATGATGATTTCGAGAATCTGTTGTTTTTAAGTCGATTAAAAGATGACATATTATATACAATTTCTTATATGATGCTATATATGTATATGCTATGAACGATGCTAGCTCTTGTTTAATATAGAGGTAATATTTAATGGCTACCTTTGTTTGCTAAAACCCTATAGACATAAAGATATAATCTAAAACTGTTGAAAGTTTCAAGAACGTCTTCTTTGCCCTTCAGAAAAATCAATATAAGGACTCATAAACAGTTGAACGTTTTTACGTAACGCGTTACAGCGCCAGGGTGGTAGAAACCCCACCCGGGTTAACCACCAATTACAGATAGTAAGGTGAAAATGTATGTTTTAAAATTAAAAGCTATGGATTTCTGAATATCTCTAACAAATATATGGTCAGCAAATTTCATCTCCCATGAAGTGATCCTTATGTTCTAAAAAAAATAACATGTACTTTTTTCTCTTTAGATCACCATCGTTAAATACCTTAGTTCGTTAAAGTTGACATTTGAACAAGCTGTAAATCAACGCTGTTGCATACTATTGCCCATTGTTTTCCAGTTAACGATAATATTTTGGTTATGACGACGCAATACAGCGAAATGATGAACTTGAAATGTACCGCTATAAAAAATTGCAACTCAAAGTCTACATAGTTATATTTTAACTGTAAATTGTCTTCTTATATACTTTTTTATCCTGGTTAACCGGACTATTTAATAGGAAATGATATGTGAGACACAAAATATGTGTAAGGAATCTAGATTTTATCCTTATAACTTGAAATTTCGTTAATGTTTTGTTTTGTGTGTTTGTTTGTTTATATATCGCAATAAAACTGAATAAGCTTTCAGCTTAATGATTTTGTAGGCGCACATCACACCATATAAAGATCCTGCTGTGCCCGTGACTTCGTTTGCGTAGAATACTTTTTTGACATCTATTTATGTTTTGCAAATCCACTCATATTTATAAATTATAGCTGTTAACCATAACGTCCTGCTATCTTAAAAGATAGACATGTACTATCGCGGATATGATTTTTAATCATTTAATAATCAATCATGCTTTTTTTATGTATCTTGAATAGTTTTGGCAACGCCCGCAACAATAATCCTAAAAGATGACAAAAAAAAATCATATTGGTCGCAGATCTTTTATAGCCTAAAGCCTTTCTCGATAAATGGGTTAGAGCAGAACACAAAAAAAAAATCTAATTAAAGCAAAAGGTTTCTGAGATTAGCGTGTACAAACAAACAAATTATTCAGCTTCATAATATTAGTATAGATTAAAAACAGGAACTTTTAATGTAGATAATAACATTCTATTTCAGATGTACCAATCCAAGGACGTCTGGATTCAAGCTCCTCACTTGTAGTTATTAATTTAGCTAAGAAACAAATGTCTAAACAACAATAGATAAATAAATCTGTACAAAACTATTTACATGAGATAGTTTTATTTTTATTTGTTTAATTTTAACCGAAAGGTTTTAGATGCGTTCAAGATTTTAGTTACAAAATCTACCAAATTACTTGAACGCAGTAGTAGTTTTTAACGGAGGTGAAAAAGAGAAAGCATTATATCTGTATCGCAGTTCAGTTTCGATCCCAAAAATCCAGATTTCTGTAGATTGGAAAAATACTGCAACTGCAGTGATAATACTTTAACAAAATGCAAGCCCCTTTGTCTCGTATCGCTAACAGGCTAGGCAGAAATGTTATGTCTAACTTCGTTAGAAACCATTCCCACGGAGGTGTCCCTGGCGAAGTAAGTACCATATTCAAAATATTATATAATCGTCTTTTGTTTTAGTTAAAACTTTTTAACTGATATAGAGCTATTTCGTTATTAAACAGCATTGATCGACGATACTTTTATCTTATGTTGTATTATTATATACTTCTATAAATATTATATGTGTTAAACATTAAAAGTAACCTCAAACAATATACTTAATTGCTTATAATTAAAATTAGAGTCAGATAAAGACTAAAAACCAAACATATAAATATGTGTCTATAACTTTACAAGAGTGTTAATAGTTATCGAGTATTACTTTCATTTTCAGAACTTACCCTTCGATATTTCCAACCGTTTTAAGTTAACTGCCCTGTTCACCGTCTTCATTGGATCTGGTTTAGGAGCACCCTTCCTCATCACCCGTCATCAACTGCTTAAGAAGTAGATTTGTAAGTATGTAGTCATTTTAATCACGTAGATGTAGATAAAAGGAAGTAATAGGCTGACAGTAATTGTATACAAATCTATGATTTAAATGTGGCAAACAATAAATATTATCTTTATAATTTAGTTTAAGTCTGTATGGAAACTTAAAAAAAACAAGAATATATTTTGGGAAGTATTCAAACCTGGGACTCACAAGCTTCTCAATATGTTCAGGGTAAGCTTATCTTAATTAAGAGTCTGCTTATAAGCCAAAAAGTAAATAACTGAATTTATATTTACATTTGTGTACATATATATGGACTCAATTTTTTTTTATTAGTACTGTCTGTTAAATTATGTTTTAAATATTGTATCTCTTTCTCTTTTTTATTGTAACTCTTTTCATTAATTGGATATTATCTTGTTACAGATACAGCTATGTTGGGATTTAGGTTAAGCTAGCAAAGTGTAAATGTATCAATAAATTATAACGCATTTATGGTCATTTTTATTACTTAGTGCGTCAGCGAGTAATACCTCTCATTTTAAAATAGATCTAAAATTGCTACTGATTTGGTGTAAATAACGTAAGTTTATATTGTAGTCTTAAACCATTTCAATAGCATAGAATTTGATAGTTGATTTTTCTTAAATGTTAAGTTTTATTTAAGTTCATATTTGAGAGATCTTAAATCTCTTTTTTTATAATATTTTATTAGAACTGCAACAAACGATTATTAAGGTAGATGCAACTAAAAAAAAAAACTTGACTTGAAACCTTATGACAGTTTACCACTTGGCAACTGACAATTGACACAATTATTTGTTTATCTTATGTTCTAAATAAAATTGTGATAGAAAAATAGAACTAACGTTTGCAATATTATTACACTGTATTATTTAGATTATTAAACAACTGAACCTAGTTAGTAGTTCTTACATGACATTACACAATTCTGATGTAGAGGTTTTTCCTTTTTAAAACACGCGTGTTTTAAAAATATTTAGTCCGACGTTTTCAAAGTGCCGGTAACGAAACACTATGAACGAAACTGCGTGCTATATCCTGGATAATGGAGCATATACCGCGAAAGTGGGTTTATCATCAATGGCTCCGAAGATCGTACCCAACTGTATAATGAAAGCGAAGTCGGAACGCCGTCGACCATTCATTGGATCTCAGATAGAAGAATGTCGGGACGCGTCTGGTTTATTCTACATTCTGCCGTTCCAAAAAGGATTTCTTATCAACTGGGATACGCAAAAGACGGTCTGGGACTACACGTTTAGCAAGGAATGCTGCCCCGTTAACTTCAATGAGACTCCTTTGATTGTAACTGAGCCGCTATTCAATTTCCACTCCATACAAGAGGCTATGACTGAGATCTTCTTTGAAGAATATGAATGTCAATCACTTCTGCGCATCAATTCAACAGATCTAGCTGAATACCATTACAGGAAAGTACATAAAAACGAATGTACAGTTGTTGTAGACTCTGGTTATAGTTTTACATATATAGTCCCATATATAAATGGTAAGAAGTATAAGAATGGGATAAGACGCATTGACGTTGGAGGAAAGGTATTGACAAATCATTTAAAGGAAATACTGAGTTATCGCCAGTTGAATGTTATGGAAGAGGGTTATGTTATTAACCAGGTGAAAGAAGACTCGTGTTTTGTGTCTCAGGACTTTATGGGAGATATGGAGATAGCTAGGAAGAAAGGTATAAATAAATTATTTATTTTATTATCATACGATCAAAGGTAATTTAGAATTAAGGAAACAAAGCTAAGCTGTTCAAATCTTTATTTATGATTATAAATTTTATTACAATATTAATCTGAAGAGAGTCACAATATCACTCTTGTAATATTGCCAGGTGTCTTTGCTTATATAAAAATATAGCTTTAAATAAAGTTTTGGTACAATTGTTTACCTTATTACCATTTTCTTTCAGGTTCCGAAAACACTATAGTTAAAGACTATGTCTTACCAGACTATACAACTCTCCGTAGAGGCTATCTCCGGGATATAGTTAAGCCAGATGAAGACTTAGAACAACAGACAATACGTTTAAACAATGAAAGGTTCAGTATACCTGAATTATTATTCCACCCATCAGACGTTGGTGTACCACAAATGGGCATACCAGAAGCTATAATACACAGTATTGACTTATGCCCGGAAAAGCACAAGGAAAGCTTATTGGAGAATATAATTTTGTACGGAGGTAACGCATTATTCCCAGGGTTCCGAGATAAAGTTTACAATGAAGTAAGGGCATTTGCGTTGGATCATTTTGATGTTAATGTTAGTATAGCAGACAATCCTATAACATATGCGTGGGAGGGTGGCAAGCATTTCTTCAGGGATCCAGAGTTTTACTCTTTCTGTATGACAAAAGAGGAATATGAGGAGGAAGGCAAAGCGTTAGCCTTTGAGAGGTTCGATATATAGCGGCGGAAGCGAGCGAGGAAATCTTCAGAGTGAAGTGTCGCTCGGAAAATGTGAAAGTTTAGTGAGGTTGTAAATTGTTGTTGTCAGCAATTCAAAACTCTTAAAGATAAGTACGTCGTGAAGGTTGTTTTATATCAGTACTATAGTTCATAAAAGTCTTGACTTAAATTTATACTATTGTTGCAAAAAATATCATATATGTTTAGCAATAAATACTCAGTAGAGTACATTTAAAGAGGAATCATTCTTTCATACGTATTTTTAGGGTATCTTGAACGGTTTTCGCAGCGTACGCATCGGAAAATCACAGAAATGACGATTTTTCCCCTTTTTTTTCACATTTCCCTCTGTATCTTAGCTCCTCCAGCCTTCCTCGATAAATGTTCTAGCTAACACAAAAAGAATTTTTCAATTGGAATCAGTAGTTCCTGAGATTGGCGCGTTCAGACAAACTCTTCAGCTTTAGATTAGTATATAGATGAGGCTGCTAGTGGCAGCGTGGCCTAATAATAAAAACATGACTTAATAAGGAGGAAGAAAACTGTGGGAATTATAATTAGGCGAAAATGAATTTATACTATTATTTGTGGAAAAATTATGTTAACTATTTTAGCCCGGTGCTCATGTTAATTAACATTTTTAAACTTTAAAAATATAAATAAGTCAAGTCATAAAATTGTAGTTAGGCTACTCTTCCTCTAGTGGCCTCAGATATGTGTATATAAACAATTAAATAAAACCACCTTTTTTGTAATTAAATTTTATTAACTCAATAAGGCCTCCATTTTACCCACTCGTCAAAGCAAAGCAAATAAATGCTTTAAAAATAAATTATAACTCTGAAATGCTAAAGCTGACATACAATTTATGGTCACTGACCAAACTTTCTCAAACAGTTGAAATATATATCTGGGAGCAGAGGTTATTAACCCCTAAAATACCTCAATTTAATTTCAAATAGAGTTTGACAAAGAAATATAAATTGCAATACAAAGGTCCATTAGTAAGGTTAAATTACAAGAGTTTCAATTTTAAAACGTTTATTAGAATTAAATTAAGATACGCGTTTATATGTGACCTAAACGTAAAGTAAAACTAAATATTTTACAGCTAGGGTGATAACAAAATGATTTTAACTTCTGTCATATTACTTGATATGGGAGAAGGTTTTTAACTGCTTGAAGATCAGTTCGATTTGGAAATAATAATATGTTAGTTACATCGCTCGAAGATATTTTGGTATTATTGTCAGTAATCCTTATAATACCAATTACAAAATATGTAAAATCACTAGAAGCGTGACATTTGTTAAAACCTTCCACCAAGGGCTTTCCCAATTGGTGTGACTCTTGACAGGGGGTCCCCCAAGCTTTAAATTAGTTATTGCATACTATCAGCTGGGGATCGCACGTCATCGATTTTGAGTATCATCTTGACCAACTGTGTTGCGAGGGCAATCTGCTGCTTCTTAGAATGGAGTGACTCTATTACATTAAGTCCTTTCATGTCATTGGAATCTGGAATGTATATAAATATTTAATAACAGCTCATGTACATTATCCTAAGTGGGGAAATGGCTGAAACGATCAACATAGTGTATGGACTGATCATCCGGCCTTTGATCAGTGTCCCCAGGAGAAAATAATACTATACTAAGCTAAAATAGATCAACTGCATTTATTTAGATATTATATGACTCAGATATTTCACCTTCCATCAAGTGACATACTTGTCTATCATATCCTAAAAACTTGTTACATATAAAGTTAAACTTTACACACATTACACTTACACACACACTTTTACTTTCAAAGAAGTGCAACACATATTAAACTTTTAATGTTTGTTTTCCGGGGGGGCCCGCCCTCTTTTTATTTTTTTTTTTTTTTTTTGAAAAAAAAATTTTTTGTGAAGGGTTTTTTTTTTTAATTTCTTGGGGGGCGGGTTTTTTTTCCTTTCTTTTTTTTTTTTTTCCCCTTTTTTTTGTAGTAACATTACACTTTTATAACAAACTTTGCCTTTCAAAGGTACAGTGCAAGACTTTAAATTATTTATTAGGAAAGCACAGATTATTCAGACATTTATTACAATAGTACCAGAAAACATAGACACTTACCACTGTTCATGCAGTCAATACCCAGGTTAGGGTTATTTTCAGCTGCCTGGCGAGCCTTGACATCTGATAAAGCATCAATGGGAGATAGACCACTGAAACAATTTTCAAATTGAAGTCTCAGACACAACAGCCAAGGAGATTATCATTATTTGTCATTACAAAAACGTCTTTGATCATTGACATTGTATTTAAAGATGTGCACTATTATTACAGTTAGAACTTTGGAACGATTGTTACTGCTTTTCGAAAAGTACATTTGCTACAAAAAGCTAAAAATAATATGTTTCTAAAGCTTAAAAATAGCAGTTTATGATAATAATATGAAATATGATATTCAAATTACCTGTTCTCAGCCAAAGCCATTGGTATAGCTTCCAGGGCGTCCGCGAACGCTCTGAAGGAATACTGTTCGAGTGAAGACAGCTTGTCTGCTTCGCGAGCCACCGCTAACGAACAAGCGACTTCAGCGGCGCCTCCGCCGTACACGACGCGAGAGTCCTGCACCAAACTCCTGACAATGCAAAGAGCGTCGTGCACGCTCCGCTTCGCCTCCTCCACAATCATTCTGTTGCCACCGCGCACCAGGACGGTGACAGCACGCGAATTGGAACACTCCTCAATAACCAACATCTCGTCCTTTGTTGTACCGAAGGCTGTAAATACATTTTCTAGTATAAGTAAACTAATAAAATATTCCCTTTTTATTATATTTGCCTGTCGTTGTTCAAAGGCTCAAGTGTGCGAGATCCTGGCGGAACATTCGTCAGTTATCTTATCAATTAGTTGCCTGTAAATAAGATCAGTAAAATGGAAACAGCTTACACATACACTAATAAGATCAAGATGTTCGTTGCAATCTGGGGAATTATTTAAAAAATGCAACCACCTCATCAATATCAATCCTCTTTAAGTAAATTGAACTATATAATTCATTATCCTGTATCATAACTGATCATTTAAAGGCTTTCTTTTTAGTCTGAAAAATCTAATTCAAAATATGTATTGCACGTTTAGACATATTGTGCCCATCATATAACCAAGATATTAACTTACTCAGTTCCCGAACCAATCCACAGTGACCTAGTTTATCGGCAGTCAACTCCTCAAAGCGCGGCACGATCCTGCCTCCAGTAGCAATAGCTATGAGTTCCATTTCTGGGCCACCCACCCATCTCACTGCTGGCAGCTGTTCCGCCAGGAGAAGGTGGTTAGCTTCATCATCGAAGCCCCATTGGCAGATAGCCAGGGTTGCACCAGTATCCTGATTAAAAAGATAAATGTATTCTAGACTTAACTCCATAATAATTATGGTTTATATTTAGAATATTCAATAATTACCTTAACTCGTCGCACCATTTCGATGAACTTCTCATGTTCATACTGCCTCAGTTCTCTGTACTCTTCTACTGTGCCCACTTGGAGCTTATGCTTGGTCTTGGGCTTTGGTGGCTCAAATGGGCAAGTGAGGATTGCCAGCTTAACATCCTGAAACAACGAAATTAGTTTTTAATTATTATAGCTAAATCACACTAGTCATATGATGTGTTTAGAAATATATTATGTATAACAAGTTTACCTTAAGAACTTTAGGCATCTGTGGATGACTCATAGTTTTATCTATGACAACACCTCGAACGAGCATGGAGTCTTCCATTTTTCCGCCAACTTTCCCTTCCACCTTGATCAGTTCAAAGTTCACATCACGTTTCTCTAGATCAGCTACAGACAGGACAGCCTACAAAATTGTACAACCGTAATTAGTTTATATTTCCCACGCAAGTTTAGTGTATGCATATATTTTTTTATAAAGACATATATATATATTATTCTTAGCCTCCTACATTAATGGTGAATATAATCTACTTACATCAACAGCAATCTCAGCCATCAATCTGTGGCATTTGACAACAACTTTACTACCAAGCGTTGTCATAGCAACCTTGATGAGATGCTCCCTAGTATCCTTGTTTACTGGGAATGCTTCACTGATGCTGTCAAGATGGGCTAATGCTGTAGCTGCAGCCAACTCGAAACCATCAGCAATACGGATGGGGTGGATACCCTTCTCTAGTAAGTTGGAAGCCTGCTCCAGCAGGGCACCTGTGCATACATATTGATAAGTCAATGTTAGGAATTATGCCTAATATATGTGTACTTCATACAACCATGAATGACTTGGCTATATATTGACAGTAGGTATAGTGTACCTACTGTCACTACTGTACTACAATGTGAGATTGAGATAATATGATAAAATTTTCATGCCGAGCCCAAATAGTAATAGCAGAAATTTGAAGTGAATTTGTTTAAACAGTTTGGAAATGCAAGTCTATTAATACGCTGAGTACATACTAAGTGCCTATTTTTTTTAAGTAGGTGTTGTGATAACCTACCAGCCAAAACCACAACACCAGTAGTTCCGTCTCCAATCTCATCATCTTGACTCTGTGCAAGCTGCACCATAAGCTTTCCAATCTGATGTTCAACATCCATCATCTTTAAAATTGTAGCACCGTCATTGGTGACTGTCACTTCACCATCTGAAGACACCATCATCTTATCAAGCCCACGGGGGCCTAGTGAGGTTCGTAGGATGCTGGATATCTGACGGGCGGCTTGGATGTGGGACTAAAAAGAAATTATTGTTCTTACCTTATACACATTTCAGATAAAAATGAATATGTGCATAATTAAAAAAAAAACTATATTTTTGTGTCCTGACATTTTAAGACCGATTGAATACTTTAAATATATTTTTGAAAAAGTTGTGAAGATATAATATAGTCATTTTATAATTCTGTGATTCACATAAGTTAAATTTTTATTAATATTAACCCAAGTTAAAATAAGGGGCTTATAAATAAATCATTATTATAGTAGAACTTAAATTTGACATTTTGATTAACTCATATAATATAAACCAGTTGTCATGTGACTAATAGCAAACACATCTGTACTATATTTTGTGAATTTTAGTACAAAACGCTGTGATTTCTTGCATATTCATAGTGAATATATAGTAAGTATGGTATAAATAACAATAATAAGAGTAGTTTAATTGAAGAAGTTGAGTAAATAAAGGGTAATCAAGTAAAAATAAACATTTTATTAGGTTACGGTAAACATTTGATTCTATTGAATTTGAATTCTCCAAATAAAGGACACAAAGTTTATATGAGCTAAATTTTAAAGCATTTGGGTTAATTATTAGAAGCTTTTATCTTTTATTTTGATAATAAAGTACCTTCAAGGCATCGATACCGGTTAGCCGTTTTTGGTTTTCCTGGTCTCTTAATATTATAAATGGCCGCCCATATTCATCGAAAGCCACGGTTCCTGGAAACATGGCCATTTTCACACAATTTTATTTACACAAATACAAGATGTAAAAGGATTAAGTTTTTATTTTGTATTCATTGAAGCTGATTTCAGAGCATTTGAGAAAACACTAGTGATGTCTGTGAAATAGTAGTGTTGTCTCTACGAATTCGATAATCATAAACCGTAAAACCGCTATTATCGATTTTATTAACACTGCAAGTTATTTACTATTGAAAAATAAGAAGTAAATTTGTAAGTAAGTTATCTAACATATTCAAAAACAAATTTCTTTGAAATCCAAAAATCTTTCAGTAAACGTAAACAGAGCACAATTGGTTTTCGATATTAATATTTTTTTAATCGATTATTTTTACACCTGTGGAATTCAACATAAGATTTTTTTTTTTAATACGATTTGACCTTATCTGTAACATCAAAAAACGTGGTATAGTACGAAAACGAAGTTGATTGTACTAAAATTACAGAATTGTATCATAACAGTTCATTTTATTATTTACAGCTTGTTCTGACAACGAAATTTTCTAAGCACCGAATTTTCTGAACATGAATACCCCGTGACCAAAGCCTGTCTCAATAAAAGTTCACATACTTTACATAGTTATAAATAAAACAAGAAATGGTTGTCAAATTGTATCTTTATTATGAATGCTATATACATTCCCTAGACCAATGTGTAATGGAATCCATCCATTTTACAGTGTAAGGCGTGTATGGATAATCATATCCTTATTTTGGTTACCAGTATGAGACTTACATCTATAAACATAATATAATGCTTGTGACTACTGACTACACTCTGCTCTACATCGTCAGTTCCTGTAAAAGAAAACATTTAAATGTTATAATTCGCAATACATAATTACAATGCCGATAGACAACTCATATACATATATTTTTCAATACAAAAAAGGAAAGTTATACTTAATATGTATGTATATGTTAGGTATGAATAGTCGATATTACAATAAATATAAATTTTTAAATATTCCAGTACTATACAAATGCGCGCCTTTGCACGCAGAATGCACTAAGGTGTAATTATGTCTTATTACCATTATAGCATTAACAATATCCGATTTGTTGTTTAGTAACGCCTTCACAGCCTTCGCTCTGGAGACATTTGCTTGGGACATCACTATTTCCACATCCTTTTCATCAACACCAGTCTCATCCACACCCTCTTCATCTTCTTCTTCTGCTATTGGGGCTACAGTCTGTAAAAAAAAACAATATTAATTACACAATAACTGTTTGAGTGTATTTCTTAAAATAACTTTCAAGATTAGTCTGAGATAAAACAACTTACAGTTCCTGCAGTGGCCGTGTCATTGCCGGCAGCTGTACTTTCTGGAGCCTTGAACCGTTCAGCGGCAGCCATAGTGGCCTGTTGTGATAGATCCTCAATTTTGGCTTCACCAAACACAATGTAAGTGTCGGAATGGGGGTTCTTGTATACATCTGGTGAATTAATTACAAAGAGGATGTTCTTTGATTTCCTGATTGTGACCCTGTTCACTCCTTGCACCTGAAATTGAGGTTATTGATGTGTAAAGTGTTTGTGTGTCTACCATCAAGCTATTCATAGTGCGAATATTATTTATATATGTCAGTTAATAGAAAATAATTAATCACAGAAGAGAATAATAACTTTTCACTTGTGTGATATTATATATAAGTTTTATACTGTACTAAACTTACAGGTTTTAGTCCAAGCTTGCTCATAATCTTTCTAGCTTTCTTCTCACCACGAGACTGTTTTGCTTTGGAAACAATGTCAATGCCAGCAATTGGGTTGGTAATACCGCCAGCTCCTGGTGCACCTAAAAAGATAAATTGTTAGCTATAGTAGTATATCTATATGTATTCTTTATTAAGTAGTATCATTGTTACAACACTATTACATTGTTTCAACATTTTACAAATGAGATCTATAAAAATTATGTACCAGCATCTTCCAATTCTGGGATGGTGTCATCTGAATCACTGTCTGATGAAGCGGTTTCTTCCTTTCTCTTCTCAGTCATAGATGCTGTGGCTTTGTCTAATTCGGTGAGTTCTGGCATTTTCAAGGTTTAGGTGCCTGGAAAGGCAATAGATAGGGATTTACATGTCGCACTGGACTTTGAAACGTTCGAAGCACGGTAAAATAACTTTCTGAGATCATGAAATTTGATATTATTAACATTGACAAAAATATTTATATTCTTTATCACTATTTCTTTGATAAATAGATAGGAAAATAACAACTAAAATTTCAAATTCTATGTACTATAACGAAACATTAGATGCTAGGTAAAGGTTTTCGGCTTTTTATTGTCCAAAAATACTATAATCAAACCGCGGTCGGCGAGAATCATAAATACCACTATTATTAATCAAAATTATTCGTACACAGAAATGCTATACCACTATAAATCACAAATTTATCAATCAAACTTAATTATTTTATAGGATAAATTCGATTTCATTGGATTATTTACCTTCACAAATATAAAAATTTCAAGAAAAGAGCTCGCTGATAAGCTTGACAAATTAAAATTGTCAAAAGTTACAACTGACACTTTACACTTGACACGATGAGTAGAGGATCTACATATATATTATTTATATTAAGAAATATAAAAATAAACAGAACAGAAATATAATTTTTACAAATTTACTTTATTTGCTTATACAAATTTATTACAAAAACTTTTTATAAGCTTACACACAAAAGTCATAACAAATATAAAATGTCATCTTTGATGACATCTAGCTGTTAATTTTGCGTGACGTTTCACTCATTGATTGTAAAGAAATTGTTTTATTCTTACTTTATTTTTTGTTCTTGTTTGCAATACAGAACATATTAATGATATAATAGCGAATATTAACAAGTTAATTTTAATAAACGCACAATTTTGTACATTCATTATATGCAAGTTCAGACTATTAATTTACACTTATCGTAATCCAGTTTGACCCACTGCCAGTTACTCAGTAATTCAGTAAATTGCTTTCTGTGTTAAGTGATGGATGTGCGGTCAGTGCTTATGTAAACGTCCATAACATTTTGTTTTTCAAGTCCAAAGTGCACTTACGCGCATTCTAGTTCTAAGTCATTGTGCAAAATGTCTTTAGAAGAAAAATTTCATGCTGCTGTTAACGTGATACGAAGCCTACCGAAAAGTGGTATGTATTTCTGTTCCTATCAATGTGTGATGACTTTATTACTCGACACACATCGTCATTGTAATCAAGTGCACGATTACAATAAACTTAACATATTGTCACTAAGAATACATTCCACTCCGACTGATAAAACTTTGTTTAGATAGCTTAGCACTTTCGGCATAAGTCATATTTGGCTTAATGTTTGTTGAATGTATGTGGTCACTGCTATTCATAACTCTAGGCATGGTGTGTGGACCTGTTTTTAGTAGATTTATGTAATTGTTTATTTTTAAAGGTTTTAGAAATTAGGAGCTTATGGATTTTTTTAGATAGTGGTTAATTATCTACATCTATAAAATATGTTAATTACTAGTTATATAAATATTTATCAATAATTATCTGTATCATCTTTAGTTTTGTATAATTGTTATTGTTCTATTTAAAGACTCATTAGAACAAATAAAAGCATTTACATAACTATGAGTGGTATTATAGAATTTTTAGTTTTGTTTATAGTATACACAAGTTAATATAAATCTTAGTGGTTTAAAACGAGGTTTATTTTTTAAAGAACTGATTTAAGGGTTTCCTAGGTCACATAAAGTTTATTAATTAAAAATTGTATTTATAATTTTTACCAACAATTTTGAAATGTATGTTATTATCCTTTAAGAGTAAGGGATTTTAAAGGTTGCACATTAAGATAATTTAGATCTTGGCTAAGCGGCCTGCTGGGAATATTTGAACATCAAAGGCAATTTTTAGAAGTACACAAAAAAGCTTTAAGCTACAATACACTCAAAAATCAATGCAAATATGCAATGAAAATGTGTTAAAATTACTTTAAAATCAACAATTTTAAGCGCAATTTTGTGTTATTTACAGTACATTCACCTGTTTCATTATATGCACAATATATAAAACCAACTCACACTGATATAAGATGCTTTTATGCAACATAATATAATATTATAGGGAAATTGTTTCCAGGAAGTGTTCTCAACTGACATAACATGTGTTCCTCTATCATTTTTACCTGACTATCTATTGATAGTCAGGTAAAAATGCTTCTTTCAGCTTATTAGCTGAAAGAAGGTTTTATTAGTTTTGGCAGTCTATGTATGTTCCACTCAACCTCCTGACCCGATGCTATTGAAAATTGTAGCAAGGATTCAGAGCTACTGTCCAAGTAGCATTTCTTATATTAATAGTCTAATATAAAATTCAGCCGTCACTGTGTTTGTTCGCGAACTCGTAAACGGCTGAACCGATTTAAATGCATTTGTTGTATGTATATTCATTAGAGAATAGGTTGTTAAAGAACTATCTTATTATAATAAGAAAGTATAGAATAGACTCAAGTTAAAAAATCTGTGTCTAGGTTGTTGGTGGTACCAATTATGGGTAAAATAATGATCCCACGGGTCGTAATCGGTTTATAATTTTTCCTAAAACATGTAGGACTTTGTGTGGCTATTAAGTGGGCGGTGGGGATATCGAAATTGGTGCGGGTCACGAACCACTGTCTACTGATGAAAAAGCCGTGAAGTTATATCGCGTCTAGCAGGTGCGTTTCATCTACCATCAAGTGAAGTTGTCTGTCGTTCTCTATCATAATAAGTAAAATGTAAAATTGAATGAATATTATTCTTCCTCTAAACGATTTTTTTGCTATTAACAAGTCATGACAACAATAACATTATGTTAAAAATAATAAAAATAATAGATACCATGAAGGTTACTGTTCAAACACTATTATTCTGTTGACCTTTTTACGAAACAATTACAAGTTTATTTATTTTTCCGCAAACGTCCGGACCCATTTTCTTATCGTGTGTGTATTCGATAAGCGTAATAATTTAATGCATAACACATCAGGAATCAAAGTTAATTATGATAACGCCAAAATGAGTGGATGACCTTAGTATAAAATATGTAATTTATTTTGATTAAATAAAGAACTCTTTTAAAGTACTAAATTGATTGAGTTAAGTAAATCAATTTAGTTTTTGTGATTTATTCGTATGGATTATAAAATAGTCACTATCTCCGTGGCGCAGTAGATCGCCAGCGCATAGATATCATAGGCTTCGGTATATCACCCACCATCAAGTGCAAGTCTAGCCTAAAAAAATGTAAGCTTTCGTTCGGTCAGAGTACAGAAGGCTGATCGTTAACTTGTTTATTATTGAAATAGGTAGATTAAAATCACGCATTCATTACAAAGCATTGTACACCAACTACTAATCGTACTACAACCTCCTCAGAGACAATAGCCCACCGGAACCAATAAACACACCACCAGCCCGCTACGGCGCTTTGAGGGAGCCCTGGGAACACGTTCGTACGACTCCAAAGCATACTTAGCTAGCGAAACGTTACTTTCACTTCTATCATTCGGCTTAGTCCGAAAGAAATAACTTTCACAATTGGACCTTAAAACAAATATGGAGGCTATATTTTATTGAGCCATTCCGGCGATGCAAGGATTAGCGAACTAGTCGTTTAGTTAAATAGTTCCGACCGCAGTTGTCGCTGTTTATAAGCTACTAGCTGACCTGACAGGCCTTAATTTGCCATATAGAGTATATCGATGAAATCTTATCCCAGAGTTAATCTTAAAAGATAGTCATATACTGTACGGACATTTTTTAATCGTTTAAAAGAGTATTTTTTTATATATAAATTTTCTGGGTATCTTGAACCGTTTTTCCACATTTTCTGGTCCCAATTGGTCGCAGTCTGATAGTGTAAAGGCTTCCTCGAAAAATGGTCCAACTAACACAAAAATAATGATTTATTTCGGACCAGTAGTTCCTTAGATTAGCGCGTTTAAACAAACAAACTGTCCATATTTATAATATAGTATAAATAAAGTAAACCTTACAAGCACGCTTCTAAAACTTAGAGGCTACAAGCATGAAGTGAAATACAAGACAGAAGTAAATGTTGTAAAAGTATAAAATATCATGCTCAGACTAGAGATAACAAGTAGAATAAAATATTCAACAGTTGTGTCGATCGTTCCGACAAGGTTAAATTCAATCGATCACCTACTTGAGACAATTCTGTGTTTATAGGGCTACATGCGAGTGTGTTAGGACCCCTTAGCCCCTTATGGGGCATGGGACAGATATATATCTGCCTCGTTATTAATAGTGGATCCGACTTACCTGCCCTAACGTAAGTAACCTAAGTGTAAGTAAGGTGAACAGTGCTACGTACTTATGAAGACATCTATTTTGTGTAAATGGTTTATTCAATTAAAAAAATGTACTTACAGTGTCTTTAAACATTTGATGTCTGCTTTATATTAAACGTTTTGGTACTGCAGGAAACCTTTGTTAACCAGGAAATGAGGCCTTATTCTGGAATCCTAGGTCTCCCCGTGGCTGCTGCAAAGTATCCGAAGCGTCGGGCCGAAGTTAAAAATTCATTTTCAAATAAGTTTAACTAATAAATCGCGTTAAAACTTAAACCGTTAACGCGCTTTATATAATAATAATATATAAAGCTGAAGAGTGTTTGTTTGTTTGTTTGAACGCGCTAATCGCAAGAACTACGGGTTCGAATTGAAACATTATTTTTATGTTGGTTAGAGCATTTATCGAGGAAGGCTATAGGCTATATATAGAAAATCGTTATCTTTCACCATTAGAAAGCTACATTTGCCCTGAGTAACACAGGCTATATTTATTTCAAAAAAAGATTAGAGATCTTCACTAAAATTGTTAGTAACGTAATGTAAAATGTAAATATTTTTCGTCGCATGTGCCGCATTATTATATATTTAACTGTTACTGTTTACTCACAATAGCCTCTTTTTACTTCTTTAAAGTTGTTAGAATTAAAGATCAAACTTCTCTGTTTAAATCTACACCCATATAAATTATATTGTATTCAAAAATGTTTCAAAGCGAGTAGAATGCTTTTTGAATATTATAATTATTTAAAAGAGTTAAAGATAAAACTACAAAATAAATTATACTAATAACATGTTAAGTTTGGAAAGTATAATTGTTTTTACATTTTTAAATACTTAGTTCTTTATAGAAATCGTTTAGAAATTGAAAAAAAATTATGATTATTGACAATTATTAAAACAATTGCTCGAGTGGAGCAACGCTCCATAGATTGTTGTTTGTGGGTTCCGTTCTTGCCTGAGTCTCAAAATTTTCGATTAAAAATATTACAATTGATTATATAAAGTGTCACTTACTTGGTCTGGTCTTTGGTAGAATGGTAGCAATGTAGGGTTGCGAGTCGAGATGTGTAATCACGTCCAGTCTATCGATTACCGAATGTCCAAAGACAGCAACATCAACAAGTCAAAAGCACATCGTCTTTGTATGTTATAGTTGCTGGAGTATTTCACCATCCATCAAGAGATTTCCTTCTTTTTTATCTTTGTTAACTGTACAAATACGCCACAATTCAAAACTGCATCTTTAAAGTGAAGGTCCATAATATTTCGTGATGGTTGGCCTCGCGTTCCACTTTGAGCCATTAAGCATTTAAACCAGGGGTGAGCAACCTTTTTGATAGGAGGCATTTTGATGATCAAATTTAAACATTACATTGTGTTTGTTAGTAGCTCATTATGTCAAATACAAATGTGGAAATATTATTTTAACTTAACAGTTTCAAATATAAATAATTTACACACATGTAATGTGTGTAACTGTGTAATGTGTGTAGTTACACACATTACATGGTATAGCGTTGTGCGTACCTACCTCGTAACCCTTTGACTTTCGTCGACTGCGGCCGCGGGTTGCTTACCCCTGATTTAAACAAACACCGCAATAAGGCTGTTTAAACTTTCGTACATACTATGTGCGTACGCGCTTGCAATTCGCATGCAGTTTCTCTAGTCTTTGGTATCAATGTGGCTTCATCATCAATACTTGTGCTTGAGGAATTGGTCTTGATTCAATTCCCGCCGTAGGCACCAAAATGTTCTAGTACAGAATGGAAGTAAAGAATTTTCTTTCTTAGAATTTGCGAGTCTTATTGGTCGAGAGGTAGTTCAAATCCCTGTGACTTGAATAATCATTAGAATTAAGTGTCAAGCAAACCATTATCAGTCCCGCTGTAGGAACTGCTTGAGGGCTGGTTGGTGATTATAATGAATTCCACTTTCATATTTTATGAACATATTTCTCAGCCGTAATTATAACTTTTAATGAAAAATAATGGTGTCCTAAACCGCGACCTTACGCGAACACGTTTTGGTGTTTCTGTTATTATCAGATCGCAAGGTCAGATTTGGAATTTCCACGAGAAAACCTAGTTTTGTGTTAATGCGCATGCGCGATTGAAAAATTTACTGCGGGGCATGACCGTACATTATTGTTTGATCTATTTATTTTTAATGAAAATTGATTACACCATAAAATAACGTACGTTACGTGTTAGTTAGCACATGGAAAAAATTGATGTTTTAGATTATGAAACAGGTGGGATTCGAAGTCACTACCCTTATCTTCTGATTTCTCAATTCATCTATACACATAGTGTGCGTTTGTCGTTCGATGTAGAACTGGTTGTCCGAGTTTTGTGGTTAAATTTGTAAAACACGTCAGCCAGATAAAATCTTAACAAGATGGTGATGATGATGATGGTGGTCACCGTCTGGTCTTGGACTTACAAATAATAGTGAACTTCTTGACAGGATCGTACCAGCCCAGCAATGAGATGATGCTAAATTTTTACAGCTACTTCAAGCAAGCGACTGATGGCCCTTGCACTAAACCGAGACCCGGCTTTTGGGATGTCATAAATAGGTGAGTATTCGTTACTAATATGAGGAACACGATATTTACTGTAGTTATGTAGTAGTTGTATTGATGTTCATAGTGATGTGCTAAGTATTCGTATCGTTTTATATACTTATTTAGGGGTTGTCCATTAATCACGTGACCTTTTTTTAGAATTTTTAAACCCCCCCCCCTCCCCCATTGGTGATACGTAGTGAGGTTTAAGACCACCCCCCCCCTCCCCCTTCTCAACATCACGTGTATTTTTAGTACCTACAAAGAATCTTAAAATTTTCTGAATATTATCTTAATATAAATACAGGTATAAACTATAATCTTATTTTATTCTGAAATTAAGGACCATAATAAAAATGTCTACACCATTTGTTTCCCCTCCCCTCCCCCCTTGTGTTATTTTCGTGATTTTTATCACCCCCCACTTGAAGCCTCACGTGATTAATGGACAACCCCTTATTACAAGCTGTGTCAGCGACTTCGTGCCCGTAAAATAGGTATTTTAGACATCAAAATTTGTTTTTGCAAACATCTTTATAAATTCTAGCTGTTACCCACGATGTCAGTCGCATCTCGACGTTCTTGCAAGTTAATTTTGAAAGATAGACATAATATCGCGGACATAATATTTTTTAGGTAATTTTAAGTATTTTTTTAATTTCCAGGGCAAAATGGGAAGCCTGGAAGCGGTTAGGCAATATGACAAAGGAAGATGCGATGCAGTCCTATGTTGACGAATTACATAAGGTATGTGACAGAACATACATGATTAACATACTTGTATATACAATCGATTAATCATACGGATGAAGCTATATACAGATTAAGTTAATATTATAATATATTATTCTTGTATTTATTTCACTGTTTCTCATATCTTGTTTTTTATGCCAAATATATGTGTTACCTGGCATACGTTTTTGCAAGTACAAGTATTTCGACATCGACAATCGAAATTCGATTCCCATGAAAACAGATCTCGTGAGTTAATCTTAAATAACTAAACTGAAGCCGACATTTGCTCAATGTTTTTCCAATTCCAAACTGTAGTTCCTAAGATTAATTCTTCAGCTGTATATAGTAGTATAGATCACCCAAGAGTCCACATCTTCCGCAGATCATTGAGACGATGTCGTACAACTCTGACGTGGCGTCGTTCTTGACGATAAACGAAGACGGCGACCCGTTCCCTAGCGCGGATCTGCAGCTGGTGGCCGGAGACGTGCTGGCCAGGTGCAAGGATGACTCGCAGCACAATTCGCCGATGTGTATGTGACTATATGAAATGAATTACATGTGAAACACTCACAAATGCATTTAAATATAAAACAAACGGTTTAGAACGTGATTTATAGTAGTTAAACCTGATTAAAAATTTATTTTATTTTAACCGCGGCTGCTGCAAAGCATCCGAAACGTCGGGCTGCAGTTAAAATAATTTGCAAATAAGTGTAACTAATATACTATTTTATAATATTGTCTGTAGTTTACGCGAGTAGTACACATTTAAATAAAACATTTTAACGGTAATATTACTTACGTATTTTAACGTATTTGAAAATTATTTTAAATCTCCCCTTGACGGCGGCTGCTGCAAAGCATCGAAAACGTCTGACCGCAGTGAAAATAATTGTCAAATACGTGTAACTAATATGTATCGCGTTTTAAGCCGTTAAAGTGTTTTATATAATGGTACGATTTGGTCATTGCTCTTTAATTACTATTGTGTTTTTGCCGAGTTATTCATAAAACAAAGCAAAAAAAACAAACCACCTACAATATACGTTAGAACAATCAACATATTAATAAAAAAGCTGTGAAGTTTAATCACATTTCGGTTTTACGTCTGTGAATTTGCAAATATCCAAAGCCAAACTCATCTTGTTTGGATGTTATATGGCTGGGATATTTTACCAGCCATCAAGTGAAGGAGTTTTCTCAAATATAACCGCGTCGTAACACCGAACTCTCCTGGGTATACGGGAAATACAAAAAATCGACAAATCTTTCGATCGGGACATAACAATTTGATCACTTACTGGCTTCTATACTATAACAGCGATCTATGAAACATTTTTTTCGATAGAGGAGGACAGAGGCAAGCTTCGTGTTCATTTCACAGATACATAACCACAGACAAGACAGTCTAGCAAGTTTAAAAATTCTTCGTTGTCTAATTGATATTATTTTTTCCAGATTCCCGTTCAGTGAGCGGCGCTTCGTCCCCCATTCCCGAAGAGGTATCGTCAAGGACGAGGCACGACTCCGAAGACGAGTTTATCGACACTGTCGATGTTAGTGTCGCGCACTTTTGTGTTTATTTGTACTTTATACAATTTAGTTGCATCTTATGAAAAATAAAAATCTATTTTAGATTGAAAATATAACCAATTGAGCTATCGTGTTTCATATAACCTCATCAACAATGTTTTTCCCGTTGCGGTTTATAAACCTCCCCAATATTTATCAACACCTCTATTATTTGCTTGGGATATATAGATAGACAAATTTGCTATAGATTGTGAAATAATGTCTTCTTCCTCTTCAGGTGGACCAAGAACCTGTTCACCAGCAGACAGTGCCAAGGCTCAGCAATGGGCACGCATATCAAATCTCCTCTCAGCTCACACGTAAGAGACTCTTCCTACTATAACAAACTCTTCTTGTCCTCTTCACGATCGACTGACTTTGTTGAATTGCTTGTCTCTGCTCTTTTATGATAGAAGTGGCATGAGTTCACTTGATGGAAAGTGAAACAAGATGCGCTATCGACCTTTTTCCCTTTTGGATAGTCACATTCCTACCACTCATTTAATATCCAGATTTCCAGAAGTCCAACATGTTTGAGAAAAACATGTTAGACGTGGTGGGGGCATCGCACCCCCAAACAGTTGGTTATTTCATATATTATATATTGCTATCATTATACCAATGAACCTGTCTGCTTGAACGGTTGAAATTGTATTTATATTAATTTACTTTTTGTCATATAGAAGTAGCAAGTCGCTAGTGGTAATATTTATTGTTACAGTTTAATCGTGTGTTCAATATAATATTGTCGCTTCCAGATCTAAAAGTACTAGAACAGCTACCTGGAACACTCGCCCGATTAGAAGCGGACGTGGCAGCTCTAAGGAAAGCCGTAGAGGGTGACAGAAGGATACTGGATGTGAGTCTTATTACTTTATATATGAGGCTGCCAGAGGCAGAGTGGCCTATTAACAAAGAACATGATTTTCAATAAGAAGGAAAATAAAAATGCATAAATAACTTAGGCGAAAATGAATTTGTAATGATTTTTGTGTAAGAACTATGTTAACAGTTTTTGGTCACTGTACTCTTGGAGATAAAAATTGTTATATTATGAAAATATAAATAACTCAATTCATAAAATTACAGTTAGGCTACTCTGTCTCTAGCGGCGTCAAATAAGGTTTAATTTCTATCATACGTTGTTACTAAAGTTAAGAGATTATAGATATTGTGGTCTCTGTTTAAACAGCTGTAGCATTTTGGGGTTACGTCCTCAAAGGGTAGGATTAATAAACAATATAGTCCGTCTGTCACCAAGTTGACAATATACAAATCAATGTCAGTTTATAAAAACTGTATATACATACAGACTGACTACATATCAACAAAGGTCACAGTCAGACACGTGACATTAGAAAAAATGATATGTTTATCAATAGTTATATCTTAGGAAATTTGATAATTTCCCCCGTTTTTTCCATATTCTCTCTACTTCTTCGCATTGGTCGCAGCGTGATTTATAGCCTAAAAATATCAATTCGAAGCAGTAGTTCATGAGATTAGCGCCAATAAACAAGCTCTCCAGCTTTATATATTAATATAGATAATATATATTTTTAATGTTCAGCAAGTGTCGAGCGGCTGGCGCTGGCCGTGGCAGGAACTGAGCGCGCCGACACTGGCGCTAGTGATCATTTGGCCTTTTATTGCTTACCGGTTCATGGCAAGAACGCAGAGGCACAACACTTAGTGAGTATATTGATTTGGTTTTACTATGGATATTCTTTATTACGGCATAAACAGTTCCCAATGGCTTAATATTGATCTAGCTACGTTGGGAGCTAAAGGATTTGAATCTCAATGACCCAAACAAGATCGGTCGAGTAAAAAACCTTTGCATGGTTATATGGTTGTGTGCACCCGTGTCGTTATTTTTCTACAATCTAAGTAGGTTTTCTAAAATTTCATAACATACTCCCTCCATATGTATAACCAGAAACACTATATATTCTCACGTCATACATTGTTTAACAAATAATGCTTACAAGATAAAATAAACATATAATCTAGGGACTGTATATCTATTTTTTAATATAACTCGTCTATCCTATAGCTAACACGGTTTTGAGTGGTTCCCATAAGACAGGCATTGCCTAGTTTGGGATCACATTAAAAACAAATTAAATATACATCCACCTGCACAAGTAGCACATATGTTTTTAGTATCACATACTCTTTAGACTTACTGTACTACACTTTTTATATATAGTGAGTATATAAGACAAAGTTTATTTTGATTAAAATAGGTAAATCTTTATATCACTATCACTAGTTTGTATAGATTTTAGTTTTAACAGATGTGTATTAAATATGTAAAACCTGTGTATAAATAAATAAACATTAAATAATTAAATAATTTTCTTCCACAGATACCATCGAGTACTGTCAAGTGTACAATGGTGCTGACGCATTTGGTCGATAGACGAGCATTCATCATCTGTGTTGCCCTTTTTGGCGTTATGTTGTGGATTATGTAGCAACACTTTCCAAATGTATATACCACAGATGCAAAATTATAATCTTCAATATTATTACTAAACTGTTAAAGTACTATAGTTCCTAGGGATCGGTAAGAAATCCAAATAATTGTTGGTTTTTTTATGAAGACATCAGGTTATCACCTCTTGTTGGGTTCCTTCAAACTTTCCGGTTCCTTTAAAAACGTAATGTTTCATTTTTCATAGCATCTGTGGTCATTTGTTATGATATCTACATTGAGTAAATTTCCGTTACCATATGTCTTTCATAAAAGACAAATTCATAATTTGGAACTTGTTGCTACACAGTGATAAAAACTGCATTTCATTTTCACTAGGTTTGGTTTGTTATGGGCTTACGAATAAGTTTTTATATAATACCTGATAAGACATGGGTTTTAATTAGGACGTAAAATTAGTTCTTAGTTGATCCAAGGGTCACCAACTTTACAAAGGATTGCAGAAATTGAACATGAAAAAAAAAGTAATTAAAATGCTTCTTTGGGGTAGTAGTTAGTGCGACAAATCTTAGATCGTGTGAATTTGTGCTTCGTTCTTTGGAATTTTTATCACAAAATTTACTAGGACCAACCCGTGAAATGTGCGTCAGTCCCGATATCACTTGAAAAAGACATATATTAACTAGATACAGTATAAATAAAACACTTTAACGGTTTAAAACGCGATATATTAGTTAAACTAATTTTACAATAAAGACAGTATTTAGATACATAAAAAAACAAATATGTATTAAAAAGTAGATTTTTGCTCTGTTTTATTTGCTAATACAAATTCACTTATACGGAAGATGGCGCTTTCGGCAGCCGAGCACATGACGTTTCTGACATTTTCAAATTTTTGACAGTTGATTAAGATTACAATATACTCTCTCTTATATTTATATATATATATGTAATTAAAAGCACAAAATTCGCACTGGATGGCACCAAAACTTCAATTTGACATCTGTAATCCTTTGCCAAGATGGCGTACCAATTGTACGATTCAGTTATTCACATCAAGTGATAATTATTGTTACCTGTTACTATAGTTTATTTTATTGATGTTTTAACTTGTGATATTTTAGCAATTATGTTATAATTTTTCACGCTGAGTATTCATACAACGAAGTAATAAAATGACATTGATTATCTTTTTTTTTATTAGCATTGCTATGTAATGTTACAAAGGAGGTTAGGTTGTTGTAAGTGCTAAACATGGAGCTACTTTGATTTTCGAGTTGATCCCATAAGTTCCATTACTTTGTGCCGTCAAATTCAGCCATAGACAGCAGACCATCGTTTATGTTAAAAATAAAGAAGATAAAACTATGGACTTACATTTTTTGTAACGAACAAAAGTTGGTATAGTTTAAAATAGTACTTCGGTTTTGTATTCGGAAAATGGCGCATTCAGATGTTATGTATAATGTTAATTTCTTGTACATCAGTCAATATTTGTTTAAGATTTAATTGTAATAAAATCAATTGGGGTTTTTATATATTCGTTTGCTTTCCTACCTGGAAACGTCTATCGTATAATGTTGGTGCTGCGCAGAGGGGTAAAATATACTGTATGTAAGTGGGATGCGTGTGTTGAGTAAATTATGATTAAAATAAATCGGTGTAAATCGCAAAAAATATTCCTTAACTTATCAATAATGTTTTTAACGACGCTAGTGCTAGCAAAAGCAGATTTGACGGTAAGGGACCCAACATTTTAGTTTTCCCCCCGTGACCACGACTGCTGCACATTGAAAACGTCGGGTAAACTAATATACTTCGCATTTTAAACCGCAAATTTTATTACATTAACGGATCTTTGGATTTTTGCATGAAAGCAAAAATAAAACAACAACTTCCGTTCTTTTTTATTAGAAACAATCTTCGCCTAACATAAAAATCACTGTCTCAAAATAACGTAAGAATAATATCGTTTATAAAATAAACATAACGAAACTAACATGGCCCGCATTTATATTTACAAATAAAAATCACATTTTCGTTAAACAATTAAAAATACGAAACGAATACTTGTACTTAGTTCATCGTATTCAATGGTTTTATTGATGTTCTGTGAAGTTTAGTTGTTTAGCTCTGTGGTGTGTGTTGCCAGTATTGACGTTTTTTAATAATCCGCCGATCGTACTTTTGACAAACACCAATAAATCACTGAAACGACTCAATTAATAAGAAAAAAATTAAAATAACAAAAGTAAGACATACAATTAGAAATGTATATTAAAATAAAAATAATTTAAAGCAAAATTATCTATTGTAAGTTTTCTGGTGTCCAATTTGTTTTGTTAGTCAAAATAATCGACGTAAGACAAAACTGGCAACCCTCCAACTCGTTCTATCCCCACTCATTGGGTCAGAAATCCTTACAATAGACAAAGACAGCGATACTTCTATCAATACAAAAAACTACACTTAATACAATAAGGTACAACTTTGTAGAGAGAAAATATTTTCGACAATTCAACGCCAAACATTCAACCGTGATCCAAGCGATAAGAATATGACCTCAGCGTCTTAATATTATTTATTTTAAATGCCAATAACTTTTAACATGTGACCATAGACAAAAAATGTACATGTGACAGACATGTGTATTGACATGTCCTGTGTAGATGGAATTAGCAAAATCCAAAATGGCTGCTACAAACATGGCGAGTTTCACACATGTTTGTAGATACTGGACGCTAGAGGTCACTAAAATATAAATTTTTAACACTAATGTAAATTCTTATTTTATTAAACGTGAGGTAACATCTTGTATACGAATGGAATTAACTCACATGGGCCAAACACACGATAAAGTAAAGATCAACTGTTAGTTATAAATCTAAAATATCTCGTGTCCGGTTTCAACGCTTATTTACAGACTACCCACATTATGTACTTTGTACTATTCTCTACCTACTCCTATATGTATCCATCTAACAGGATGTTCTCTTTCAAATTGAATTTAGTTGGCAAGGTATGGTTTTATAGCAAAAATTATAAAAAAATCTGTTCCTAAGAACATCAAACTCAATGAGTGTAGTGGTAGAAATTTGTTCGCAAATAATATCAGCCTAACTACAAAATTAAATTTTAAACAGATTGCCACAATTCAATATTGAAATGAACAATGTATAAACATTTGCCTACACTACCCGTGGGTGTCTGATATCAATAACTGACGATGACAAGAACAAGTGTTATCTTACTCTAGCACATAAGTATCAGAGGGAGAGAACACTTACAAATTTTGAGAATATATAACATTCGAGTGTAATTTTTCTTACCATCTTTTAAATAAAAACAAATAAAGTTAAACGTCAAACTGATTGTTCATTCCAAAATGGCGTATATTCCTGACGAATGCATATGTCATATACTCTCAAAGCCATTTATCATATGTATATCTATATGTGGTCTAGCTATGAGAACTACTATTGTAAATGCAGTAATCACGTTATAATATATTGGAACGTATTCAGTACTATCTACCTAATATAATACTAATTTTATGTGAGTTGATCATGAACCCAAATAGGTTTTATCGAAAGTACATCGCTACATTTAGTTCTCAAGTAGAAAACTAGATGGCGCTATTTCGAACCATGAAAAACCTATAATGGACTCTTCTAAACTAATCCTCAACATGATCTTGGTGATTTTACACAGATTAACAGTATATAAGATTCACTTTAAAAAAATAACAAAAACAATAAAAGTAATCGTCAGTAAGAAATAATATTAAATTGTGTTGGATTTTGCGTGTTATACAGCTATGTACGTATTTGATATTGTTACGTGAATACTATCTATGCGACTCTCATACCACAGAAAATTAATTAACGAAACAATTTTAGTCGTTGACTATCTTTTAAGCCGCAGTTCAAAGAAACCCAACCCCATTATCCCCCGACCCAAAACAGACAAGACTTAAATCTAGCCAATTAAACTTTGTATCATTTATGATTTTGGAATAACTTTTTCTTTTCGATATTTCAACACTAAAGACTGTTTCCAAACATCATTCTATCATCGTACAAACTCAATCGATTACATTCACTGGCCCGACCCTTCTGCAAAGCCCTGTCTCGCCTCGCCCGTCTTATGGCCACAGGCAAGTCTCCCGGGGTCTTGACCCTTCCGGCAGGGTTCTGCAGATGCAGATCACCAGAGGACGAAAAGATCTCATTCACTTGCTCCAGCGAGTGTTGTCGCTTTATAGACAGCGACTTCAAAGGCGGTTTCGGTGACTTCTGGCCTTCATCGATGATTTTCAATTCACTCGTGTCGATCTCCCCGTTCAGCGCAGCCAAGTACACTGGGTTGTCACCACTGTACCCGTTAACCAAGTTTTCCTTGTCGTTCGGATCGCTGAACTCGTTATCAAAATTCGTGTATTTATTTTGATACTTGTTGAACGTGAAATCCGTTCTGGTCTGCGTGGCTTCCTTCAGGACCTCATTCTGGAACTTCATCATGTTCTCGTCGATGGGCCGCGGTATCGTCTGTATTGTAATTTTGGTGCCGTTGTTTTCGGAGAGCAACATTAAGTGCTCGTCTTCGCTGCTGGAACAGTCCGAGTTCAGGTCGTAGGGACTGTCGCCATTGAAATTTTCCGTTTGATTGGGCAAATACTGTAGTTCCAGATTGATGGACGCGCGCGACGACCCAGCGCTGTTGGAATTGGTAATGATTCGATTGTCGCAACTCAATCGCTTCTTCAGAGTCGAGTCCTCGGATTCTGAATGTCCAGCTTTCATACTTTGAGAGGACATCGATGTGCGAATCGATCTCTTGTTTAAACTCTCCGAACTGCCTTTGGATTTGTTCTGCGTCACGTCCTGCTTAACCTTGGGCACAATGACGGCGAAAACCTGGTTTCTCTCGTTCTCGATTTGCGAGGGCAGTTCCCGGAAGGCTGTGTTCAATTCTGACTCCAACAACATGGTGGGGGAGAGGGTCTTATTAGGGGGAGATAAGGTACACGGTGCTTCGAAGTTGTACGGCGCATCTTGGAGGCCTAGATTTTTGGGCCTGTTGTAATTTAGGTTACTCGGTTTGTCCACTACCGACGTTCTCGTTCTTCCGTTCTGTGCGACATTCTCCGTGACCAACTTCACTTCTGTATCCTTGGGCTTCTTTCTCTCGAAGAACTTTTTGAATCCCCACTTCTTGTCTTTCTGATCTTGCAGGAGATTGGTCTGCTTGAGGCTTCTCTCTTCGGGGGCACTTACGTCGTTCTGGACGTATTCTAACGGGCGTTGGTAGGATCGGATCTCGTTGAATCTATCCGAGTTTTCTTGCGTTTGGAACCTGTGTTGGGTGATTCTCGCTACTGAGAGGCAGTTTTCCGTTTGCGGCCTGGGCCTGGCTTCAGAAGCGATATCTTTGAGACTCTTGTGTATGAGTTCGACTGTGTGTGTTTGCGTGTTTGTGTTGGTATTTCGCTCGATGCACGCGTTTCTGCCTATGTGTGGGTGCGGATATAGAAGGGGCGTGGTGACGTCACCGTTGGACGGGACGCAATTGGAGTTCTTGTCGATCTCGTTCGGAGTCAATGATGGGGTAGTCTCTGCAAAAGCATTTTATTATATATAACACCTTAAACTGGCGTAAAATATATAATTGATTTTTGATTGTGGCTATTGTAGAAAAACTTTTTTAGTAACTGTATACAAAGTGGAATACTTTACACATACCAGGCGGATGTGGATGCAGGTTATTATCATGGATGACCGGACCCTGCATCAGCAGCATCAGTTTCAACTCAGCCATCCGCTCCTCCACGCAGACAGCGGTTAGTCTAGAAAAACACGTTTATGAACTACAAGAGAAACAATTGTCTCCTATAAACTCCATTTTTTAATACACAAAAAAATAAGATGATTGCAATTTGCTACTTATCCAATGAAGAATGTTAACTAATTTCTAAGCTAGACACTTTAACGGTTTAAAACTAACAAAATATATCGTGTTTTAAACCGTGAAAGTGTTTTATATAAATAATTTCTAAGCTCACCAAAGGTTTGCATTCGGATTCCGGAAAAGCAACACCTTTTTCAAGACAAGACAGATCAGCTACTGATGGAAAATCTGGACACCCCTGTTTACCCTATTGCTTAACATTTACATCAACAACATCATTAAAATACGGGACTCCTAAATTAACAATAAAAGAATCAATAGATACCTAGCTTCAGCATCATGATCCCAGCACTCGTCGCATGTATCGGTCGCTATTTTGAGAGCCCGCGTTTCGGCGACCGGCCCACGCGGCAGTGGGGGGCGGGCCTTATTCCGACACACCAATGTCTGTGAACAATATGAGTGATAATTGAAAATTTCATACAAATTTAGGAAAATTCAGGAACTACTTTTCGTATTTCGTATCGTAACGTTACATGTACATCATTTTTGTTAATATTACTAAATAAATAAAATTTGATTTTATTTGTAGATTTAGATTAGGTTACATATAAGTTACTACAATTAGTAATTCTTTCATATATTACGAATGTGGTACAGCTAAAATACTATATTGGTTAACAAATTATTACATAAACTAAACTTAGTATATGTAGGGAATCTTTCGAGCACCAAAATAAATTTGTAAAATATGGATAAATCTTTTCTTTACGACCTAAGTCTTAATTCGCCAATTTTTTTTACTCGCCCTATCTCTTTCACACACATCCTCTTGCACATTCTTACATTTCATTCCACATATTTTACATATATAATTTAGATTCCTCACCTGCATCTGAGTTAAAGATGGTCTTTGAGGCAGACCGTGGAGATGGTAGGGCTGCGCGTAGCATTGCACACTGCTATGGGCTCCACTGCAGCGCCAGAGCATCTCCCAAATGACTAGCCCCAACGCGAACACGTCGACTGCGCATAGGGCTGCGCGCGCGCCACTCAAGTCTAACGCGCCTTCTAGCGCTTCGGGGGACAGGTAGCGTAGTGTGCCCGCCTGAAAATATTATTGCTTTAGTATTTACTATCGAATAACATTTCATAAGAATATATGAGACTAGAGACAGAGTAGCCTAACTGCAATTTTATGATGAGTTATTTATAGTTTCATAATCTCAAAAATGTTAATCTACAACAGCATAGTGACAAAAAATTGTTAATATAATTCTTACACAAACAAAAGACGTTCATTTCGCCTAAGTTAATTGCGCATTTTTTTCCTCGTTGTTAAACATCATATCTTTTGTTATTAGGCCACTTTGCCTCTGGGTGGCTCCCATTAAAATGTGAACTTTTGTTTATTTATTTTTGTTTTGTTATTAGCGAACACTTTACTGTGTCCGTTTCAGAGATGTTTGAACGAAAAGTCGGGCCGAAGTTAAAATAATTTTCAAATAAGTTTAACTATTATATCGCGTTTTAAACCGTTAAAGTGTTTTATTTAAACGTGTACTACTCGCGTAAACTATAGACAGTATTTAAATTTATAATCATTTAAGAATATTTATTGAACTATAGCAATAACATAAACGATTATAAATTTGTCTAATAATTTTGAGTCAGCACCATGGTAAACAATACCTCCGTAATTCTAGTGGGTGCGGCGTTGTCTATGCGCGGCGTTAGCGGCTGAGCCAAGCCAAGATCAGCCAAACGAGCCGTTCCGTCATGAGCCACCAGCACATTGCCGCTGTTCACGTCGCGGTGGACTATACACGGCTTGCTACCACCTGATGATAATAGGGGAATTAATACATAACACTGAGTACCTATATAACGAACCGGTTATATACCGGTATTAATGATAGACGAGGACAGACAAGCACAGGTAAAATACCCCAGCTATATAACATCTCAATAAGATGCCCTGTCGACCGATTTTGGGTTTCTAACTTCCAAAACCCACAGACTGCAACGCGATTAAACTTGACTTTTTCATTTGTGGAGGGTGGTTCGTGAGACGGACAGAATTTCGATATTCCTACCGCCCATTCAATATCCAGATTCCTGGACGGTGTCCAACATGTTGTGGAAAAATTAGAGATGTGAGGATTTTTGTTTGCCGGGGTACCTTGGAGGCAATAAGTTACTCTATAAAAAGAAAATAGATGACGCTATAAATTAATACGCAATAGCAATGTTAAAATTGAAATAACATTGACGACGATGATTCGGCAGCTCAATCGGTTAGAGCAACAACACGGAACGCTGTGGGCGCCAGGTTCAAGTACTGCCCGTGTCGTGACTTTTTTTTCAGTCTAAAATCGATTTTTTAATAGAAGACTTACAAGGTGTATGTAGGTGCGCCAGCGCAGATGAAAGACCGTGGGCAAGTGTGGCGAATTCCAGCCAAGTGACGGGCGCCTGTTGCAGTCTCGCTCGCAGGGACATGGGGCACAGCTCGAGGACCAACAGGTGGGAGCGACCGCCCCCGTCCGTTAGCGAAGGCCTACTGTCGCTGCCTAGAAGCCCACTACCGTTAGTCTTAAATTCCGTCAATATTGTAAGACTTTTTTCATAGATTTTTGAAACTTACAAACAAATTGTAAGTTTAAAAAATCTATGAAAATCTATACTGGCATTATAAAGCTTAAAATTTGTTTTTTTTTTTTGTTAACGCGCTAATCTCAGGAATTTCTGGTTCGAGTTGAAATATTATGTGTTGGTTAGAGTATTTATCGAGGAAGGCTTATCAATCAACTCAAACATCAGGCTGCGACCAATAGGAGCGAAGGAAAGGTTGAAAATGTGAAAAAATCTAGGGAAAATTACACACACAGCTAGTTTAAAAATATGTAACAAAATTTTAGAAAGTATTGTACAAAATAGCTACACAATTATATTGCCTAATTATAAAATAGACAGTTATGAACAAAACCTAAGAAATTTTATCATCCTTGCAGGAATTGTGAAGTTGAAAGTGCGTTGCTCTGCAAATAATGTTTTATTTAAAATTTAACATAGACCACTTTAACTAATAATTATTTACCTATGAATAACTAAGCGACATTTAAAGTATATTTTTTTAAAATCATCAATCAATCCCTTTTAAATTTATGTTATGACCCGGTTGGTGGAATTCACAATGAATTGCATATTTTCCACTGACATTTCATCTGTCAACTTCAAACGTCAAATTGAAGACTAAAGAAGCATAATGTTCTTTCCAGATACATAAATATAGAAAAATGATCTCACCGTAATATCTCAAAATGTTAGGGTGAGCGAGATGCGGTATCGCGTACACGGTGGCCTCCTTGTGCCAGGCGCTGGGGCTTGTGTACAATTTGACAGCGACGGGAGTCGAACCTAGGCTTCCGCGCCACACCGATCCGAATTTGCCCTGGCCTGGAACCCAAAATATGTTGAATATAGTGTCTATTCGACACTTACGCGACTTCGATTTGACAAATCTTAAAAAAGCTTATTGCAAGTGTAGCTAAGGCCGGGTTGATTAGGATTCAAACCTAAGACCTAGGAAGAAGAGATAACGTGTTTAACCGCTGATCCATGAATTGACCAGAATACATAATACATACACTATAATTTACGATGAGCAAATAGAACCCTAATATATTAGGATGCTGTGTGTGCAAGTGTTACGGTTAATATATATTTTTTAAAACCTCCTCGTGACCACGGCTGCTGCAAAACATCCCAACGGACGAGCCGTAGTTTAAATACATTTTTAATAAGTTTAACTTATATATTCTGCGTTTTGAACCGTTAAAGTGTTTATTTCAATGTACTACTCGCGGAAACTACAGACTTGTTTAGACTGTTAATACGTAACCTTTGTTAGTCTACAAAAACTTACCTATATGTTCAATCAGTGTGAGATTATCGACACACAGTAGTCCAGTCGCCAATGCATCTGGTCCGCTTCCCATAACGTCACCTGGAAAAAAAATGAATGAAAATTATAAATGGTCAGATTGTGTTTTTCATACTTCGATAAGACTTACAAACTTAAGGTTCTGAAATAATGTAAAAAAAAACTACGTAAGTCTACGGTTTAAAAAAAAAACTTAACTAAATAAAAACGCCTAATATATTAATTGACTTATTTTTTACTATTAACTAACACATTCAAAGTTTAAAACTGTTAAAGCCAATGCAAGGTAACTTATGTTTATTAAATAACAATAATTCACCCACCCTTTTCCAAATCCATTCCATCGCTCAGTTCATCCTTGTCCAGTTCAGCTCGGTTGCAATATACCTTTCTGAATACGATGGCCATCAACAAAATGGCGACCAACACCAAAATGGCGGCTGCCACAGCACTGGAGTAGTTCGGATGTGTCGCACTTTCCATTGTCGATTCTGCTTTTATTGTCACCGTTTCTTCTCTCAGGGATGCTAGAAGTCATATAATAATTAATAAATATACACCAAAATACTTCTATATCCGGTTATGGGCAAGCAAATTAAATTCCCTTCATCAGGCGAGGCACAATAGCAATATATAGCTAATAATCAAGGTGTCGTGAGTTGCAATCCCCACCGGGTCCACCAAAACTCTAATCATTTTATAATTCTTCTGAAACATGTTGACTTCGTATGGAAATAAATGGGAAGTAGTAATATCGGATCACCGGCAACATTTGAACAGCCGTGAAGTTTAATCGCGTTTCGGTATCAGTCAGATTTCCGAATATGAAAGCCAAAATAGGACAACAGTACATCTTGTTTAAATGTTATATGGCTGGTGTATTTCACCTACCATTAATTGAACTCATGGTTGTCTGTCCTCCTCAATCAAAAAGCTACTGTAGTCGAAATTTATTATCGGAATTAAATAAAGTTATTTCTCCTTGTGTCACATAAACTTATAAAATTATATTATACTATTATTAGACCGCCTCTGCAGCCAAATAACTAAGCATGTGGCCTAGTATAGTGTTAACTGAGAAAGGTTTGACTCTAAGAGAAACAATAAAGAAGTCTGATCATCTAACTGCCTGTTAAAGACTTAATCAGTGTAAGAGAGACAGATTTTTGTTTGTCCCATGCTCTACGGGGTGAAACAGGAATTTACATTTTTAATATATATTAAGCACTTATATAAACATAATAGATACATACTGAAGTCTGCATTGCAATAACTCTTTGTACAGAGGCAGAATTTGCTGTCAGGCAGCTTCGCTGTAACACTAACGCATTTATCGCAGTTGCTACCATCGTCACATTGGGAAGAACGCCAGCACCCTGAAATGAGAATAAGTATTTACCTACTGTTTGTAGTTTACGCAAGTAGTGCATTTAAATAAAGCACGAAATATATTTATTATTAAATATATTAATTGTAACAATTGACCATGGCTGCTGCAAAGCATCCCAAGCCTCAGGCCGTCCTTAAAATAATTTTTTAATAAGTTTAACTAATATATTTCGTGCTTTAAATCGTTATAGTGTTTACGTCTTGATAATCAAAGCTATTCATTTTGTTCCTTTTAAACATGTAACACCATTTTACATAAATTAGAAAATTCACTGTAATACACAAATGCATGCCAAGTTGTCTATTTTTGTCCCACCAAAAACGGCTGTTCACTGTTTTTTAATTTTATATTAACTCACCCTGTCCAAGCACAGTGATGTTACCCTCGTTGTCTTGATGCCAAAGTGTGTAACAATAAGCTCGAGGATCAGAACAATGTTGAACTTGTACCACTTCACCATTGGGTAATGTTGCTTCAGATAGCTTGCCTGTATCTATAAAAAAATCATGAGGGAATTTTAATGAATATGCACAATTCCATGTTGTCTAACATGCTACACAATTTATGTTGAACATTAAAAAATAAAATTAGATGTATAAAATAATTAAATGTATCAAAGTTGTACATATGTATTATGTAAATAGTATAGGTATAACAAAAAAGGTTTAAAAGAATAGATTAATCTTGGTTGATTAAAGCAATTTACTTTATATATTATAAGATAATACATACCATAAATTTCATTCTCCACTACCAACTGAGCATTCTTATCATCTTTATAAGATGGAGTAACGCTCAGCGCAACATTATCTATCTTATAAAGACAAATGTTTCCTGGTTGAGTCACAGGGCCACTTGTAGTTGTAGTCTCTTCTTTAACTGATTTTTTTACCTCATTTGATACATTTTGTTCCTTATCCGACACTCCTATTATGTTGCCTCTTACAGAGTCAGAAGCTAACTGATTAAATTCGGGTAATTCATTTGAATTTGAAACACTCCGTTTGTGAACAACCTTCGGGTGGTCATTCCAAGAACTATCCATGTTGTTCCATTGGATTGTCCTTCTGTGATGATATTTGGTGAATGTACGAACATAGTGAGCTGGTTTCTGATGATGTATGCTGTTACTATTCTCTACAGAGTCTTGAGGGCGAGACGTGAGTACTTTTGCCGTAAATATGAATAGAAAAAGAATTATGCACTTTAAAAGTGGTGATAATCTCTGTGATAATATCACTTCCATATTGTTTTTGCTTATTTTCGTACAGTAGAAGTAATGAGGCACATTTTAAGGTTCACTGGTAAGTCCTTTCGGTCGATTTATTATGACGTTATTGCGGGTAATGAGTTCAACTGCATTATTGATTTTCTTTCGCGTTTAAAATGTGGTCTATAGAATCTCAGCACACACACTGGAATTTAATATTTACATGAACCAATGAATATTTATAAGAATTCTAACATTCAAACACTGATTCACATAAAATTCATTGAATTACAATTTATAAGAAGAAATAATTGCGTTTAACTTATCGACAAAGTTCTAATTTGAGTTAATGTAGAACTATTATAAATGCACAAAAATGTTACAATTTAATTTCTTTTCGGGTTTTTTCACATTTTAACACTAATTTATCGAAATATTAAATAAAACAAGATCAATAATGGTATGTTGACAAACACATTTCATACCACCATTAAATGATGTTGCCACTTAACCTGAATAAATGTGTGTTGCCCATATGAAAATATTATGTTCAGGTTTCAAAATAATTTATATTTTTGTTTAAATCTCAACATTAGAAAAAATATATGAGTTGAATAGATAACTTTTAAAATTAAAGTTGATATCTATGAGAAATATATATGTCATCTCCATAACGCAAATGTCAGATCAAAGATTTACATTTGACAGCACGACAGTGACAGTCGTAAAAGTAAAGCCGACGAGCAACAGTCTTAAATTGTTTAACTTGAATTTCGTATCCCTTTGTTCATTATAATTTAAATTGGTACTAAAAATAACTTCGACATAAGTAAAACTCAAATGTTCTAGGTTGTAAATCGGTGCAAAATATTCTTAATAGTCTTTACCTATAGTTAAAAAGTTTTTAAGTTCTACTAAAATGTCTTCTATACCAGCGGCTGATGAAATAGATGAAGCGGAAGAACGCGCCCATTTTCAAGCTGTAGTAAACACTTTTAAGTATTACAAGTATGTATTTAAAGCTTTAAGCTATAAGATACGCTAGTCCGATCATAATTTAACTCATCCATTGTTAAATTTCTTTTTTCTCGTACAATAAGAGCACATAGCAACAAACCTTTGTTTCGATGTATGTAATTAACCTATTTTGATATAACAATGATCTATGTTTACGTTTTACACGTGCGTAACTCTGACCCTAACGTCCTTGTGCAATAGAGCTGCATTTACCACCTATTTCAAGGTTGGATATGTTAGACATGATAAACGCGTTGTGTACATAATATATATTTTATGCTATTGTATTGTTAGCATTACTAAATAATGTTTTTATTGTTTTATGACTAACTGTGTTTTGTAAAATATGATGTGTGGTAACAAACAATATAGAAGTTGATTATGCATATTGAATTCAATGCATTTCAATAGTGTTAAAGAGATAAATTACTTACAATATGTTAGCACCTATTTAATGCATTAAGAAAAATGTTATTCAATTCTTAATGGGGCATTAAATTGCAGGTACACTTAAATCTAAATGTATTATTAATTTTCATTAGGTACATAGATTGAAACCTGGGTGATTAGTCCAAATAAACAACTGACATTAGTCATTGTTCATCCCTGGAGTTTATCTAACTCCATTATGTCTTCCTAAACCTTTCAATTATTTCATAAAATTTAAATATATGTTTCATATTTAGTTTTTTGATTTTATCTCTATATTTATTTTAACATTGATACAGTAAAATTGTCAGTGGTCCATCAAGCTGTTCAATACTTGTATCCTCCTTTTCATGGCACTCAGAATACAAAGGTCTAGATGCTAACTTACCCAGTTTATAAATGTATATCTCAGACATGTTTCACCTTGTTCAAAAATCTCATTCTTATTTGCTGAATTTTCTTAATGCATACAAAAGGATGGACTTAATTCCTATATCTGTATCAAACGACAGATAAAGTTATTAAGATTATGTATTTTTTGCTTGATAAGTTTGTTAAATGATAAATATTTTTTTTATTTAACTTCTTACAGACCTAGTGTAGGTATTTTGATTCTATATGCATTATGATACATATTATTGACCATCTTCAAACCACAATGATTAAATTTGCTGTTTAGAATTGCTTTAAGAGAGATTGAAGATTTTAATCTTAGGTATAAAAATTTTGTATTAATTTTTGTTTCTATAATAAATTTTATCTGCTTGTTTTAACTTTGTCATTTTTCAATTCTAATAGCTGTCTGCTCTGCGATATTTAAAATAAAGAAAATTTTTAATATTTCTTTCAGATTATGTTGCTTAGACAGAATACACAAATCGGAAAAAATCATCTCAATGTTACCAAAGTCACACCAACAGAGACTAGAGAAATACAGAACTTACCTCACTAAGTTTAAAAACTGTCTTGACGCTAATAACAGTATAGTACATCTCATCATTGAACATGTGGATAGAATATTCGAAAATGTCGACCACACTATAGACGTGGCTGAGACAAATGGTTCCGAAATTGGATTCAATTATAATAATTGTGAGATTAGCTCACAGAAACAGCATAAAATGCAGCATGATGTTGAAAAGGTAATTTCTAGGTGTAATTTAAAGTATGCTTAAATAGATTAGAATTAACTATTTGAAGGTCTAATGCTTAATATGTTAGACTACATCTGGAAGACATGGATATAAAATGAGTGGATAGAAAGTCTAAGTTAGGACCCTCCACAGTGGAAACTCAGTGGTAAATCTTTATATCGGTTTCAGTCTGCGGATTTTCAAATGGCCAAGGCCTTACAGACAACAGTTATATCGTAAAGCATATGCTGTTAAGATGTTGGCACCAGCCAAAATACCCCAGTGTTTTACTTTTCGTTAACTGAATCTTATGCTCTATGATGTTCTGTGTGTCTCTATTGATGTTCTGTATTGTTTAAAAAATAATAAATATACTATGCTATAAAATATTTAATTAACCATTACGCAATACTCCTTTTTCTAGGTGCAATCAGTGCTAAAAAACATAGTAAGGGATTGGAGTGCAGCCGGAGCAGCCGAGAGGGAACAGTGCTATAAACCAATTTTAGATGAACTAGAAGCAAGGTTTCCTGAAGAAAACTTTAAGTGAGTCTTAAAAGTTATGTAAATTTGGATGGGGCATATTAAAAATTGGAATTAATTAACATATGCTAATTACAATTTTCCAGTGATAGATCACACATTAAAGTTTTAGTTCCCGGTGCTGGTTTGGGAAGGTTGGCCTGGGAGGTCTCAGTCATGGGATTCACCTGCCAGGGAAACGAGTTTTCACTATTCATGCTGTTTGCCAGTAACTTCATATTGAATAAGTGCCATGAGGTATGTCTGCGGTGTTTATTACAAAAATTCAAGACTAAACTGTTTAATCTAATCTTTAGAGTCCTTGTTAGCCATGAATTGTTAGGTTTTTTGGTATGTGATTGAACATATACAATGATAAATATTTTGATGTGCAATGACCACAAAATTTCTTTTCTGTATTTAACACGAAATATATTAATTTAATTGTTTTAAATGTATCGCGATGACAGACAGTTGTTATTTGTGTGTGATTTTTTATACAGACACTGCGACGTAAGAAATGGCGCTAGCAAATCAGATTTGACTTTGACATAAGGGGAGTCCCTTATGTCAAAGTCTTTTTTAATATTTTTTATTTTTATGCGTTTGAAATCATTAAAAGTTTTTTATTTAAATAAGACTATTCCTTGTAGGTGCTGTAATCTAAGTTTTTTTTTTCAGGCAAACAAATACACAGTATACCCATGGGTGCATCAATATGTGAACCACATGACAAGCGACCATCAGATAGTGGCTGCCACCTTCCCAGATCTTCCACCATCTTGTCAACATTCGCACTTCTCCATAGCTGCTGGAGATTTCTTGAAGGTCGGGAAAGAGTTTGTTTTTACTAACAGCAAATAATCAAAATCCATTTGAAAATTAACTATTCACAAGTTCAATAATATAATGTAATAAAACATTTTTAACAGGTTAAAACGCGAAATATATTACTTTAGTTACGATTATCACGAGAGGACCATGCCTATAAATGAAAAACTAAATATAATAATATATTTCGCCTTTTAAACCGTTAAAAGTGTTTGATTAAAATTAATTATACATATATTTTTGCCTCACTATTATAGTTTTATGTTTATTATTGCATATAGAAGAAAGTTAATTAAAAAAATACAAATTTCCAGGTATACACCCAGATGGACGAATGGGACTGTGTCGCGACGTGTTTTTTTATCGACTGTGCCCCCAACGTTATCGAGTTTATTGAAAGGATATATGCTATACTGCGTCCTGGGGGTCTATGGATTAACTTGGGACCATTGTTGTATCATTATAGGTATTTGAAAACTGATATTTTTTGATTCACAGTGGCGTTATAAAAATTAAAACTCAATTGGTTAGCGTTTACAGCAACGGCACGGAACGATGTGGATGCCGGTTGAAGTCTGGCCCGTGTCGTAATTAAAAAAATAATCTAATATCGATTTTTAATTCATTATAAGTTATTAAAGGTGCTTTAATTTTTTTAATAATAGCTAATCATTTGAGCTACTTTTTAAAAGTTGCATGTGAAAATTGTATTAAAAGGGTCGGGAAAAAGATTAAATGGATAATGTGTTAACTTATATCCAAAGCTAAAATAGGTCATGGGCTTGTCTGTCCTTCTGTATTATTAAAAAAACTTCAAAAATTTACTATCAAAATAATAAATTGTGAGCTTTTAATAAATATAATATTTTATTTCACAGTGACATGCCAAATGAGATTAGCATAGAGCCACCGTACGACGTTCTGCTCGACGTCATTCGGGACGTGGGTTTCGATATATTGGTAAGCTCATGATATTCTCATTTTTTTTATTTTACACAGTTTTTGCAAATATGATATTTTTTATTTTATTGGGGTCGCCGATAGATGGCGGGAGTGTTTACTCATGACTTTTGCTGACCCCCCCTTTTTATTGCGCAATTACGATTATGTGGAATTAAAGGTTCCACTAGATATATCACAGACAACTTGAAACTGCTAGACCTAGTCACCGGGAGAGGGTTTGGTGCCGTGATTCCAAGAACTTACCATATGTGGAATGGAGTGTAAAGCCTGGGTCGAAAGTATAGCCAAGGCTTTTATTCTTGTCTGTCAACTTGCTTGTTACAATCGAACTTGGATGTTTTATACGTTTAAATAAAGCACCTTACGGTTTAAAACGTGAAGTATATTAGTTAAACTTATTTTAAATGTATTTTGAGTACGTCCGACGTTTCTCTAGACTAAAGATGGGAGGTGTCTACTCGCGTAAACTATAAACAGGTTTTATATGTAAAAAAGAATATAAGCAACTCACGCTTAACCTTTCTCTTACAGAAGGAACGCACCGGCGTAAAGACGAAATACGCACAGAACCCAAACTCGATGCTGCAACACGAATACAATTCGGTTTTCTTCGTCTGCAGAAAGCCTTATTAATACTCTGTTTTATATACGTAAAAAGTATTTTATGTAAAAAGCACTTGCTGAATGTATGAAAAACCCGAATACTTCAATACTGCTTTGCGAAAAGTCCTGGGTTTGAATGACAGAAGAAATATGTCACAGGGCGCTAAAGATAAAAACTATGAAAAATAAATTTACATGATTCTAGCTGTAGTAACTTCAAATAAAACTAATATAGTAAAATTTATCGTTTTTAAAGTATATTCAGCAAGTCCTTTCGACAGAACGTCAGATAAGATTATTTATACACGGAAATCTATGTAGGAAAATTTGTTAGTCTCAAAATTGTTAATCGGTATTTAAAATGCCCTCAATGACATACAGAAAACTATTCCTAAATACACCAATGTTAAATATTGTCTGGATTTAAACATTTAACTAAAACGCATAATGTTTTAATAACTTCGCGTTGCAGCTTCCCTGGTTATAGGGAAGTCAAAACCAATTCCGCTACCTAAACATAAGGCAATACATTTCGGGTTTTAAACCGTTGAAGTGTTATGCAAGTGTCAACTTAACGTCATAGGGGTCTAATAAACGCTGTTTCTTATTAATCAGATGATTAATAAGAAACAGCGCATTTACAACGCATTTTCGCCTACGTATCGGATGCTTTACAGCAGCCGTGGCTTTAGAGTTAGAGAGTGCCCCTACAGACAATATACAAATTGTGAAAGATGGCAAGAGGCATATAAATTTTGTGATGTACCAAATTTTTTTTTGTTACGAATCTAAAATAGATATAAGAAAGTTGAAGAAGCAGGGCATTATATTTCTGTGAGTTTATACACATGGTCTCTTCTAGTATTATATTTTACCCCCCATTTACACATACTCTGTACAGAGATTAAAAGAAGTTTACTCTATTCCTTAGTTTATATTTCCTAATGGCTACAGATAAAAATATATAAATCGACATAAACAACAAGCAAGTGCTTCATTTGATCTACCTCATATTGGTAACATCTGAACAAGATGTGCTATCGACCTATTAACTTTGTTACATTTGACATTTGGAAGTCCAAACTGAAACGGAATCGCGGAAATGGTCTTTTCAGTTGTTGGATCCTGTGGGAGCAGAATCCGCCACCCGTTGATAATTTGTTACTACTATAGGACCAATGAGCCATTCATATCATTATTCAGAAAATACCTTTATATATCTATACTAATATATAAAGCTGAAGAGCTTGTTTGTTTGTATGTTTGAACGCGCTAATCTCAAGAATAATGGTTCCAATTGAAAATTTATTTTTGTGTTGATCAGAGCATTTTTCGGGGAAGGCTATAATTGCGCTGTGAATAATAGGAGCGAAGAAACAGTAGGAAGTGTGGAAAAAATAAGCTAGTATCTTAACTTATAAACTGGTATTCTTATGAAATTTAGAAACATCTTTATCTTAGTAACGATGACCAGAAAAATGAAAACAAGTTTAGTCCATAAGTGTTCTATTCAAATATTGTATGAAATATCTTCCTATCTTATTGGCGTTCTCGTTAGAGTGATTCATTTTTGCATATGTCAGGAACTGACGTCGTAAACGCAGCAAGTTCTGAGGGTTCACCAGCTGCATGACACCGGCATCTATGGTGCAGCCTGGGTATTCCGGAAACTTTACATCCATCGCGTCAAACTCTTTGGCTTCTAGTATCCGTTTTGCGATCGCTTGTGTGGTGCTGTCCAGTTCATAGAGGAAGTTTGTTGATGAAAGTGGGGGCTGAAAAGATATAACAGCTTAAAATTGTGGTGGATTTATAGAGGATGGCTTTAAAAAATCGTTCTGCGATAATAGCATCAAACAAACACAGAAAAAAGGGAAAAACGTTTTTCTCTCTTTTACCTCCTGCACTGCGAAAACAATTTGAGATAGTCAAAAAATATGTATAAAACAATTCTGCTCTAAATGATCAAAAACATGTCTGTGGCAGTATATGTTCTTCTAAGATTAACTTGCCAGAACGACGGGACGCGATCGACGTCGTGGGCTATGGCTATAAAGATGAGGGATTTGGAAAACCAAATTTTTATGCCCTACATAACTATTTTACAGGCGTAGCTAGTTATTAATATAAAAAGTTATTGAACTCTAACTATCTCCAAGTACTTTGACTTTTAACCAGACTGCAAGCACCTCAAAGGCTATTTACTATGTTTCCCCAGTATTAGACCACTGGCACATAACATTTACGTTAAACCATAGAACTATGAAGATAAATTAGTACGTACATTCTGTGTGCTCATATTGGGAGGAGGTGGTTTCCGTTTGTACAAGACATCATATATTGCATCCATATTTAATGTATCAGTCGGTTGAACCGTAAATAGTGGACTGTCCCATCTGTTGTTTGAGTTAGGTTCTTCAAATCTGAAATAAGATGGAAAGTAATAGAGTAAAAGAGATCCTCATTGGAAAAACAAGAAAGAAGGAAGGATAGAGTGCTAAATTTTACTTCTGAGAAACATAAAAAATTTATATCTTGAAGTTAAAAGTTGGATAATTAATATCTGGGAGTGCAGATCTTGTTAGTCTATCTTAGCTTTAGATATTCAGAATTCAAAATACCTAAACTTAACCTAAAGTAAAACACTTTACTTATCCATCTGTGTATGTTTTGTGACCCGCATAGAGTACCAATATTCCTACTACCGCAGCAAATATCAATGTTATTCTCATCTTCATCAAAACTTACATATTATTAAATTTTAATTACAAATGATGTTACTATACCTTAATTTAGTAAGAGCATTGAAAACTTCTTCTGTATATGGTTCGGTATGGATGTCTGTGTTTCCGTTGCCTTCCTCTTTTGCCTTGATTCTCTTCTGATTGTCTTCCCATGCATCTTGATGGAATCTTATAGTATAAAGGGTACATTGGGTTGATTTTGATGCTTTAGATGCACAATAGAGTTCATATCTGTAGCCTAGAAGACAATATACTACTAATCAATATCTAAGGGAAATGGTTGAATTATGGTAAATTGTTAAGTTCATTGTCCAAACAAATTACAATAATGGGAAACAGAACAGAGAGAAACATAAAATTAATTAGTTACTTGACTTTAAGTAAATTCCAAATTTATTGTGGCTTTTAATGGCTGCAGGAACAGAAAATAAAGGATATACTTGTAACATCCAACAGCTAAATGTGAGATTGTAATTATAGATACCTTATGGATTCATAAATATCTTAAATAAGAAATTTGTGTAAGGATTATACTTTGAATCATTTTTGCAAATCTATAAAACATAATCTGTCAGCTGCACTGTCCTAGGTACTGCACTGTATTTTATAAGATAATATAAAAAAAATTCAACATGATTCTCTTTGATTTGGTTTGACTACAGTTTACAATTCAACTCATGTATTGTTAGTAAACTTGTTGGAAGGTTCTACTTTTTGGTAACTGTCTTGTTCTGGGGGCAGAGCGATATTAAAAATCACTTCATGTTTATAGATATATTGCACTTTATATACTAATTACAAAAACATAGGATGTTACTTTGTCCGTGTCGAGAAGAGAAGTGGAGACATTTTTTCATCATAATATCTTTTTATAATTTAAATATAGAGCTGGAAAATCTAAACAACTTTTTCATGTAAATGTAAAGGTGTAAGGCCTGCCAGTATTTACATACATATATAAACTCAATCAAGATTTGTGCAAAATAGGTACAAGGAATGTACTCAGATAAAACACAGGCAAAATAGCTGTGGTTTTACTCACCTTTGATATAATTACTCCCATCCAATATAACGACATTGTCTTTTCCAACCAGCCGAATAGCCTCCGACTTCAAATATCCTCTAACTCTCTTCTCCTTCTGCGAGTCCAGATACATAGACTCCTTATCATAACCTAACTTATGCAAAGCTTCGTCTTCAGATATTATTACCACTTGTTTGCTGTGAGTGTTTTCAAAGTAATCCTTCAATTCTCTTGCCCTCGTCGTTTTGCCACTGACTGGGGTGCCGCAAATTATAATTAAAGGCATTTTTTAAATATACGCAAATATAAAATCAATGTTCACAACAATCCATATTCGATTTGATATTGCAGAAACAGTCATGAGTCAACGTCAGCTGTCAAGTGTCAAAACTGATGGGACGCGGGTTCGATCCCCACCGAGAGAATTATTTTTAAGTACATAATATATACTTAAAAATAGTTTCAAGTAATAGATATATTATATCTATTACTTGAAATTATGTATCTTGAAATAAAATGACAAAAATACAAGTTTACTATACCTACCTATTAGTCGATGCTACTAGAATCTAGATAGTTAATTACCTAAATGAAAATAAAATTATAATTGGTGTGTATTATATATTTTTTTGCTTCCTTAACAAAACAATAAATCGTACCTTAGCCTTTATCGATGCAAAGTAAGGCAAACAATCCTAATTCTATTAATGTGGGGCGAACACATGTCTATGTCCGTTTCACTGATACATTTACTTGCAAATAGTTTATTAGATGTCTGTGCCCTGCCCGACCGAAAGCTTTTATTGTTGGCGCGATTCAAACCCAGGACTCCACGCAACGAAATGTCTGTCAAATAATACCTAATTATTTCAACTTAAATAAATACAAATTGCGAGATAAAAATAAACACAAAACAATACAGCCGATACAAAACGTTTATTTGTTAGAATTAAGACGGACTGCTATTGTATGTCCCCGGGGAGAGATTTTCTCGGCTTATCTGGCTTTAGGTCTTATTCCACTCAAAGATATACTATACCATAAAAAATTGTAGTCGCAGCCCTATACGATGTAAACCGTTTTAACAAATGTAAGTAAAGGTTAAAGCTATTATTAATTGCGTCTATTAGTAGATACTCTGAACTCACGTAAATATCACTGAATTTGGTGTACGCTGTTCTCGAATTAGAAATAGTAAAAGGTGTTGTGTGACGCCAGATGGCGTATTCGTTGTTATATTACAAGAGCCTTAAAATTACATATATTCGTAAATGTATCATATTCACTTAATATGACAAAGTTGTGTTGTATTTATATGTCTATTTCTTTTAAATAAAACACTTTAACGCGATATATTTATATATTTAAAGTGTACTACTCGCGTAAACTAGAGACAGTATAACACTTTAACGCTTTAAAATGCGATATATTTTAGTTAAACTTGTTTGAAAATTATTTTTAACTACGGGGAGACTCCCCATGACCATGACTGCTGCAAAACATCCGAAACGTCGGGCCCAAGTTAAAAATCATCTTCAAATAAGTTTAACTAAAATATATCGCGTTTTAAACCGTTAAAGTGTTTTTTTAAATATGCAATACTTGCGTAAACTACAGACAGTATATTTATATCTATTTCTACGATAACGAGGCAATACAACTGGTGTACAAGAAAAACAGCTCAACGTGATTACCAGTCTTTATTCACTCTTAAAGATTGAAAAAAGGGTTCAAATTTGTTGCATAAGTAAAGACGAACACATTTCTGGGTCCGTTTCATTAATCGGTTCTTTTACAGGCAAGTAGTTGGAACAGACTTCTGTGCCCTGCCTGATCAAAACAAACTGTTGTTTCATTAGGATTCGAACCCTCTCGCGCTTAACGCAATGCTAGGCAACCATTCGTTTAACCATTTGGCTACACAGGCTATTTAAAAAAAAATTGTATTGTAGAGTAAAAATTTTATTTAATTTAAAAATTTACATCGTACTTTTAATAGTACAGAACGAATTTATAACATGAATTATTTAATGTAAAATGTTCGAATGTTTTTTGGGGCAATTAAATGTAAGTTAACAATTTACTTATATTAAAACCAAAATTAAAAAAAAGTCTACCTTTTATTTATTTGGTCCTTTAAAAAATGTTAAAGAGTTTTGCCAAATTGTATTACTTTATCCTGTTGACTCTCAAGAACACATTCCATTGACAGATATCAACGTAACAAATTCGTTTGCCTTTTTAAACAGTTACAACGTGTACCACTCTTAAACTACAAACATAACTAAAGATTGGTGTTTAGCACGAATTGTCTCAAATTATTTATTTGGAGTGATCAGCCATTATAGAGAACAGTTTACCAAAATCTTTCTATAGCAAACCCACACTGGACAACAGCCCTATCGAGGATAATATACTTGTTGAAGCCAGTTCCAATTTGAACTTGCTACTGCAATGTTGTAACGCGTTGGAGGTAAGATATTTCATTATTTTTTATTAGAGCTTAACACGTTATGTATTAAAACTTATTTTTGTATTTTCCATTACTTAGGCTAAGCCAATTATAGAAAAATATATAGTACGCTTTTAAATAAAACACTTTCACGGTTTAAAAGGCGATATATTAGTTAAATCGCGTATTAAACCGTTAAAGTGTACTATTTGCGTAAACTATAGATAGTACGCTTGTCTTTTTTAATTCTTGACCTGCGTTTGTAATCTTCAAAGCTTCGTAAGTCGCAATGAAAACTTTTTCATTGTTTTAGGTTTTATGTTGTTTATCAAAGATTTTAATCATTTTCAAATAGTTTTATGTTTTAATGTAAAGCGGCCCTTTGATATAATTGTGCCGCCTCCGTAATCATTTTAATTATAAAAGAGTTGCCTAGAGTAAGCAGGATTGATCGTGTGATTGAAATCTAGGAAACAATATTTCGGGTGGACAGGGCAAAGAAGTCTGATCTTGACTGTTAATAAAATCGATCAGACAAAAAAAAGACTATGAGATGTTTCCACATTTTTCATAAGTATTTAATTAATATCGTCTTTTCTCAAAATGGCGCTAAGTCTTGCGTTCGAATCGTGGAAAAACAAAATAGCATCTACTTAGACCTTCTACTTGCCGATATAATTCTTCTGTGAAACATCGAATACAGTCTACGCCAAGTCCCATTCTGCTGAAATGGTTGTTTTTACTCTGTCACGACTACTAACAGACAAATGTAAATGTCTAGAACATCAATTGCGTCTAGATTTCAATCTGTGGATTTCCGAACATTCAAAGCTAGGTGCACAAGGCATCTTGTTGAGATGTTATATAGCTGGGATATTTTCACCTTTCATCGCATGAACTTCCATCAAATGTTGCACGCTTACATTACAATGTGGGTAGATAATCATTCATCAAAGTGTTTTTACATGTAGAGATAGCTACGAGTGGATAAATCAAGATAACATTAATAATTTAGCTTTTACGTAAAAGTTGCATATCACGGTATAAAAACATGTTTGTAATAGAGATGTGCATTCTCTAAATAAATTATAATCTATAGTATACAAGTGTGGTACATTATATACGACATTTTTAACAGTTTAAAACGAGAAACATTGTATTTTTAATTTTGAAGAATATTCTATGGTGTAGTTTTTTCAACAACTGCAATGTAGCCATTAAAACCATCTTATATACGTTTTTGGTTATTGTACTTATTGGTTAAACATTTAGTCCTATGTGGCTCTACCAATTTGCTTAAAAAGGATCTTTAAAAATATATTTCAAACGTTTACGACTAATTTTTGTAATTATTGATTTAGACATTGTCTTTGAATTCAAACAATTGATTTAACTTAACCTAACTGATTTATTTAATATACTTTTATCCTAATAACATTATAGACATCGAACATGAGCTAAAGCAACAATGGCGTACTTACGTATCTTAACGTTACTATCACTTACGCTCTTCAAAGGCTGTAAGAGTGGCGATATCGATAATTTCTTCGAAGTTATTAATAATGACACAGTTAATTATAACGCTAATGGAGCAGAAATAGCCTGGCAGTCTGCGATAAATCCCAACGACCCGACATTAGTCAATCGAGCCGCGAATTACCAAAAGAGTCGCATCAGTTGGCAGAATAGAATGTGCGATAAGTTGGCAGCACTGTACTTTAGAAATTTGCTCACGACCACGCAAAAGCGGCAGAGTTACTTATTGTGTAGAGGGCCCAAATACACCTATGAGGAGATAAGGTAAGACTATAAATTGTACAGGGCTTTCGTGGTTATTTTAGACAGCAGCTCGCAATGTCTATAAATTTTAAGTGAAAGGTAAAAATCTAAAAAAAACAGGTTTTAACGGTTTGAACGGCAAAATGTATTATAGGTTAACTTATTTAACATGGTATTACTCATTTAAACTTACAACAAAAACATTAGATAGTTTTCCCTTTGATAAGCTCCCATGATTGGGAAATTTAGTTTATAATTATGATCTAGAGCAGGTTAACTATGAAAAAAGTAAAAATTTGGGCATTCAATTTGTAAAATTTAAAAATTATAACAACTGAGCATCAAACCGCGACTATTTGACCAAAATCGCGTCTTTAGTGCCACTCATGTTGTTACATTAAAGTACTCATACGACTCTAACTAAACGTCGAAAGCCAAAATACGTTCACATCACATGTTTAGATATCCTATGACCGAGATAATCGCCTTCATCAAGTGAACCTACATTTATTTGTGTTCTTCCGTCGTAAATTAACCCATAAATCTATTTATTATTTCCCAGCTTTTTTTACTAGAATTAAAATTATTACTTACACTGATGTATTTGTTATTTCTTTATTTTAGAGAAATAAGCAATTTATACGAAAAAAATACAAACAATATACAACGAAGCGCAAATTTGTTTTCCTATTACTGGCAATAAAAGTTTAGCAGATTTTGAAACGGCCATTTTGAATTCTTCGGAATCGTATGCACAATTCGAAAATCGAATGTACTTGAAGGGAGAAAACGATTTTGAAGCGATGATGAAATTCTCAAAGAACGAAGCGGTTTTGAAATGGACGTGGTCAGTTTGGCGGGAAAAAATGAAACCGATGAAGACGCCATATCTGTCTATGGTGATGGTTGAAAATAATGCGGCTAGACGGAATGGTAAGCGTGTTTTTACCACTTTATCTGTTTAATATCATCGGCTAGATAGGCAGTGGCGAGCCCCTCAGTCAACTGCGTTCCACGACGCGATCCGACGGCACCTTACCTCCGCAATATGACTATGGAAACATTCGGTGTCGTTTAGCGTACCCCTCAACAGGTAGAGCTGGATGAATTCCAGCTCTTCAAGCTCCACAATGGTCAAAGCAGATGCCGTTACCTTCTTGGGGCCACTTGTCTGGTTAAATAAGAACACACACAAAGGAAATCACAATTTTTATATTACTTCCAAACATACCTTAAACTTGCTGCGCTAGCGGCTTTGTCTGCGTAGAATAGTTTTCTTCCTCTTTATCTTTATAAATTAAAGAGAACCAGTAATTTCAGAGGTTAGCGCGTTCAGACAAACAAACAAACTCTTGACCTTTATAATATTAGTATTGATTAAAAATCTATTTAGATTGAAAAAAGCATTAGCGGCGCGGGTCTTAAACCGACACACAAAGCGATCAATGTTGCTTCTTTAACCAATTGATCTACCGAAACATTTTAATCAATATAAAGCCATAATGAGAAAAAAAAATACATTTAAATAAAACACTTTAACGGTTTAAAACGCGATATATTAGTTAAACTTATTTGAAAATGATTTTTAACTTCGGCCCGACGTTTCGGAAACGTCGGGCCGAAGTTAAAAATCATTTTCAAATAAGTTTAACTAATATATCGCGTTTTAAACCGTTAAAGTGTTTTATTTAAATGTGTACTACTCGCGTAAACTATAGACAGTATTTAAAAAAAAATACATTTATTCGTCGTAATAAAATATGTTTACAGGTTATAAAGACATGGGTGCGTCGTGGCGAGATGAAACTGAGATGCCGGCTTTGCGGAAACTGTGTTACCAGCTATACGAAAGCATTTTGCCACTGTATAAATTGATACATGGTGTTGTCAGATATCAATTAAGAAAAATATATGGAGACGTTGTTCCTGAGAAAGGACCTATGCCTGCTCACTTATTAGGTAAAATAGATACAAGAGATTTTTTTTTATTCATGACAAAAGTGGACAGGGAAGTATGAAGTTCACTTGATGGAAAATCCACAGACTGAAATCGAAACGCGACTATATTCCACGGTTTTCCCTCTGAACGGAATTGCGATTTTCCTTCTCCCGATTAAAAACTCGGTCCCATCCAGATTTAATAAACATATTGGACCTGGCGGGAATTAAACACAACACCTCTTGATTGTTATTATAAGCTGTAGAAAAATTAATGAATAAATTAGTTCCTTTTCAGTTTCTCCATGTGGGGCATGGGGCAACACAAATCTCTATTTGTGTTCGGATCAAAATGTCAAATTTCCCCGAGATTTAAACCCAGAGACTTCTAACTAAGAAGTTAATAAGTAAAATAGGCACTTTTAGGAAAAAAAACTGCTATGAAATTAAAAGCGCGCGTTGCTACTTTTATATTAACAATATATTTTAGTACCTGGCAAGAATTTGTAAGGTAATATTAAAATTCTGATATTGAAACGAAATTGCACGAAGCAGTTTATATTGAAAAATCCTCTTCACGCTGAAAATCTATTAATACTTTTGCCAAGGACTGCATTAACCGACATAGACATGTGTTTACTCGATGCTCCACAAGGGAATAGGGGATTACATACCTTGAGATGCTACTGGTATATTATTCTTCGTTGTTACATATTTATTATCTGATTTATCTACCCTGTCTTTTAGGGGATCTGTGGTCTCAAAACTGGGAGCCAATGGCAGATTTGATTTTGGACCACAATATTAATTTGGACGAACGTATCAAAAATTTAAATTGGACAGTCGGACACATGGTATGCTTTTTTAATACTGACAGAGGAGAGCAGACTAACATGGAGTTCACTCGATGGGGGGGGGGTGAGATAACTCAGATAAACAAGATGCCGACCTATTTAGGATATAGATTCTGAAACCGAACCGTGAACTTCACGGCTTTATCATTTGTGGACGGTGGTTCACAACCTGGACGAAATTTCGATATTCCCACCACCATTAAATATCCCGATTGCAAGACGAAGTCCAACATGCTTCAGAAAAATTATGAATTAATTAGAAAAATGTTGGAGCCGGTGGAGATCGTTGTTATGTTGCTATGTTTAGTCACGTATTAATAAAATAAACATAAACAAGGCCACAAAAGTATCTGACGCAGAAGTAATGAAGGGTTGTCTTTGTTTACTATAAATTTTCCCACAGGTAAAACGTGCTGAAGATTTTTACACATCTCTTGGTCTGCCCGCTATGTCGGATACTTTTTGGCGGGAATCGGTGTTTGCGCGGGGCAACACTTCTACGCGTTGCCATGGTACCGCAGCTGACATGTTTAAAACAGATGATTACAGGTATGTATTTCAACAGAGTAAAATAAATAATAGATTACAGATAAAAACATTTTTTTTAAATTTTAGATTATTATACTGCTCAGACACGAAATTTGATGACTTATATGTATTACATCATGAAATGGGACACATACAATATTATATGGCGTACAGTAACCAGCCTGGATTATTTAGAGTAAGATATTATAGATCATGGATTTTTATAGTGGAAAAGTATGTCCGTAATTGTTTCGACAGATATCATTTTTATATATAAGAAAGACATACAATAGTATAATAAAACTTACTTTATTTATAAACTCATTTTATAGGTAGTAATTTTCTTGTAGCAAGCCAACACTGCTCTACATGAAGCAATAGGTGATGCAATAATGATTGGTGTTACCATCCCACAACATTTAAATAGACTCGGGCTTTTAACAGATAATGAATTGTTTAATATGACATCTGGTAAATTGGCATTGAATTTGAAAAATGATAAAACTGACAAGGTCTATACTCACAAAGAAAAAGATGGCGGCCCCGACTATTTTAATCGTGTGAAAGATAACTTAGAAACTGGTGTTGTTGAGAGAGAAAGAAAAATATTATTTCCTCTACATAACTCAAATTATATATTGAAAAATACAAAATTAAACTTGCACCTTAACGATTTACAAGAAAGAATCAAAATATCTAAAGGAAAACAGATACATAAGAAAAATGACGATGTAACTACAGACGATATTGTCATGCTTAAACAGGCTTTAAATAAAATACCACAGATACCATTTGCACTTGTGTTAGATGAATATAGATGGAGGTTATTTGAGGGTAGTTTAGATAAAATGCAACTTAATGAGGAATTCTGGAGAATAAGCCAGGAATTGCAGGGAATCTCACCAGTGGATAAAAGGGGTGAAGAGTATTTTGATGTTGGTGCTAAGTATCATGTAGCTGATAATATTCCATACACTAGGTAAGTTGCCTTTTTTAGTTCTGGTTGCACCAACTTTATTGAAATATTTGAGCTGAGTTTGAGGTACTTTGCTAGAAGAATGCTTATTATTAAACATCTATATAAAGCAGACGGTTTTTCTCTTTGCAATAATGCGGACTATAAAAAATAAAATTAAAAATTCTTAATCATGAAAAAGTGTTTGTTTGATGTCACGAACGCCGGCGGGCGTAATTAGTAAATGCTTAGATATACCCGCATTCAGCTTTTCAAAATGAGGATCGAACAGTGATTACATTTAAAGAAAGGACTTTACAGGGGCTCATTGGTCTAATGGCTATCCCCATTAAGTAATCCCCATGCCATGTCTGTCCTCATCTATCATTAAAAAATAGACCGATTTTATAACAATGATTTTTATGATAGAGTACTGGAATTTATGTAGGTAATAGGTAAATTGTTTAATTAATTTCAGATATTTCCTAACCAGTTTTCTACAATACCAGTTGTTTGAGAAGTTATGTAAGTCGGCTGTCTTCGGTCATCGAAATATAGATGAATCTCTTCCTTATTCAATCCCTCTACATCGATGTGATATCTATGGTTCCAAAGCCGCTGGAAAGATATTGATGTAAGATATTTAAAAAAAAACCTTTAACGATTTAAAACGCGAAATCTATTAGTTAACTAAAATTTTAATAAGTACCAGTAGTTCCCGAGATGAACGATTTCGAACTAAGAAACAATTTCTTCAGCTTTATAAGTACAAATTACTAATCTGATATTTATGTTTCTGTTTAACTTTAAGTTCTAGTTTTTATGTAGAACAATACCATGTCTTGTTATATACATTCTCATTTCCAGAGATATTATGTCGCGTGGAAGCTCCGAAAATTGGGAAGACATACTCCAAGAAGCAGTTGGTGTACGTGAAATATCATCAGCGGCGATCAAAAACTATTTCTATCCTCTATCAAATAGACTGAAACAAATAGTGGAAAAGTATAATATTCCTATAGGATGGGACTAGACACACGTGTTTTACGATATTTTAAACAATAAATGTTGCAATGACTATGAGTGACTTTTATTAACTACTTTTCCAGTAGTTTACTCCTTACCCCACTTTACAACTAAACTGTAAAGGTCGCAGTTACTCTTATACTGTCTTATTAAAAGCAGAAAGGCATTTTAATAAAACAATTAAATAAATTAACAATAAATAGTCTTTATTACATAACTTAATTAAATTAAAAGTTTTGTCTTAGATCAAAGGGAGGAATCAATACGATTAGCAAGAGAAATAATTTAAAAAGTTATTATTTACATGATAGATAGATTAAAAATAATTTATCAATTTTTGTCGCACAGATTATAATGCTAAAATGTATTTAATTTATTATTTACATCTAGAAACATATAAAACTATTATTTACAAATGCTAAGGCACTTAATGTTATTGCTGTTCTTAATTGTAACATTCTATCACATATAACTCGAACTAAATACAAAAATAGTAAATACAGAGTATAAAACAATGGCGCTTAGATTTAATGACGTGTTTTGGAGTTTGTATGCCTCTGTGGTATAGTTGTGCTTAAACATACTTCTTCTTCTTAAGTAGCTTATGTTACTTATAAAATTGTTCAACGATTTGACATAAATAAAAAATGTCAATTGTCATTTCGTTTACATTTGATCAGATGAGAGCGGTTAACTTCATCACAAGTTTTTATGGTAACACGAAGATATACCGCCAAATAGATTTAAAATAAATCGATTTTGATCTAATTGAAGCAAAACATACGATATTCAGTCATTAGAGTATTAAAAATCAAGCAAGAACGTCACGATAAAACTCTAGCAACATGTGTGACGTCATCAGTATTATTATTGGCTCTTGAAAATGATTGGGAAATAGAGGGCTACGCTAGTGTAGTGGCATGTGAAATCCAGTCTACAGTGTGCGCTACTCTGTGGTAGATCCCAGGTTGCCCACGACTAGCGCACGAATATCCGGCGGAAACGACGCCGATGAGGTACCACCTTCCCGCGCGCTCCAGCATCAGCGGACCGCCGCTGTCACCTTGACAGCTGTCTTTGCCGCCACCGCGGTATCCCGCGCATAGCATTTCTGGGTATATTACTACATTTATACCTGGAAACAAAAATAAAACAGTAATACATAAGTACTAAGGTTGAAATTACATTGCGCAAGAGGTGTATATGTCAATAAGTTGAAAAAATTCGACGATGTCGTGTGGCAGTCGAAACTTTTTCATTTATTTTTGGATTTTTAATAACACGATAATTGCAAAATTATAATTCAATGCCGACGACACTGTTACGAGTAACACTCATAGTATAGTTGACGGCCTCCTTGGTGTATCCAGTGTCCAACATTTTTCTAATCGATTTATAATTTTTCTGACACATCTTGGACTTGGTATGGAAATATGGATATTAGATAGGTAGGAATATCGAAATTCCGTTCGGCTCACGTACGTCCACGGATGAAAAACCCGTGAAGTCTAATCACGTTTCGGTTTCAGTCCGATATCTAAAACAAAAATAGGCTGACAGCGCATCTTGTTTATATGCTATAGGGCTCATATTTCACCCACCACCGAGTAAACCCCGTGCATGTATGTCCCTCTCTATTATTAAATAAAAATAGTCAATATGGATACTGTCTATAGTTTACGCGAATAGTACACATTTAAATAAAACACTTTAACGGTTTAAAACGCGATATATTAGTTAAAACACTTTAACGGTTTAAAATGCCCTATATGGGTTTCACACCCAGGTTCAAATGGTTGAAGTTCGGTTTCAATCCCATATTGACTACCAAAATAGGAGAAGCGAGATTGTACAAATTAATATAGTTAAGCCACCTTATTATGTTTCAATAAAACACTTCTAACGGTTTAAAATGCGTAATTAGATAATTGCATGTACAATTTATTTTAGTGTATTTCGAGTTAAAAGTGTTTTATTTCCATTTAAAATACTTGTTACGCAACAACTACAGAAAATACTTTATTAACTATGGTTTATTTTGACTACAGACTACAGTATGTAATATAATTAAACTTACCATTAGCTCTATGCCAGCGCTCGCAGACCCTATTGTCAAGAACGGGCACATCAACCGCTTGCAGCGTTCGGGGGCGAAGCCTCGAGCCAGGGCTGAGGGCGCCCCAACCAGCTGCCCAGCCATACTGACCGAGGAAGTCCGACCCTCGCTCTGGCAGGCAGATTGGGGCTGGAAATCGAAAAAAAAAACATGAACCAACTGAAAATGAACAACTATTCATAAATAAAAAAATATCCCTTGTGAAGTATCGTTTCCCCCAGTGGGGCATGGGTAGAGTCCGTTTCACTGATCTTTTAATTACAGACAAGTAGTTGATCAGATTTCTATGCCGTGTCCGACCAAACAATCCATTGTTTCACCGGGATATGAACCCAGTACCTCTTAAGCTTAACGCAATGCTAGGTAATACGTATAACAATTTGTATCCAAAGGCGGCTTATATAAAATACGTCAACATCGCAATTTTCGATAATTTTAAACGATTTAAATAAAACACTTTAACTGGGAGGTCTCCCCGTGACCACGGCCGCTGCAAAGCATCTAAAACGTCGGGCGAATTAAAAATCATTTAAAAATCGAAAATAAATTGAAAAAAAATTTTTTCCACTCGGGCAGGACTTGAACCGGCATCGTCAGCTTTCCGTGCTGTTGCTCTACCAATTGAGCTACCGAGTCCTACACCACATCGTCGAATTTTTTCAACTCATTGATACATGCACCGCGCGCGCAATGTAATTTCAACCTTAACACTTGCAGTTAATATGCAATTAATATTTTTCACGTGTTATATGATAGCACTATATAAATTAAAAAACTGTTGCTCTACAACACAGAAACCCGTGAAAGCGGGTTCAAGTCCTGCCCCTGTTGTTTTTTTTTAATTTTTAAACTATTGCTTTCGGTTAAAATTAATGCATCTACAAATACACTAGATAATTTTGTCGAAATACCTCGATAGTCTTACATTATAAGTTATTTGCGAAATTCATAAACGTATATTAAATACAAACACATACCAATATGAGGCATATAATGAACATTTCTGTCCAAGGTGAGGACGGCAACATCGAAGCGATCTGCTTGCGGTGTGAATTTGAAGAGGGGGTGAACCTGTAATTAAATAAGTCTGTTTTACGGGCTCTCTATTCTAATGGTGTCAGTGTATTAATTGACTGTTTGTTGACTTTATCCCCACCGCATGTATTTATAATTTTGTTGAAACAATTTGGATTTCATCTGAATGATCTGAATATTTATTAGCTGGTAGGAATGCCTAAATTTCGTCCGGTGTATAAACCAGCGTCCACAGATATAAATGCAAAAATGCATTGCGGTTTGAGTTTGTAGGTTTTCGAACGTCCAAAACAAGAAATAGGTCGATAGCGCATCTTATTTTCTTTAATTCATGTAAACATTCTCTCCTCGTCTGTGTTTTCATTAATAATAATCTTGAAGTCAAAAATACCTTAATAGTTCGGACTCCAAACGTATAAGCAGGTAACGGCTCCGCGGCAGAATTGATGACGTAATCGCCCAGCGTGACTCTCACGTGACGGGGTTGCGCACGCGCAACACAATGTCCCGCCGTGACCACATGACGCCGGGATATAAGAGAACCGCCACATCTGGAATTTTACGTTTTTATGTTATATTATTACTCAACATAATAGTATCATCCTTACTAATGTTATAAATGCAAAAGTAACTCTGTCTGTCTGTCTGCCTGTTACTCTTTCACGTCAAAACTACTAAATGGATTTAAATGAAATTTGGTACACAGATGGTTTAGACCCTGAGAAAAAACTTTTAATTGCGAATATAAAATACAGATATTTATTCAATCATTTAGTAATAAATTATAGCTTTGAGTTTGTTTTTGTTAAATAACAAAAATAAAATTTAAGAAAATCTGACTTTATGTAAAATAAACTAAGCCCATTGGATTGTTATTTAATAGCTTGAATAAAATCCCTAAAAGAGGAAGTACGTAAAAATGTAGTGTTGGTACTTTATTTTTTATCTATTTAAAAGGCAGACTATTAGTAACTTTTGACACTAAGAATAGAAGAAGACTGTGAAATTGTACAACGAATGTAAAATAAATGTCGAGTTTACAAAATCGAAATATCTTAATATTTACATACTTTAAACAATATACAACTTAGTTTTATCTATTTAATCTTAAGGTAACTTAAGCATTTACTCAATAATATTGATTTTGTAATAGTCTTTTTATAACAGACAAAAGAATACAGCCAAATGTTATATACACGTTTTGTCGGTCTGTCTGTATATTTTTGTGACAAATGTATTTAGCTTTTGTATACAATAGAAAACGTGAGTAAAATGATATAATTGATGATATAAGTGCTAATATACGACAGAATGCGATAGATAGTTTGTACAGATCTAGAAGAGGTTCTAAGTAATAATTAAATATAAAAAGATTTTGTATGTATAAGCATGCAAATATTTACCATATTTTACACGATTATATATTATGTAACGGAGGAAAATGTGCGAAAGATTTGTCAAGCGAAAGGCATGCGAGACCTACACAAATGATAAAAATAAAGATCGAATCGAGAACATTTATTAAAACATGCACTACAGAAACAGTTTGAAAATGAAAAATATTTTTATTAAACACAGATTTTGTATGTATAAAAGAAACTATACAGGCTGTACAGTAAAGTCGAGTGTATATCGTTCTCTTTCGCACATTTACCTCTCTATCCAACACTGTTTCCAACCGATTAGCTCGAAAATTGACATAAGCATGTTGCATCTGTAAAATTAATGTTTTAGTATGTTAGTGTTGCCAGCCCTAAGAACTGTTAATATTTTAAACAGGTGAACACGACAGACGCTTCTTAAATGTTATTAATATTTCCCGCCATCTCAATATATTAGTAAATTGTCAATGTCACATTTTAATGACATCTGATATATCAACTTATTACAATATTAGGGCTTGTAATTAAATTTAAAGTAAGACCTTTATTTAACAATATTAAAGTACGGTACTTTATACATACAGATCATTTTAATTAAATCAAATGTGTTGAACAATAAAGACTCATTTCTGTCTAATCCACTTGTTTAAGACACAATTTTAAAATTAATTATAATTTAATATTAACTAAGCATTCCTTAATTGTATAATAGGTTAATGACTTGAAAAACACACTGTGATTATAATGATTAAGTTATACAGGTAAATGAAAATGTACAAATAATGGGGCTCTGACAGATAATACTTCGCTTCAATCTCATAGTGTCGCACTCCTGGGCGCAGAACTCTAATGTAAGATTAGGTTTAAAAGCTAAGACCCACCACACTGTTCCAGTGCGACCTCATGGGCTCTAACGACCTTCGCCACTAAGCTAATTATGATACCGAGAACCGACGTTCTCTTCGAGGCGCGAGAGTGTTGACAGCTTCAAAAGTACGGGGTGATATTAGATATTTTCTAAGAAAATTCGAAAGATGTAGTACGATGTTTACAACATCGCCGTCGTGCTTCGGAAAGCACGTTAAGCCGTCGGCTCCATATTTCGCTACTAATTTAGTGGCAATCGTTAAGTTTGTCTTTGAAGACAGAAAATCTTATGTATAGGGCCAACATACTTTAATTTCTTTTCAAAATTATAAATGTAAGAAAAAATGTTATTTAAAATGTTTACTGTCTCTAGTAACGTGTTACACTTAAATCAATTGTGAGTCTGTAAATATAGACTTAAATAAAGTCTTTATTATTGTCCTTAGAGTACTAAAGCAGCTGGTGGATCTGAGTCTTAAAATCTGAAAGTCCAGCAGTACCTAAACATTAATAGGTTGAAGAACAAAAGGTACAGGTCCAGCTGTTCAAATGTTTAGCTATCGGGTATTAGCGTAATACGAATTAACCTGGATGATCCTATCCTTATGTAGGCCTGCCAGGGGAAGGTACCGAAGCCAGCGTCATCACCACCCACTATCCTTCTCTGCGCCGTCTGCTTACTTACTGCTACGCCGCAGCCTGGAAAAGACAGGATTTCTATTAATTTTAATTCTTGTTCTGTAGAGTGTAAGGCACAGATTTGTAAAATAATATAATATAATAAATTGTTTGGGATTAAAAATACATGATCGTAAGTTAAGTAATCGCTCTATAATATTAAACCCACTGAATGTGTGTTGCTACACACAATTTTCGACAACCTTGATTTCGCTATTTTTTTAAACGTTTGAAGTACAAATAATGGTTGTTTTATGAAAAGAAAATGAAAAAAGTATTGAAAATTCCTAAAATAACGATTTTCTGTACTCCTAACGAACGAATCGTAATAATAAAAAGTGAAAAAGAACTGTAATATTTAAATAAAACACTTTAACGGTTTAAAACGCGATATATTAGTTAAACTTATTTAAAAATGATTTTAACTTCGGCCCGACGTTTTGGATGCTTTGCAGCAGCTTTAGTCCATCTTTAGTCTTAAAGATGGAGGATGTCTCTGACGTCAAAGTAAAAATTTGCTAATCTGTTCCGTCGAAGTTAGTATTTGGCTAAACTGGCCGGGTCCTTACATAATTGACTAACGGTGTCTTCGCGTTTGCCGATATGCTGTTTATTGGGATCCAGAGTTTTTAATATGGGATCCCAGGTGTTTGATAATTTGAGGCAGTCGTCCCTATTGATATATATAACACCGAAATTTCAATAGGGAGGACGGCCTCAAATTATAGTATAGATTATAAATTATTGTATAGAATTGTAATATGTATAACATAAAGTCTATATTCGAATAAAAATTAATCAGACACAATAAATGTTTGCTAGAATCGTATAGATATCTAACATATTTTGTATGTTAAAATATATAAGATCACAGATCACAAAAAAAATAAACTGAAAAAAGATTTCAATAACGTGTTGTTGTTTCATCGCTTTTACCTTTATATTTAAACTTTTGGGGCTTTTCTTTGGAGATTTCCGGTTTTGTCGAAGTTTTCCATTCCGGGAAAAGCCAGTTCAGAAGACCTTGTGAGTTTATTCCGTTTATTAAAAGTAAAATGACTAAAAAACTATACTTTATTCTCATATGACACTTAAAAATGTGCATCGTTTTTTATTATAACTGAGCACTACGAAATTCACACACTATTTGTTCTATATTTAAAAAAATCTAAATGTTTAATCTGTTTAAACACTAAAAATGATCTTATTTTAATCTGTGTTTTTACAATATTTTTAATCTATCAACGAAAATTTTTCCCCCTTATTTTACACGTCCGTTATTTGAACCGCGTTTTTATCCACTGAAACTGACATAATAAAGTTCACATAATTCTATATATGTAACGCGTATATTATGAACATACCTAAAAAGTTACTTACTGTAGCGTTACATCTAATACAATTCTTGGAGCCATTCGTACTTCCTTGTATTAATAATTTTATTAAACGTGTTATTTTTTAACACTGTAACCTACTTCTTTATTTCTATAGTATTATTTCTTACATTTAAAAATTTAATAATATATTATTTTCTTTTTTTTTAAGCCAGACTTCAACTGTATACCTAATACCTCGTATATTATCTTAAAACTAATTTTTAAAATAAAGGTTAAACATTTCTAAGAGTAAGCTAAATTCACAAATCTAGTTGTGCAGTTATACAAACGAAAACGAATCTGCACATAAAAATTTCAAAATTGCACTAAAACATTTTCATAGGTTTCCAATCAGTGGCGTAACTATACCGTTCGAGGCCCGTGGCAAATTCATCGAATGGGGCCCATTCCACTTCTCCAATATATAAAGAAGCTGAACCAACAATTGAGATTTCCTCTGACCGGGGGCCCTTTCCGGCTGGGGGCTCGTGGCATTTTGCCGACCTGCCACCCTATAGTTTCGCCACTGTTTCCAATTAACCTTGACATCGAATATTAAAAAATAAAATTGGTCTTATTTCGTAGCAACACGTATAAAGGTAGGTTTGCGCAAAAACAATTAATTCGCTTAATTAATTTGACACAGCTGAAATTGGACCGTGCAACAGACTATTGTTTCCGTATTTTGACATAAACAGCGGTTAAATTTAATCGGTCTTTGTTGACGCAAGTTTAATTTGATTACGGGTGTCTAGGAACAATGATGATTTCCGGTTTTTTCAACAGGTTTTCCACTGTCCGTTAATGTGATTAAGTAATTTTCTTCCAGGTTTATTGAAAAGGTTTATTATCGCATACATATTAGTTGCAATAATTTTTCTTCCTGACCCTAAAATATATAAAAGTAAGAAAAATCATTCAAAGATGGAAATAAATGTAAGATTTTTACTCAAAACAAACAAACGCACTGCATAACATTCTTAGTACTAAGCCACAGATTATTATGTTTTAAAATAAGTTGTTATTATCTGTATTTTTTGCGAGCAGGACACAGAAAAAAACACAGATGTAAATGTAGGCTATATCAGCTGTTTTTTAATTACGATAGACAAGCATGGGCAACTTAAAGCTGGAACTGGCTACTCCAGCCATTCTGTGTTTGGGCGGGCTTTCGATCTACATTGGCTTAGGATATTCGGAAATCCACAGACTGAAATCTAAACGTGATTAAACTTCACGGGATTTTTATCAGTTGACGTTAGTTCGTGACCTGGACGGAATTTCGATTTACCACCATCACTCGTTTAATATCCAGATTTCCAGACGAAGTCAGATGTTAAAAAAAAATAGAAATCCACGACACATTAAAGATTAAAAAAATTGATAATTACGTATGAATAATTTTCTTAGTGATTTTATTAGTAGATTATTTGTGTCAAATACAGTCTCAAGCCTTTGCCAGTAAGAGTGTTCGCACTAATATAAAATGAAAAGTGGGTCATAATTCTCATGTTACCGCAGTCACCACAAGTCGAAAGTTCATCTCTCTTACGCTATCAATCTGTATATAAATAAAAATTCCCATTTCTATTTGTCGTGCTATCACTTTAAGACTTCGAATTTATAAGAAAAAACTAAATTTAAAAGGTAAAATTACAATATCTATACTAGTACGATAAAGCTGTAGAGTTTGTGTGTTTGTTTGTTTGAACGCGCTAAAAACAAACAACAAGTATTAAACAAGTATTTGCGACAGTATATGTCTATTTTAAGTTTTACTCACATGAACCACTTTTTATGGTAATTAGATGTTGGTTAAAATGCTTCCTATGGGTCGGCTAGTAAGTAATAAACACTACAGCTGTTTGAAATATGGACTGAATTAGTGAATTAAATTTAAAAATCTATTTAGATTGAAAACACTGCAAACACGACATTGGCGGGACTTAAACCGGAATCCACAGCGTTCCTTGCAGCTGTTCCGACTAATTAAGCTACCGTGTCCTACACGTCCATATCGAATTTCTTAAAAACATCGGAACATGCAGTCCTCGCGCAATGAACGTATTCAAATTCGTTAAATAATGTAGTACGTTTTGAATTGTTAGGAGTCATATTTGATGTCTACCACGGATATGAGCCAGTGGCTGAAGGAGCCACTGTTCCAAAGCACGCATTAGTAGTAGTTGGTATTGCGTAAAGTTGGTATAATGGTTTGATGACTTCACGGTCCTTTGATATTGGGCACAATGCTACATCTTGCGTGCAGGACCCATTGTATGGTGGAGAACCATGACTTCTGTCACCATGTCAGCGTATTCAATTATCCCTAGTAATCTAGTTAATTGAATTGGTTTTACTGTTTCTCTTGTGTTGAAACGACCTTTTTCACGTTAATTTGTAGTTTACATGCAAGTACACATTAAAAAAAACAGTTTCACGAGCTTAAGCGAGCAGTAGCTCGTGGCCATAGTTCATAGATAAAATAAATAAAAAATAAGTTACGATATTTCGCGTTTTAAACCGTTAAAAGTATCTCACAGATTGTTGTTGTCTCAAAAAGTACTCTCGAGAATGAGTCGAAACCATAATAGACTGCTAAGAGGAACGTTAGAATTTTTAGTAGATATTTTATGTCATTGTCGTTCGTATCAGGGATTAAGCAAGTCGAAAAGTCTGAGAGACCCTGGTTTGAATCCCAGGTTAACGTAATATTTATAAAGATTTGTCAGTCCAAACATGGGACATACAACTTTTACCTACTTAGTTTGTTTTGTAAGTGTTGACTTTCCATAAGTTCAAAAGAAATGCTTGTATCCATTATTTTATTTCTAAACTTGAGATTTAAATACATTGTGATACAGACCGGAATCAAACCTACGACTACCGTACTATGGCGTTAATTTAGAGATTGACAGATCTTTAATCTCCTTAATTTTAAAACGTAAGAAAAGATACACAATAAAAAGTACAAATTCCAGTCCTAAGTGCTTTAGTGTTTACGAATATCTGTAATGCCTAAAAGCGAAAGTCTTGCATCCGTTTGGTCGCGTTCCAAAGTTTGGACGAGCTTTTGTACTTTTATCCTTATAAGGGACTACTACTAACTGCAAAAAACATCCAAGTGGAGATAAAAACAAAGTGTTCCGTACCGTACAGTTTCGCTTGATGGAAGTTAATAAACATTTATCTATCTATACTAATATATAAAGCTGAAGAGTTTGTTTGTTTGTATGTTTGAAAGCGCAAATCTCAGAAACTACGGGTTCTTATAAAAAAAAGTATTTAGTGCGTAAAATATTATTTATTGACTAATAAAGTGTAAAGAAAGAGAAAAGGAGAAAAGAAGAAACGGGGGGGAAATATGGAAAAGAACAGGAACGGGTAAGATACACTGCGAAAACGGTTTAAAACAAAAAAATATGTTCAGAAGAATGATTCCCCTTTAAATGATCTAAGAAATTTCCGCAACAGTGTATGCTCATCTTTTAACATCAACTTGCAACAACGACTGGACACGGACGACGTGGGTAACAGCATTAATTTATAGAATTGTAAAAACAAATTTGATGCCCAAATAACTAGCTAGTTCTGTTTTCATATTTAGAATATTAGATATTAGATTTGCGCCTGCTGGAAAACAAA